TCCCGCTCAGTGTTCGGGCTTAAAAATTGGGTGAATGGTTACGAATTGTTCACTTTCGTGTGCTAATCTGCGAAATTTTGCTATTTTCGTATATTCAGGGGAAGTTTCGATATACGAAATCGAAACGGTGATATACTTGATGAGCTCGTTGCTCACATGTCCAGCAGAGCATGCCATAAAGTATACGAGGAGGCCTGTCTTTTTCAGACAGTGCTTCACTTGGAAATACTTCCCAAAGCCGATGTTTGGCCTAAAAGCTTCGAAACATCAGAATCTGTCGAAAATAATATTGCACTCTATTTCTTTCCATCTGACATAAGGTCTTTATTTTATTTTATTTTATTTTAAATATATATACATACGATATGTTTTGTAACATCATTTTATTATTTACATACAGAAGCGAACGTGTCTATGAGCACCTGGTTGATGAAATGGTGCATGAAGTACTTGCTATGAGAGCCATCGTGCAAAATGCCGAGCTTCTTATTTTTGCTTCGACTGAACTGCCAATGCTATACTGGAGTAATTCTGCATCCTTTTCTTTCTTTTTTTTTCTGTGGAATTTTCTGATAATCTTCGAATTAATAAATAATTTATGTTGTTGTAGACTGATCTTTTTTTTATAGGATTTCAGGGCAAGTATTATCTGTGGGGAGTATTTAGGGCAAAGCAGAATCGAGCACCGTCTTCACAATCATATGAAGGGGAGTCAAGGTACAACCCCGTAATGCATGCTGATCTTCCGAAAGATACCGGCTTCAGTTGGGGTAGTAAATTTCTTCCGAAATAATCTTCTGCGTCGAATAATCATTTATGCTTATCCATCATTTTCTTTATATTGATAATGTTTTGCAGATATGATGACCACTCGCAATCCACTCGCAATCCTTTTGGATCAAAATCGACTCAACGGCACAAATTACGGTGATTGGAAAAGAAACCTAAATATTGTCCTCACATCAGAAGAATTAACCCACGTTTTAAACGAGGAGCCACCACAGAAGCCTGCCGAATGTGCCAGTCAAGAAGTCAAAGATGCTTACAAGTCATGGTTTGACCACGACTCTCTTGCTAAATGTTTTATATTAGCATCGGTCGAAGATAGGTTTCATAAGCAGCACTACTCTCTGGCATCTTCCAAAGATGTGATGGCTAGTTTGAAAGAAATGGTGATTGAAGAGAATTTTCCTGCTATACAAACTGCTATGACAGCACTTACGTGTAAAATGGCACAAGGAACTCGTGTTTACGAACACGTAAAAAAGATGATTGGGTACATAAACGAACTGGAGACGCTTGGAGCCGAGATGGAGAGAGTAATAAAGATGGATGCGGTTCTATTTTCACTACCGAAAGCGTTCAACCAGTTTGTGTTGAATGTTAGTGGGAGGAATTCTGTGATGTCACTCTTTGGGGTTCGGAATATTTTGCAGAGGGCGAAGGATTGGATCGAGAAAGACGAGCCTGTTGTTGTGGGCCCGGAAGTTGTTTTGAAGGCTGCTGCTACTAAAGCGAAGACGAATAAGAAAAGAAAGAGAAAATCTTGGAATAAGGAGAATCCGAAACAGTGTGGTCTGAAAAAACAAGTGAAGGATAAATCGGAGGATTGTTGTTTTCATTGTGGAAAGGTAGGGCACTGGAGAAGAAATTGTCGAGAATATTTGACTCGGCTGAGAAATAATTAAATTTCCGAGGGTAAGTCTTGTATGCTTTGTCGTTGAGATCGAAAAGCGAAAGTTGCGGGTTTTTTTGGCTGAAATTTTGAAATAAGAATTGGCTGTTAGAGCTCTGAGCCACAGTTGCTTTGTGTTATATATGAGTATTGTACTCTTGTTAGGAATAGGTAGGTGGTAATAGTTTCGTGAATCTTATGTTGTTACTATGAGAATTTATTTTTTCATTTATTTATTATTTATTATTCATTTATTATTATTATTATTATTTTAAAACCCCAATTTTCTCTCACTAAGATACTCAATGATTCATAGAAAAAGGAGATAGGAAGAAGAAAGAAACTCGGATGCTCATCATACGACTCATAAAATTCATTAATACAACTCAAAGATGTGGTTTTATTATTGCTCATTTATTACATTTTCCACCCATTGTAATTACATTGGATAAATTACTTTGTCGTTAAAAATAATTACTTTGTCAATTGCAATTTATTATTAACAACAATTGCAAAGTTTTTGTTTACAAAAAAAAAAAAAAAAAAAAAAAAAAGAAAAAAAAAAAAGAAGAAGAATAAAATAGTAGTTGACTAAATGAGATTTGCTTGTTTTCTTACATCCATGATCCATCCTTTTCTTCTTGTCTGCTTTTGAATTGATTAGGGTTTGTTGAACATTCAAATTCAAATTCAAATTGAAGATCAAAGGTAAATCTCAACCCCTAACATTTTCATCCGCGAAAATCAATTCGATTTTCATCGATTGCATTCTCGAATCATCCAATTCAACTTGTCGATTTTCAGATCTCGCATGCGATTGATATTTCCATGGTGCCATTGTTTTCTTTCTCGATTCTTTCGTAATCCCTAATCTATGAAGATTAATCACACGTTTGTGTCTGGTAATAACAGTCCAAAGTCATTCCAGGCGTATAGGAGGGGCGATTTTGACTTAGAATCTGGTCTAGTTAAGAAATCCCGAAAGCAGAAAAATAGCCCTTTGGGAAGAATGATAAAATCTTTCAGAAATAAAATCCATCAGCTTCACCCACTTTTGCTCTTATTGATCTGCTTATCACTTCTGATAACACTCTTCATCGTGTACAACGGCCAGTTTAAAATGATGCCTTCTTACAGGGCGGCATCTGAGGGGAATGTGGTGGATATTTATCCTTTTGCTAACTTTAAGAATCTTGTAATGGTAGCCGGGCATTCGGTTTACACTAGTAGTGGTTGTGACGACAAGGTTGATAAAGAGGATGCTTGGTATTTGGAATCTTATCAGAAACATCCGGGCCAAGCTGCAACTTTTATTACTCATATACAGAAGGGAGTCGAAATTGCCGCAAATGATGATGTGGCGTTGCTCTTGTTTAGCGGGGGCGAGACTCGGAAGGATGCTGGCCCCCGCAGTGAAGCTCAGAGTTATTGGACTGTCGCTGAATCCAAACAATGGTTTGGTGAGTTTTTATTGGTTATGTCGAATTATTCGGAATGAATAGAATTTCTGATGTTTGAATATAGTAAAGAAGGATGGATGTTAACGAATGCTTATTCTTGAAAATAGTCTTGGTTTTGCATTTTATTTGATGTTGGATTTAAAATTATGCGTCTAATGGTGATATTCTTACGTTGGAAATTGTGAAGGCAAACGAGATAGTGTGAGAGGTAGAGCACTGACTGAAGAACATGCTAGAGATAGCTTCGAGAATCTTCTTTTCAGTCTGTGTAGGTTCCGGGAGCTTACTGGCACATATCCACACAATATAACTGTAAGTTGATATACGTGTTCTGTTCTCTACAAATTTCAAATTTGAAGTTGCTTTAGCAATGATAAGTGCTTCGTAAAACTTGAAATTCAAGAATTTTATATAAAGTTCTTGAGTTCAAATCAGTAGATCTCAACCTAATTGTTTGTGCCCACAAAATATGGCATTCATAAATGTAACATGAAATGATTAAAATTTCAGAATAGTGTTGTTATTATCATGTTAAAATATTATGCTTAGACGAATGACGATTTTGAATTCTTGTTCAGGTTGTAGGTTATGACTTTAAGGAGGAGAGATTTGTTCATCTTCACCGCTCGGCAATTAGATTTCCGGAGTCGAGTTTCTTCTATTCGGGCACACCATCGACTCAGAATTCAAGGGAAGCAGCATTGAAAGGCGAAGCAATGGTGAGAAGTCAATTCCAAGAAGATCCGTATGGTTGTTCTGGTTCATTGCGCCACAAAAAACTAGGCCGTGATCCTTTTCATCGGACAGTCCCTTATCCTAATGGATGCCCAGAAATTGAAGGTCTATTCAGATACTGTGGAGCTGCACCATATCCAGGCTTTGTCCCTTGGGCTTGATAACATTCTTGATTTTTTTTTCTATAATTAACTTTATAATTGTGGGTGAAATTGATAGAATTATAAGCCCTTTACCCATCAAATTGTAATTATTGTAACTATGGAGGAAAAACCTGCAAGAAAAAGAACACAATCTGTCGAGAATTGCAATTGAAGCAGCAACAAAGTTTAAACCGTTAGCCATGCCTGGACAATTTAAATTGCAAACACGAGTTGCTTTAGCGACCACATAATCTCATAAAAATATAAGCATTGCCACAATCATTAGATCAGTCGGTCAAATTCTGCACTATCTATATTCTTACTTGGATTCATCAAAAAAAATAAAAAATTCTTCCTCGGATCTTCAGCTGTTAGATTACCGGAATGTTCCTTTAGGCCCTAAAAAACAATGCCTCGATCATTGTTAGAAATCTTATATTTGCTCTGAGATGCAGTACACATCTTCCCGTATACTTATACGCCTAATCTAAAAGACAGATTGTACTACAAATATAGAGGGCGATAAATGCTCTGTAAAATTAAAAACAAAGAGTAAAAAACGCACAAAGTCCTCGTGCAGTAAGAGAGAGTCATTTGTGTTCCTCCACGCAGATTAAGGAAGTGTTATCTGTACTTCATACGGGAAGAAGATCCTTTCGATTTGTTGTAATAAGGTCTCTTTACATCAGACAGACCACTGTCACTCACACTACCTTCAATTAGGTTGTCATCCACATCAGCAAATTCCTTTGTCCTCGACTCCAAGGGTACGAGATAGCTATCATCTTTCGTGTTCTTCTTACTCTCCTCGTACCGTTTCACATTCTCAGATATCTGATGGAAAGTTCTATTGATTTTCGCAAATCCTCTTTCAACTGGTTCCACGACGTGCGAAACTGTGAACTTCATGTCATCAACAATCTAAAAACACATAATAAAACACAAAAAACAAGAAAAGGGTATTAATTAACTTATGGAATATGACAAGAAAGAAAGAGAGAATTAAATTATGTAAATGAACAAAAAATATAAAGGAAGGGTGTGATCTCACAATTCCACCACTTCCAATTACAACATCGCGAACACTCTGGTGAAGTTTTGGACTTTGCAGTCGATCTTCGTGTCGAGAAAATCGAACTCTGGTAGTTCTTTCAGAGTCTTTAACCTCTTCAGCGTCTGGTGGGGTTCCTAAAGATGCATAGTCTGTCATCACAGCAACATTTCTTACACATCTTTCTCCACGTTTGTAAGGTATAGCTGGGAATACGTAAAGGTGTACCACAGCAGCAATACCCATCTGAATTACAACAAGACTAAAACTCAGTATTCCGAAAAGAAATCCTAAACTTTAATTGATGCGCCTACTATCTTAAAAGATGCAGTACAGCTAACAGAAGCTTCATTTACCAAAATTAGAATGGAAATTTGTGTCGCACACAACACAGAGCATCTGTTACCAACTCTACACGTGTTGCCTATATAATTCACGCCAGTGGTATTCCACTTACCTCAATACAGATGATATAGTCTTGTATGCGTGTTTTCAACACCAGTGCCAACGAACCCTGCAAGGCTCCAAAAGAAAAAAGAAAGGCCACAGCAACACCTTGCCACCATGTGAGGAATACAATTGACTTGAATGTCAAAAACTTGGCCAAAGGTTTAATTGGAGCCAACTTGTTCTTGATAACGGAATAAAACTGAACAAGGCAATACAAGGCCCAAGTCTGGCTGAAATTCAGAACAACTGCTAAATATGGATAACTGCAAGAAAATATTGAAAGCTTTAATAAGATTGAAAAGCATATTTTCAACTTTTCACGAAATACGTGGAAAATGCTTAGCTGGAGAGCACTGAAGTAGGGGTACATTATAACCAAAGATACAAGTTGGATAGGAGTAACCACTTGCATTTAAAATGCAAAATAGCAAAGGAGACGAATAAAATTGTCAAGTTGAGCACGCAGTAATAATGACTTACGCATATCCCCATTCAAACTTCCCCTCCCCGTAAACACCTAAAGATTCAAATAGCATCGCCAGTAATGCACATATCATCTTCAATATCATCTGTAAATACAGAATTAGGCATTAAGTTATTTGTTAATGACATAAATAAACTAAAAAAACATGTTCAGTCTCTTAAAAATGGAGTGCATACATATTGAACAATGCCGATTTTCACGGCTTGGTAGAAGTCAGAGCCAAGACTCCAATCCCTTAAAAAGCAATTCAATGGAAAAGGATGTTCAACAACTCCATAAGCATAAGCTTCATCTAAAAGAGGTATGCTAGCAGTAGCCAAGCTCTGATTTTCCATAAACTCAATGGTACTTTCTTCTCCACCTACACAAGACATGATGGACTTAATATATTGCTTCTCTTATTGAAAGCGCAGAAGTGTAAAGAATGTCAGACAATTCAAAGACTCCTACAGTGTGAAATTAACAACCGAAGTATAAGAGCCATTCTTTAAGTAATGCAAAAAAAAAAAGTTGGAAAGGTTTAGACAAAAATATAAAAAAAATATCCAGAAAATATACTCTTAAGAGATCAAGTTGTTTAGTGGGCATACCTAAGCAGGCTATGAGATATCTCTCGAAGCAATACAATGCAAAAGCTTCATAGCAATCTCGTATAATTTCAGACTTGAAGGCAGCATCAGAATTTAATAACGATAAGAACTGTTCAAAAACAAAGCAAACAACAAATAAGAAATGTGATACATCTGACTGGAGAAAATAAATCTCAACAAACTAGAAATATTTAGAACGGATAAAATCGCTACCAAAGTTCAGCTGCACAATGTGCAATTGAGGAGTCAAGTTTTAGAACAACTGATATCCTTCACTTAATTTACTTTCTGATGTTTAGGATGGAATGATATCTAAGAGCTTCACAGTTTACGAACTCTAAAACTTTTATAACAAGGGCAGTTTACGACTTATTACACCCAATATAAGACAAGTTCTTATCAAGTAGGGCATATGATTCAGGGAAGGGTTGAACAATGACCATATATACTTGATTAAGTCATATCAACACATGAGATAAAAAATAAGCTAAATAAGGTTCGTTGTTAAATGAGTGAAAAAATGTGCAAGTTTTCAGTACTAATGTACTAGAAGGTGGAATAATCAGGCAAGAAGACCAGGGAAAAGGATAACAATAGAAACATTCACCCAAGACAAAATATACATCTGGTCAACTGCATCAAATAATTATTCTTAACAATATCGTAAATTTTATGACAAAGGCAAATTGCAACAGTAGAAGCCGTTAAACCGGCTATTATTACCGATTCCACTGCATAAACAGGAACCATTAGAATGAGTCCAACCAAGAATTTCTGCTCCTGAAACAGAAGAAGGCATACCTATTAGAACTGGATAGAGTACTAGCCAACTTAATAAATGAATACAGGGTGACCACAAATTCCAAAAATCAATGGCGAAGGAAGTAAATGGTAAACATTGTACGAATTAACAAGATAAAATAATCAGAAAAAAAATTCAAAATCAAAACCCAAAACTAACCTCTGGCTGATTATATGAAGCTAAATGCTCAAAGATAAGGTACATAGATAGAACAAGAGCCACCATTACGAATACCGCCGCGCTGGTAACTGCCCAGCTGTACAGTGATGAAGTCCCAGCATTTGAATTAACAGACCATAATCTTGACAACCGGTCCGTTGATTCTCCGAAAGTGGCAAGAAATAGTAACGAAACCAAAACCCCCCTCCACATCATTTAAAGATCATACAAGCCTCTCAGAATATCAGCAAAAAGACTGTTCCATCGCAAATGAACCTATAAATTTACATATCCCTCTGTTTGGCCAGCTGCGGAAAATCCACTGCAAAAGAACACCGCAGCAAATACCCAATCTAACTTGTTTTTTTTTTTTTTTTACTGAATAACAGCGGATAACAACACAGGATCACCGCCGGAAATCAAAAACTTGGAATACTTTGCCTAAATATAACAATTCTTTGTTCAAATCTGCAAAAACATATAACAATAAGAAGAGTTAAACCCAATTTACAGTAAAAATGACTTAAAACTCATACATAAAAGTGTTAAAACTACATTAAAAAAAAACATCGAAGAAAAACCCTAAATAAACTTCGCCGCATTTAATTCAACAAAATCAAAAGCAAATGTTTGAGGTTTCAGGTCAAAATCGAACCTCTTCCGGATGCAACTTTTGTTTTCCCCCACAGAAAATCGACGAAAATAATCTTCGAACAAAAAAATTGAGTTCTCCGATTTACTCGTTCTCGAGTACTGAATGGAAGTGGCACAGAAATTTAAAAATAAATAAAAAATCAGTGTCCAGATTATTGAAATCACTCCTCAATCTCAAAGTTCGTGTTGTGAGTGTGCGTGTGTATATAAAATTCTGTATGTATCTATTGAATATCGACGGTTGAGAACTTGGACGAAACCAATGTGTTAAAGTTACGGTGACGAGCACACAATTAACTCACAGCTTCATTACGTGGCATCTTTTGCAGAAGGGCTGTCACGCCTCGCTTGTTACAAAGGTCTGTCGTTTTAATTCTCCTACCCTCCGGTTGAAATTCCTCCAATTTGATTAAATTAGTATTAAGAAAAAAAAATGGTGACTGGGGTTGCAACTTGCAAGTACTTCACGAACCGCAGGTGTTGTTAAGAAATTAAGATGGGTTTCTGCCTTGGTGAAAAAACATGGGCCAAACTGAAATATATATTGGGCTTTCTTATGGGCTAATGGGCCAAACCAAAATATATATTTTGGGCTTTCTTATGGGTTAATGGGCCAACCCGAAATATATATAAAATAAGATTAACTATTTTCATCCTAAATGTTAGGGGATAATAAACATGTGTGCGACTTTGATATTATTTTTTTAATTAATTAACTATGCATAAATTATTGTCATCCTAAATGTTAGGCAATTGATATTAATAAAGGATAAATTTAAATTACGGTCACCCTTTGAGATAAGGTCAAATTACGGAAAAAATCTTTTTGTTTTAATAATTACAACCACCCTCAATTATGAATCTTCTTATACATCCATCTTTATGGTGTTAAATTGAACATAATTTTCTAGATATCGTGAATGTTCTCTAGATTGAACTCGTTATGTGCAAAAATGCAGTTTATGATTCACTTCAATCTGATATTTACAAGCCAAAAGACACATTGTATTGTATGATCACCTTGTTTCCAAAAGTGAAGCTCGAATGAGGTAAAACGGGTACAAACTGGAGAATATGAATGAACGTATAAGAAAATTCATAATTGATGACTGTGTTTGTAATTACCTAAAAAAATAAATTCTTAATTTGACCTTAACTTGGGACGACACTTATTTACCCGATAATAAAAGCATAAAACATGTAGGATAAATATTTAAAGTTGAAATGTTCAGTTTGGAGTTTCACCAACTTCACACGCTGTTATGGAGAGAAAGACCATAAATTAAACTAAAAGTCTTTATGATAAAATAAATAAATAAAAACTATAAAAAAAAAAAAAAACTTATTAGTTAGAGTAATGACCTAGAGCCCAGTGTTATTACATAAATCTTAGTTTGGAACGGTTTTTATTTTGTTCTCACTGTTTCCCCAAAACAAAATGTGATTTATTACACTTTTCAAATCATTTTCTCAAAACAATTTCAAAAGTTTCTCTCTCCTCCAGACATGATGTGACTGCTACAGTAAAAAATGTCTTCACTAAAAAACAAATAAACATCACTTCACCTTTCAATTTTCTTCTTCAAAAATATCTTTTTCTAACACCTTTAAACATGATTTGACTTCTACAGTGTATTTTGTCTCCTTCCAAAATACAAACAAACATTACTTTCATTCTCAAATTATTCCCCCAAAACATATTTCCTCAAAATGAAATCAAAATAAGATCCAAAACGGTTCCAAACATTGCCTTAATCTCCTATTTCATGTAATAAATAATAATATCAGATAAATCAATCATTCCCCATCTGCCAAAAGTAAAAAAAACTTCTTCCTTGATTGTGACATCAAACTTTTGTTCACATCTACATTAATATTCATAATATTCTTTTCTTCTGATCACAGATTCTTTCCTGGATATAAACATTCCTCAGATTTCATTTATATATATACATATTCATAGTACTCCAACAACATTTATATATATTATAGTTATTACCACCAATATATATATATATATATATATATATATATATAGTACAACTCTATTATTATATTGTCTGAAGCAGCTTAAAAGATGAGTATCTCAGAAGATGAAAAACTGTCACAAATGATCAAAGACTATATTGAAACAGGCGGCGGCTCAACGTTCAAAGATTCTTGCTTTGTTCATTCTGATGACGACAATCCCAAATTTTTCTTCTCTCTACAGGTACTTCTACTCTCTCTCTCTCTCTCTCTAATAATAATAATAATAATAATAATAATTTGTAGTGTGTGTGTTTTCAGGAGATAATGGAGGAAACCCCAGAAGCTGAAACAGAAGTTTACAGGAGAATCTTGTTCTACCTTAAAGATATGGAATCTATGGAGAAACTCAACAAACTCAAGAAATGGATTGTTTTTAGATTGGAAATGGATAATTATGAATCCCATCTCTGTCAAACTTCATGGTCAACCCCTTTTGGTCCACCTTCAGGTATATACATATATGCTTTGTCTCTATAATTTATTGAAAAAAAATAAAAATCAAATCTTTAATCATGGGTTTTTTTTTTTGGTTTTTTTGTTTTTGGTAGTGTTTGAATTCAGAGGTGATTATGAGTATGTAGATGTGGTGATGAGAGAGAAGAAAGGGTGCAAGGAGGTAAGATTGGTAGTGGACATAGATTTCAGGACACAGTTTGAGTTGTCTAGGCCAACACCAAAGTATCAAGAACTCACAAATGCACTCCCTCTGATATTTGTTGGGACTGAAGAAAAGCTGGAGAAGCTGATTACTTTGATTTGCTCTGCTGCCAAACAGTCCCTTAAGGAGAGGGGATTGCATATCCCACCATGGAGGAAAGCCAGTTACATGCACAACAAATGGCTGTCTGGAAACTGCAAGAAGGTTTCATTTTCTGAGTTGAATCTGTCGGCTAATTACACACCAAAAACTGGCTGTTTTCAAGATTTCATCCATGTTTATCAGCATTTTGGCACATTTAGTAATAATAATAATAGTAATTGTTAAGCCTGAGAAATAGAGTTCAGTTGACTTTTTTTGTGTACGTGGACTTGAGTAGGTTTTTGGATTTGTTCTTCCTTTTTATGTGTGTAAATTGTAATAGTTCTATTTAATTGAAGTCTTTTTATCTTCCTTAAATGAAGATTCAAGAATCTTGAATAAATATTAGTATATTAGTGAGTTGCTAACTAAAATAATATATTCATTGTTTTGGAATGTATTGGAGGAAATAATCACTTATCCCTCAAGTTAGAATATATAGTTAGCTGGTGTTTGCAAAAGCTTATTTAAAAATAGTTGTGACTTAAATTGGTTTTAAGTACTTGTATAAGAATAAATTATTAGCTGAAAAAAAACTTATAAACTATTTATAAAAAGCTCTTGCCAAACACCTCCTTTAACAAATCTGAAACTCGTGTAGTAGTTGTGTTTGTGTACAAGCAAAAGCTATTTGGCAAGATTTCAATTTCAAGTTGCAGCTTTCTTGGGGTAATGATTATTTTGTCTTCTACCTGGGTAATGATTATTTTGTCTTCTACCTTTAAGTCAATGGGATTAGAGGGTAAATTATTTAACAAGTTTGGAGTAATAATATATTTATTTATTTATTTATTTAATTATTTATGGATAGCATTGGATTATATTAAAAGGTTAATTAGGAGAAAGTCGTACAAGAATCATTCCAATCGTTGACCACACCATTCTTCTCTTCCAATTCACTATTATTTTTTAAAGCAGTGTAATTCTTCTTGCAGAAAGTTGGATGTACTACCAATTGCAGTAAATTGGTTAAAAAAAAATTATAAATAAATAAATAAAATTAGAGGATTGTACTCTATTATGTGGTAACTAATGATGTAAATAAAAATTATAAATAATGATGTAAGAACATCACAAAAGCTGTCAAAAAGCACAACAATTAATCATACATATCCTAAATCCTGTTCTTAAGATGCTGCTGGTGCAGCAGCAGCCGCATTTATTTATTCGATTTTCAGACAGGATTTGCAATTACTTTTGCCTACATTAATAGGTAGTATTAATATCAATCAATGGCAATATGGTAATTCCACCAAAAATCATACATAAATAAATCTCAATGTCTTATTTGAATTTTACCACATAAAAGGTTGTATAAACACGAAACCAGCAATTTCACAATTATAAACTACATACACATAATTGACATCGTATATTTAACAGTGTCGACATTTTCGTTCGTATCTCGGGGTTTTAGCCGTACCTCAGTCTGGGCGAGAAACAAAATCGATTGGCTAGTGTTATCATCAATTATGTAGCTTCTGTACAGTATTGACCAAGAAATAGCTACTTGCCGAACAATGAAAAATGCTCTGATAGGGCTAATTTACATCTTACGTGAGGTAAAATGGTCGTCGAATTCTCATATCACGTTACTACTTGTCCGAGCAATTCTTTGCGCTTCTTCGAGCTCCTTTAAAAACCTACAAGTTGACCAGAACTACCCCATTAAGTGGAAATTTAAATACGAAAAAAGTAGATAAATGTGTGCAATATTTTAATTGTATTGAGAGAGTAGTCTATTTGCACTAACATTCAAACCTAATTTAACGAATTTCAAAACTAGCCGAACATTGAAAACATTGAAGCAAGTAAAGCCACACACACCTTTTGGAACTTAGAACTGCAGAACCACCAAGGATGAAACGAATTCCGGAATTCGTAGAATTTTGTAGAGAAACAGATCGTGCCTCCTCGTAAGTAGTCCCTCCAACAATGAAAATTATCACATCCTGTGGCCTGTCAAATAAATATATCTAAAGATAGTCAGCATATTAAACATTTTTTTAACATTTATTTATGTGCTAAACATATTTAAATTACTGCAGAAGAGCATGCAATAAAAACACCGTTTCAAACCCCACCTAGCTTGCTGGAAATGATTTCCAACGTAAGGGTAGTCCACATCTCTCAAACGTCCTTTAACGATGCTCTCCATTGTTTGAGATAGCAGAGGCTGGTGCTGGGTGTACACATTCTCCACACCCTGAAAAATAATGAAAATCCATTTCAGCACCTAAAACCAATGGTTTACGCAAATTTATATCCAAGGATTCATAGACGAACTTTAAGACCACGAGCCATGTTAAGTGCGTAATTAAGCAGATCTCTATTTCCATAGAGATCCCCGGTTCGCCTGTCAACCCCGGCTTGCTTTAGTAGGAACTGCACAAGCTGTCGATCCAACATAGAGAATGTCAGGCATATTTTTAGCACTGTTGGGTAAAAAGGAGCAAAGCTGAATAAACGGAATCGTTGGTTGAAAATGCCATACCCCTGGTTTATACTTGGGAGTCCGGGATGCCAATTTGTTGAATAACTGCATCAGCTGAACAGAACTTTCCTTCTCATATCGCAGAGCATACAGCATGACGAGGCGTAGACGGTCAATGTCAGATACATTTTCATTATTTAACAGATTTGTAACAGCCTGCAGCAGATAACACATTAGCAGAGAATTACACAGATGCTCATTTTAAAATCAGAACAGCAAACAAGAAACAAGACGTCATCTGAGAAAAATCACCAGTAAGTCCATTTTAGGTTTATCAGTGAGTTGGGATATCAGGTTCACTATCTGACCAATCAAGTTATATAAGAACTCACTTAACCAGTCTAATTAGATATTTTATCCAGAACTCTACACAAATTGACATACTTTCCTATTTCAGTCTACACGTCATCTTTTGGAGATCCCTGAAGCATATATAATCCATCAAACACCAGGTGCTGAATATGACGAGCTCCAATATTTGACTCAATGAGGACCATGAGCCGTGAGATGTGCTTTTGGCTCTTCATATGTTCTTTGCATAAAATGTGATTTTGTGAAAGTATTTGGTCATCGTTAATGAGCTTTGTTTGTATATAAACTCTATATAATTGCTCGTGTAGCAACTACTTAAACCACTCGCAAGTGCTCAGTTGCAGCTTCTCCACATATTAGTACTTAATTCCAGTTTCACCCCCTTCATTTTTGTGCAAATCCGTGAACATGCTTAGCCATCTTTCAAATGATGGTCTGTTGCAGAAAATACTTGGAACAAGAATCTCAAAATTCAGAGGACAACATTGACATAAAAACCTCTTAATTCAAGAAGGTTACTTATAATTTATTGAAGAAGTACCACATTACCTCAAATGCTGCCCCTTGCCCACCATTGCAAGCTAATTCTTGTTCTGTTTGTGAAACTAACATTAGTTTTCGTTCTTCAACAATCCTACTCATTTCAGTAACCAATGTCACATGCTTGGAAACATTGCCATGCATTTTTCTGTATTCTGGGTAGTTGTCAACAAACTTAGCCATATCCTCTGCAAATAAGTTAGCATGTCAATGTTTCTAGAATGGTCATCAGCTGCAAAAAAATAGAAAAAACTATACATCCGTAGAATAGAATGGGTGATGGAATATTGATCTAGCAAAACATATATACCGAGAACGAACCTATTGTTTGTATATTCTGATTACTTTTTGCAACTTGTTGGAAATCATCCACCATTTTTTTAATATTCATTCCAATATCTCCAAAATTCTCATACATGTTAGCTCTGAAAAATGCATCTTGCTCTGAAGACAGTACAACCTCCTGAGAGCACAAATAACGAGCTGAAATTACAAATTTCACTATGCTTTGAAAAAACACTAAGTGGATAGTACCTAGCATAAAAAAGAAAAACAACCTGTTGATCCTTTGATGACTTTCCAATGTTCTTGAGGTCCACTTTATTGTCTTGAATACCTATCAATTCATGAACCATCGCCTGCAGATAACAATGGTAAATAATTTTGAACAGCTCAATCATCACTACGAAAGCATTCTCCTCTATGAGGAAAGAGCAGAACCTGATATGTCCATTGGTTAAGCAGGGGAGTGACAGGGTCATCTCGTCTATCAACAATCAGCAATAACGGAGAAACTTCTGCTCGTCGAAAATCAAAAAGACCACTTTCCTGTTGGTACATCAACTTCTGCATGAATAAGAAAGCTAATATTAGTTATGTGGAAATACAGTTTAGCAAGGAGAGTTCAATCAGCATAAGAGAAATTAACTTTGCATCAAAAGATTTAACTTCTCCTGAAACAATCAAGTGACAGGTATTGGTTTCGTGGGATTAGCCAAGTGATTGGTATCTCACCGATGCTTCTTGTGCTACTCTTTTCGCAATATCAGATGTTCGTGAATAACGAATTACAGGCCTTCGTTTTAGAGCCAGGAAGATGGCAGCAATTCCATCAATAACTCGGTCACAGAAGTGCTGTAAACTTGTTGGATCCACCACAGCTGGGAGCATATACATGTGGTTTGATGCAATATTAAGACTGAAGTGATAGGCATCACCTGCAACAAAGTCTGCAAAGTACTCCTGCATAATAAGGAATATATAAGACAGCCAATATCTGTCTGCAACTCAAACAAAATGATTCATCCAGACTCGATAACCAGACAACTATAATGACCTACACAATTCTCAAGAGTCCAGTAAAATTGATAGTTTACACCACTCAACAAAATATTTAGAATATGATTTTATAATAAATACAAAATATAAACACAATCAGTTCTTTCTTTTAAAGGAAGCAAAAAGACCCACTTGTATGGAATTGAATGTTACCTGCACTTGTTGAACTATTTCATGCTCATCTGAATCTGCTAAGTTGTGAAGTTGAGTGTCTTTCAACATATTGGAGAAAACTGTAAACAACATGATCAAAATTTCATTTACTCTCACAGTAAATTCTAGTAAAGTCACGAGTATTTTGTAACATAGCTTAAAGCTATCAATAATTTATTGGAGTAAAACCTAAATAAATGCTTACAGAGGTGATACTCCCCGAACCGAGGAGTAGTCAACTGACGCCTCATGAGCTGAATGTTCTCAGATGTTGGACGGAGAAAATAAACAGCTTTAAGATGCGACATGGGTTCCTTGGACATGGATATTGAATCTACAAGTTCCACCAGAAACACTTCTTTTTGAAGAAGCTCCGACTGTGAATACACTACACTCACAATACTGACCTGCAATCCAATTAAATAAATAGGTAAACACTCTTCCACTACAAAGTAATTTTATTTTTATAAAATTGCATGAGAACTTCTGAGTTATCCTTGATATCTTGTTTCCTACCAAATAATGTTTACTTTTAAACTACTAAGTGCGCTGCTATAAGAAAACCCAGTCATGAAAATAGAAAAAACATGTAAGTTCGCACAAAGGATGATTGGTAAAACTTAAGTATAATCTCAAATCCTAATACATATACAAAATTCTTGAAATGTATATTAGCAAACTGAAATTTCGACCAAAAATAGTAAAATCTATCAAATTCCACACCTAATACACAGTTTATATTCGGGCTACCAAGCTTTTTTCTCCCCTAATACACGTATTTTGACAATGGATCTGTTACCAAAACAAATCGAATTCCCATTTTACAGACTGAGATATTCTTCTTGAGCTAAATGCTCAGTACCCAATACTCCCATAATTTCCCAGAGAGCTTAAGAACAGAAATCCCGAATTTGTACCTTGAATCACTGCGATGTATCCTCGAGTTTCTAATATTTATTTCTAATTTATAATATCAAAAGTGTGAGATTATAGCTGATCAGTAACCAATGAGACAAAAAAAAAAAAAAACAAAAAAAAACAATTCAAGTAAAAATCAAATGCCCAAACATAATTTATGATAAAATTCAATGATACCAGGAAAAAACGCACCGTTTGAGAGTCGAGTATGAGAACTTTCATGCCGGAAATGTCATGTAACATGCGATTTATGTAATCTCGAACTGCCGTTATCAGCACCATCGTCTCTTATTCCAGCTGTTCAGTTCGATCACCGATCTGATCAATGTGTTTGCCCAATAATCGATAGGGTTTTAGAATTGGAAACACGAAAATTCAGAAGCAAAAGAGATTTGGGACAAAATCAATCAACAAGAGGAGTTGGGGAGGAGAAGAATGTCTGCGTACGACGTCGTTTCGTGATTAGCCCTGGGTCGAACGGGAAAAATGGGGAAATACAAATACCGCTGAAATTCGGAAAAAATTAAAATTAAAATAAAAATACCAATAAAAAAAACCGATGTTAAATTTTGTACACTACGCTTTAATTTTTTTTTTAATTTTTATTTTCGTAATTTCACTGAGAGTTAGCTCCCTAATCCATACGAAATATCTGTTGAAATGATATTTAATTATTTTTCATAAATAAACTAGTCGTATTTGGAAAGGGTAAATACAAAATAGTGCTCCGCATCTTGAATTATATGTTATTGCGAGTATATTAAGAAAAAAAGTAATAAATATACATAGATTAAGTGTCTTCTATTAATCAAGAGTGATAAAAGAGGTAAAATTGAAAATAATACAATTAATGAGTAAAAATAATTAAATATATTGGCAATAACTAATTGAAAAAAAAAATTTGGAAAGATTCGGGCTAGGGATTGGGCCTCATTCGTGGAAGAGAAATACAAAGCCCAATTACTTTGAGGGCTTTATACATTAAAGTAAGATAGATATTAAAGCCCAAAATCTAATTAAAAATTTTCTATTTTTGAGAGAAAATCAAAATTAAGATTTAACTGATAACTAGATTGTGTAAGAGTAACTCACTGTCACTGTCGTAATATTTTTTTTTTTAATTTTTTTTTACTTTATATATTTTTTACCTCAAAAAAAAAAAGGGGAGAATTATTGAGCAGTGAGCCCCGCCGCTCCTTTTAGGGATTCTTCCGTATGCTAACCTACACTGCAAACTGACTCGCGGCGGCTGTCTATTTGTTGTCGTCATCATCTCTCTCCTTTTGACACACCATTTCTCTCTCTCTCTCTCTCTCTCACACACACACACGCACACATTTATTTGCAGCGGAACTCCAATCACTCAAACCCTAGAAAAAAACAACCTTTGAATTCTGTAAAGACTGCTCTTTTATCCAGCCACACGGACGAATCTCCGCCAGCCGCCAGGTTATATTCTTCTCCTGCTCTCAAGCTCCCGCCCGACCAGTTTCCGTTGAGCATTTGAAATTGAATTTTAATTTTTGTTTTTTCGGCCGTTGTTAATGTTTTCCGTTTGTGGATTTATTACAGTTTTTGCTGTTAAGAGAAGATGAGCCACAGCGTGCATCACTGCAGCAATGTTTTCTGTAAGTCTTTTCAAGCCAATCGATATTTACCTTCAGCGAAGCCTTTCCCACGTTTTTTCCAGCAAAACAAATTAGCCTCAAAGAGGAATCCCAATACCATCAGCTTTTCATCTCGGCCATTGATATTGAACTGTGCAAAGTCTCAAAACGAGCGTGGAGATGTTAAGAATGGCAGTGATTTGGGGAATGGAGCGACTTTTACTCCCTCGAAAGTTGGTAAAAGAACCGATATCAAGAAGATTTTAATATTAGGTGCAGGGCCTATTGTTATAGGGCAAGCTTGCGAGTTCGATTATTCCGGCACTCAAGCTTGCAAAGCCCTTAAAGAGGAAGGGTATGAAGTAATTCTGATCAATTCAAACCCTGCTACCATAATGACCGATCCCGATCTAGCTGATAGGACCTACATTGAGCCAATGACACCCGAATTAGTCGAGCAAGTGCTTGAAAAAGAGAGGCCCGATGCTCTTTTGCCCACCATGGGCGGGCAGACCGCGCTCAATCTCGCGGTGGCATTAGCTGAGAGCGGTGCACTGGAGAAGTACGGGGTTGAGCTTATTGGGGCGAAGCTCGATGCTATCAAGAAAGCTGAAGATCGAGATTTGTTTAAGCAGGCGATGAAGAGTATTGGGCTGAAGACTCCTCCTTCGGGAATTGGAACAACAATTGAGGAATGTTTCGACATTGCCTCTTCGATTGGGGAGTTCCCTCTCATTATCCGGCCTGCATTCACACTGGGCGGGACAGGTGGCGGTATTGCTTATAACAAAGAGGAGTTTGAAGCCATTTGCAAGTCGGGGCTTGCGGCTAGTGTGACTACTCAGGTTTTGGTGGAGAAGTCTTTGTTGGGCTGGAAAGAGTACGAGCTCGAGGTGATGAGAGACCTGGCTGACAATGTGGTGATTATTTGCTCGATCGAGAATATCGACCCCATGGGGGTCCACACGGGCGACTCCATCACGGTAGCTCCTGCCCAAACTCTGACCGACAAGGAGTACCAGCGGCTCAGGGATTACTCTGTTGCTATTATAAGGGAAATCGGAGTTGAGTGTGGCGGTTCGAATGTTCAGTTTGCTGTTAACCCTGAAGATGGAGAAGTGATGGTGATTGAGATGAACCCTAGAGTTTCGAGATCGTCCGCCTTGGCCTCGAAAGCTACTGGTTTCCCCATAGCTAAGATGGCTGCCAAGTTATCCGTAGGGTATACATTGGATCAGATTCCTAATGACATCACGAAGAAAACACCTGCAAGTTTTGAGCCTTCAATCGACTATGTTGTAACCAAGGTTATATTCATTTGTACCTTTTGAAATATATATTTATGCTGCTTGTTTTCTTGAATAAAGCTCAAGTGTTATATACTCTCTCTTCAAATGCAGATACCTAGATTTGCGTTTGAGAAGTTTCCTGGATCGGAGCCAATTTTGACTACACAGATGAAGTCTGTGGGTGAATCCATGGCTGTGGGGCGGACATTTCAAGAATCGTTTCAGAAAGCATTGCGTTCGCTGGAAACTGGCTACTATGGGTGGGGTTGTGCACAGGTCAAGGAACTTGACTGGGATTGGGAACAGATAAAATACAACCTGAGAGTACCTAGTCCAGATCGTATCCATTCTGTGTACGCTGCAATGAAACGAGGAATGAAAGTGGATGACATCCACGATTTGAGTTTTATAGACAAATGGTTCCTTACACAGCTTAAAGAACTTGTAGACGTGGAACAGTATATTCTGGCCCGTAATTTGTCACAGTTGACAAAGGATGATTTCTGGGAAGTGAAGAGAAGAGGCTTCAGTGATAAGCAGATATCATTTGCTACGAAATCCACCGAGAAAGAAGTTCGATCAAAGAGGCTATCTTTAGGCGTCAAACCAGCGTATAAGAGAGTTGACACGTGTGCAGCAGAGTTCGAGGCTGATACTCAGTACATGTACTCATCTTATGAGTTCGAGTGTGAATCTGCTCCCACCGAAAGGAAAAAAGTTTTGATTTTGGGCGGTGGACCGAATCGAATTGGACAGGGTATTGAATTTGATTATTGCTGCTGCCATACTTCCTTTGCCCTCCAGGTTTGTTCTTTTCTTGATTTCTGTTGAGCTAATCTTGATTAGTGTTGAATGATTTTTATATTATCTGTCTGTTCTGCCTGTTTTATAGGATGCAGGATATGAAACAATCATGATGAATTCAAACCCGGAAACAGTATCAACAGATTACGACACGAGTGACCGTCTCTACTTTGAACCACTCACTGTCGAAGATGTTATCAACATAATCGACTTGGAAAGACCCGATGGAATCATCGTGCAATTCGGAGGGCAAACTCCGCTCAAACTGTCTCTCCCCCTACAGCAATATCTAGACGAGCACAAGCCCAAGTGCAGAAGTGGGTCCGGATTCGTTCGCATTTGGGGCACATCGCCCGATTCAATCGATGCAGCTGAAGACAGGGAGAGGTTCAACGCAATCTTGACCGAGCTAAAAATTGAGCAGCCAAAGGGAGGAATCGCAAAGAGTGACAAAGATGCCCTTGCTATTGCAGCAGAGATTGGCTACCCAGTTGTGGTTCGGCCTTCCTATGTTTTGGGCGGCCGTGCGATGGAGATTGTCTACAGTGACGAAAAGCTCATAACCTACCTCGAAACTGCAGTTGAAGTTGACCCCGAACGCCCAGTACTAGTAGACAGGTACTTATCTGACGCGATCGAGATTGATATAGACGCACTCGCTGACTTGCATGGCAACGTTGTGATTGGTGGAATAATGGAGCACATTGAACAGGCTGGGGTCCACTCCGGTGACTCAGCATGCATGCTCCCGACAAAAACAGTCTCTTCTAAATGCTTGGAAACTATTAGGTCATGGACAACGAAGTTAGCGAAGAGATTGAACGTTTGCGGACTGATGAACTGTCAGTACGCGATAACATCCTCTGGTGATGTTTACTTGCTCGAGGCGAATCCTCGTGCATCAAGAACCGTACCGTTTGTGTCTAAAGCAATCGGCCATCCTTTAGCCAAATACGCTGCACTAGTCATGTCGGGTAAATCACTCCAAGATTTGAATTTCACCAAAGAAGTCATCCCGCGCCACGTGTCAGTCAAAGAAGCAGTCCTCCCGTTTGAGAAATTCCAAGGAGCTGATGTCCTCTTGGGTCCGGAAATGCGAAGCACTGGAGAGGTAATGGGCATTCACTACGAGTCATCGATCGCTTTCGCAAAGGCACAAATCGCAGCTGGCCAAAAGCCGGCACTTTCCGGAACACTCTTTCTGAGCTTGAACGACATGACGAAGCCTCACTTGGCTTCGATCGCGAGGGCGTTCTTGGGAGTCGGGTTCAATCTGGTGGCGACATCCGGCACCGCACACGTTCTGGAATCGGAGAATATTCCGGTGGAGCGGGTGTTGAAGATGCACGAGGGTAGGCCCCACGCTGGGGATATGATTGCAAACGGGCAGGTTCAGATGATGGTGGTGACTAGCTCAGGGGACCAGCTGGACCAGATCGACGGCCGGAAACTGAGGAGGATGGCGCTTGCTTACAAGATTCCCGTAATAACAACTGTTGCCGGTGCTTTGGCTACCGCCGAGGCGATTAAGAGCATGAAGAATAATAAGATCGAGATGACTGCTTTGCAGGATTACTTCAAGAAAGACGAAGAAATCGATGCCGCCACTAAAACTTTGCTGTCTGCATCATCTTCATCTACTTAAGTTGTGTGTCAACATCTTGTGTTCTTCTGCTCCTTTATTTTTATTTTATTTTAAATAAATGTATTTTTGGACGAAACTACGCCGTTTTGGTATGTTTGGTTTTTGTGTGTTATGTGTCTTGAGATTTACGGTTTTGCCCCTCAGAGTGTGTAATCTATGTCTAAGATTGCCTTCAGTTTGATTGCACGTGAAAGTACTGTAGGTCAATTTCTTTTGCTAAATATAATGGCAGATTGGGGGAATATTTTATTTATTCCAGAAATTGCTTTTTATTATTTTGTAATTTTTTTTATTTATTATTCCAGAATTACTACTAGTAGGAAAATATATATATAAATATAAGATAGATATATTTTAAATAATGTGAATTTTGCCTTGAGAGTAATCCTGAAACAAACACAATTCCTGAGACAAACGACTTTTCACTGGGGTCAATTGTTTCTGTAAAAACCTATCCCCTCTTTTCTCTCTCTCTCTACCCTGTCAGTTTTGCTAGCTCGCTCTCGCTCACAAGGGTTTCGTCACTCGATTCAAAGGTTAAAGGTTAAAGATTCGAGGTTAGTTCTTCAATTCACCCCCAAACCACGCAACGATTTCTATAATTAATTAGGGCTTCTTCTGTAATTGGCATAAGCTTTTGTTGAATTGTTTTCCGGCGGGTTGATTTCTACGTCAATTGTCTTCAATTTGTAATTTCCTTGAAATTGTTGTTGATTTTGTGATGACGGAGTTAAAAAGTTATCAACTTTGAGTTAGATTTGGAATCAAATCATTGTTATTTTGCATACGCAGTCTGCATCAATCTAACTGCTACGCCGGCTTGCTTTTTTAGCCGTTTGGACATTTTATTCTCCCTTTTTTGATTGAGTCATATTTTCTCTAATTTTGCTGTTTAAACTCTACAGGGAGGTATGGCTACATTGTAAGGTTTAATTTAAATAAATAAAATAAATAAACAAGTTTGTGCATAAGGTTCACTCCAATGTAAACGAATCTCCGTTCGATTGAATTGACTTAATGATGCTCTATGAAGAGTGAAGACAAAATAGAATATTAGTTTTATTTGACCTGTATTGCTTGCTCTGAAACAGATCCAGTTGCATGAGCCGAGACGAATAGAGCAAGGTTTCTCTATGGGTGAAAGGAGGAAACGCAGGTCAATGTGGGATATGGAAGAGGAGACCAAACATTTTTCTGATATGAGTAAACACAATTCTTCAATGGGAAAGGATCACCGTTCTAATCACGATGGAGGGCGTTATCGTCAATTTTCTGCATCTGGAACCTATGCAGCACAAACATCTAGAGATCACTCCGGACAGCAATCTTGGGAATCAACTGAAGAAAACTCGGTTGCTCCAATGAATGGCAGGTTCAGCAAAAGTAGACAAAACGGTCCTGAACGGAAGGAACTAGGTGGGGGAAACAGATATTACCAGGAAATGTCTCCTGGTTTGGATGGAATGGAACCGCATAAATATAACCATTCTCTTGAAAACGATCGAAGCCATGCTCTTAGTCATAGGTTTGTGATGATTTGGTTATTTTCTATCGCATTAATGAACGTGGAAGTTTGATGCTCTAACAGTTCCATTTTTTGTGCTCGTTTAAGAACTATCTGCATGCAAATCAATTCTTGTTTGCCTTCATGCTGACACTGTTCGCTGTGTTTTTACAGGATGTTTTGGAATAATTTTAAATTAAATGTTCAAATACTTTGGGTGTTTTCGGTGATTCTTTTCAGATATTTACATTATACAGGATTTATAGTACATTTTTATGCCCTTTCTTCCTTTTCCAATTTCCCAAAAATTACACTCCGTGTCTCGAAATATAATGATGACATGAATTCAAGATTTTGAGTTGTAAAGGCGAAAGTTTTCTATATATCTATAAAACGTAAATGAGAAATAGGAGTTGAGTTTTAGTGGTCCATGTTATTACTTCTTATATGGTGTATGTTTAAGAATTTTTTCCTGTTAGAAATTGCAGTTTTATTTTGGGGGTTATATATGTTTAGGACAAAACAAGTATTCTTAATCCTTTTGTTGACCACATGTTCTGCGAATTGTCTGATAGTCATCTATCTCATTACAGGAACATGGGAAGAGCCAGGAGCAGGAGTCGGAGCAGAAGCATGCCTCGAGGCAGGAGCCGCAGTAGGAGTTTGAGCAGAGGCAGGGGAAGAGAGAGAGGAAGAGGCAGGAGCAGGAGTAGAAGTAGAAGCCCAAGTGACAGTGCTGTAAGGGTTCAGACAAGAAGTCGTAGCCCAACAGGAGATTATAGACATCAATCTCATGCATGGAATGACAGAAGTGCACCTAACAAATCAACCCAAATCTGTAGAGATTTTGCTTCAGGAGGGTGCAGGAGGGGCAGTCAATGCAGATTTTTTCATCCTAAAAGTACTAGTGGGGATCGAGACCATATTTCTAACAGTTCTTACAGCAGAGGTGACGATGTTTCCGATCCTTATCATGGACAAAGCGAGCAGTTCCAAAACAAAAGTAGAAGTGCAGTTCCTTGCAAGGACTTTGTAAAAGGTAACTGCAGATGGGGAGACACTTGCAGATTTTCGCACCATTTTGCCTCTGATGAATCTTTTGGCAAAGGCACTAGATATAAGTCCTTTGACAATGACATTGAGCTCGAGCCTTGCAAAAACGGGAAACCTGTTTGCAAGTATTTCGCAGCAGGCAACTGTGATCGGGATAATTGCAGGTTCTCTCATGAGGGTCCAAAACCAAAAGGCCAAGAAGACAGACGAGGTTATGGTAGAGAAGTAGGCACATCTGAAGCTATACGTAACGAAAATACGGCTAACGAACAGGAAGATCTCATATTGCATGGTTTGCAGTTGCAAACTCAGGACGTGAATTCGGACATTTTAGGACAAAACAAATTGCTGGATGATCAAAGTTTTCCTATGACAGCATGGCAGCAGAATGTTTCTCCAGTTCCACGTATTCAACAGCAGAATCATGGACTAGTAGAAAATAATCTAGTCAGTTCATCATTCCGGTCTGAGGTACTTGACGAGGCGAAGGACTTCAGAAATACCACTAATCCAATTTTTTTCTCTGGACAGAACTTAAATCATCAAAATTCTGAAAATGTGTTCCCCGGGCAATCTTCCGTTTTAAGTGAAACTGATGGTGGGAAAAACATGCTCGGTCCTAATCCATTAAATGGTTTTGGTTCTGACTTGAGTGGATCCGAGACACATCTAGCAGTTCGTTTGAGTTTGCAGAACCTTCACAAAGCTGTCCAAATGACAGGGATGTTAGAAACAGAGGTCCCACAATTTTTTCCCACTTTATTAGCCAGCCAGGATTCTGCTCCACCGACAAAATCTCCGGTTTGCGACGAGCAAGAAAATCACACTGAACGAAAGAATGGCGGCGAACCTGATAATTTGAAAGTGGAACTTTCCGGAAGTCCAAAACTGAAGCAAGAGAAGGTTCTTGGAAATGCAGAACTGAACGAAGGCAATAGAGGCGATGGTGATGAAAGCAAGGGATTTCAAAACAATAAGCAGTCTGAAACTGTGGATGGCCATGGGAAAGTTGAAGAGAGCACCACTAACAAGGATGACAAAGGAATCCGTATATTTAAAAATTCTCTCGTAGAGTTTGTAAAGGACCTCTTGAAGCCCACGTGGAAAGAAGGTAAAATGAGTCGAGAAGCTCACAAAACTATCGTGAAAAAGGTGGTTGACAAAGTAACCAGTACAATTCAAGCCGATCAGATTCCAAAGACGCAGGAAAAAATCGAACAGTACCTATCGTATTCGAAGCCCAAAATTGCCAAACTTGTACAGGTATTACACTTGTCTTTTTAATTTAGTCAGTTTTACTTATACATGTGCGCACTCTCTCCTTTTACATCAGCTGCACATTACATTGGGTTCTTATGCTGCTCGAGGGACACACTGTTTGATTTTCTTTATGCTAACAGTCGAACTTTCAATACTGCAGGCATACGTGGGGCGTTGTTCAAAGAAAGATTCTTGAATCATGGTATTGTATATTTCCTATAGTATTTAAATAGACGCATCACCCATGATGTGTTTATCCTGTATGTTCTATACTTGGATTATTCTTTTGCTTAGTTTTTGGAACTGCACATTCTTCCCAGTAGATCATTTCTGTAACGTTTTAACCTATTTATCAGTGTGTTGAGTTTGAGCATCTTATCAAATCTTGTTCGGTTTTTTTTTTTTTTTACCGAATATTACGAAAGAGCTTTAAAGGAAATATCGAAGAGGGATGTTTCTTGACGAGTGTTTTTTCCTTGTGAAAGGCAGCCGAAGAACAAGGCAAGCAAACAAAAGAGGGGTGTTTTCCAATTCAATCAAATACACCAAGACAAATCTTAACTTGGGAGTCAATTCTTACATTCTTCAAAGGATAGTATATATAATTATGTATATATAAGGAGCCACAATAAACACCTCTTCCTCAACCATTCCAAACAAATTCATCATCCTTAAAGAATTTCAAAATGGCATCAGATTCTTCAGCTTACAACACCGACACCATAAGCTCACCACAATCCTCGGACGATGGTCCGACTGTCGTTGTCGTAGTCGTATTCGTCTCACTCGGCTCGATTTTCTTACTTGCTTTTTGCTTGTTTGCTTTGTGGCTGGTAATAAAGAGGAGAAGGAAGAACAAGTTGGTCGAAGAAACTGATATAAAACGCGCGGACGAACATTTGAAGGTGAAAGAGAACATTGTGAAGGGCCCTCATGGATTAGAAGCTGTGGTCCTATCCATAGAAGAAGATAAGCATTTTGAAGAGGAGATTGTCAAGAATGAGAAGAAGCAGATTATTGATGGGGAATTAATCAAAGGTAAAAATGCAGAAAAAACTGATCTTGAAGTTGGGGAATCTTCTTCCTCCATTACTAGTGTTCACAGGTCCTGAAAAAGCATGATACTCTTAAATTATTTTGTCATTTTTTTTCTGCTAATAAACAACATTTGACTTGTCAATTGTCGTATTTATGTAACACTGATAATTTAATTTCATCATAATATATATATTATGTATAGTATGTAATCATGCTTTTATGCCAAGATTTTTTGTTTTTTAATACCATGTTGATAATATTAAGTGGTAAATCTACACTCTTACAATTATCAAATAAAAACTAAAAAATTACACTCCCGTATAATAGCTTGCAAACTCATCAAAATTCAAAACTCGGAAATCGAAAACTCGAAGCCCGAAATGGTAATTGTGTAGGACTAAATTGCCTCAAAATATGAAAAATAAATAAAAAATGCACGAAAATAAATGGTAGAGATATTTATGAGCAGAAAAGTACAAGTAGTATCATCCATCATCTACGTTATTACACCGCCCACATATCACTCCTCCCATCACCGCCGGATCACATTTCTCGATATCTCGAACACCACCCCCCGCCCCCCGCCCCCCACCCCCACAGATTAGTTCTGATGTAAATTCGAGAATTCTGGAAAGTGAATACATGCGTGCCGGAGAGCACTACTGCTTCATATATTGGTGAGTTTTTTTTTTCTTTTTTGGGGTGTGATTTGTGTTGTTTAAAGCGTATTTCTTCGGGTTGCAACCTGTTTGTTAAAATGCCGATGAGAACTGTGAAGAGTTCTTCGAAACTGATTTTTTTTCTTTCTTTTTTGTGTTCTTTAAATTGTTACGACGGGTTCGTGATCACTGGAAACGTAAATAGTGGAACACTGTAATTCTTATTTTCCAATGGCGGGTTCGTTGTTGCTCTTGGGTAGTAGTATACCCCATCACATTTGTCGACCATCGAACAGGCTTTCTTTCAGTTCTGATCCTCGGATACACGCGCAAACACGCGCCAATTACAAACTTCAATTCAAGGAAGTGCTCTTTTCTAGCCACTCTGTCTGTCGCAATTATAATAATAAGCTCAAACCAGTTTGTTCTTTAGATTCACAAAATGCTCAACCAATCACTCAGGTACTTCCTCTCTAAATTTTAACTCAGTGAAAATATCTATAGTTCATTGATTATTTTGCTGCTGAGTAATAATAAAATAAAATAAAATAAAATGAAGGAACCAGTGGAATTGAAAAGAGGCAAGGATTTTGAGCAATGGGATTCAACGTCAGCAAAGTTCGCCGCTGCTGCAAATTTACCGTTTCTGTTATTGCAACTACCTCAGATCATACTCAATACTCAGAATCTTCTTGCAGGGAACAATTCTGCACTTTTGGCTGTTCCTTGGCTGGTATACCGAGTTTTGTGTAGACTTATTATCGCTTCGGTTATTGGGTTAGAGAAAAAAGAAAAAAAACTAAGTAATCCTCGTATTATATATAGGGTATGCTTACAGGATTGCTTGGGAATCTTTCTCTCGTCTCGTACTTCATTAAAAAGATGGAAACTGAAGCGGTGGTGGTGCAAACTCTAGGAGTTTTATCCACATATGTGGTGATCTTACAGCTGGCTATGGGTGAAGCTATGCCTTTCCCTCAGTTTATTGCCACTTCAATAGTGGTTGCTTCTGGTCTCGTTCTGAATTTTATGAAATATTTTAACTTCCTCAACCCGGAAATATGGCACATTTGGGAGGACTTTATTTTAGTAGTCGGGCTCTCCACACTTTCACAAGTAAATATCAATTTGCAAATATGTTACATCTTTTTACCTGATTTCGAATTATTATGTTTTATCTTCTTTCTTGACGATCTTACTCCATGGTAATGCAGGTTATGTGGTCAACTTTCATCCCTTATGTTCCAAATACTGTCTTGCCCGGGGCCATTGTCTTTGTTAGTGCAGTGATCGCTGTTCTTATGGTGAGTACGACCTTATCGGATGCTGGTTAAATGCAATAATCTCTACAAGTGCTTAAAATTATTGAGATGTACACATGCAATAATCTTTAATGTTCGGATGTTTTATTGATTTAGGTTTGTCGGTGTGGAATTGTGGTAGAGGATCTAAAATCGAAAAAATCTTGTAATAATGCAGTTTAATTTTTTCAGTCTCGCATGGGCAAGCTCTCTGAGAAAGGCGTCAAATTTCTCGGATCGATATCTGGCTGGACAGCAACTCTTCTTTTCATGTGGATGGGTGTTGCACAAATGGTGATCGATCGTTCTTCTTCTTTGCAAAAATCTTGTTGGTGGTGTTTGTTAAGAGTTTCTTCTGATCAAGAAAATTTGTTTATTTATTTTCAGTGGACAAATCTTCTGAATCCCGACAACATAAAAGGTTTGTCGGCTGTCTCAATGTTGCTGGCAATGATTGGCAACGGACTCATGATTCCACGTGCTCTATTTATTCGGGATTTTATGTGGTATGTAGTTTTTTTTCTTCCATTTATCAAGTAATTTTCCACAAAAAAAAAAACGTGGTATACACGAATTTCTATGTGCAGGTTTGTTGGTTCAGGCTGGGGATCAGTCTTCTACGGATGGGGGAATCTTATATGCTTATTCTGGTAATTTTCTTATAAATAATTATATACGCAGTCTTATGTTTGAGGCAGTTTTTCTTTGTTAACTTAGACTCTGCTGCGACTTCAGCTTAAATAGTATCAGCAAGGAGTTCTTCTTGGCCGCAACCCTCAGCTTTGCTGCTTGGATAGGTGAGTGCATTATCGTAAATCTTCGATTAGTATATTGTTAATTATGTGGCCTAATGGTGGACGGTTAGTCTCGTTGATTTATATTTCGTTCGGAGGTAAATATATTCATCATATGTTGCCTCAGGATTGTCATTCTGGAAAGATGCACAAGCCCATGGACTCAGTTCACCGTTGACTTCTTTGAAGGAGCTGGTTTTCGGGCCTTGATTCTCCTTCCTTCCGTTGAAAAGGGTACATAAACGCTAATTAATTACGATTTTGTTCGAGTGTGAAACTCGCATTAATGGGGCTGAAAAAACAAATGATCCCGCATTTTCCTGCACCTCAAGACTACGTACGCAGAGACGGTTTATTATCCAGGTCAACAAAATGGTAAGTAACTACATCAAAGATTGAAATTACACCGGATTGTTTTGCAAGTGAAATTAGGGATTTATCGTTATATATAATTTAGTATGAGCATTTTTGCTATCTATGACTACGAATTTATTTAAAATACAAATTTACTTCGGTTTTTTTTTCGGTACTAATTTGTGTCTTTATTGATAAATGAGCAATAACTCAACAACCAAAACAATACAAACAATTCTATGTAATCATCATATGTTTATTTAAACTCCTTAAAGCTCCGTAAACCTCCCCTCTTTGTGGATGGCTAGTATCTTTTGCAACAAATTCATGCACACTTTCTCCAACTTGGATAGAGCTACATCCCGGTACTTTTTCTGTTCCCTGGTTTCGATTCGCTAATCGGAAGTCCACCTCATCTAACCGTTGACCAACCGATGATCGTAAATTCGTAATCAATTTCAAATAACTGTGATTATTAGGCTCTTGTTCCAATATCTTCTCGATGATCAAAGACGACTCCAACAAATTCTTATTCCCACGGATTCTACACGCAGATAGTAAAGTTGCCCAAATAACAGCATTAGGCTCTAAATTCATAGTCTTTATAAACCTCATAGCTTCTCCGATTCTTCCAGCTCGACCAAGAATATCCACCATGCAGCCGTAATGCTCTATACGAGGTTCGATGCCAAATTTATGCACCATTTGATGGAATATTCTTTCCCCTTCTTCCACCAATCCTCCATGTGTGCAAGCGGAGAGAACTGCAATAAAGATGACATCATCTGGTTCGATACCTTCCAAACACATGCTGTCGAACAGTTTCAATGCTTCTCGGCTGTGCCCGTTTACAGCTAAGCCAGATATCATTATCGTCCAAGTGATTATACATTTTTTCGACATTTTTTGAAAAATAATTTTCGCGTTTTCAAGATCTCCACATTTTGCAAACATGTCGATCAATGCATTTCCGAGTGGAAGGGAAAGCTCGATTCTGTTCTTTCTGATGTAGGACTCGATCCATTTCCCGTGCTCGTGTGAATTCAAGTGTGTGCATGCAGAAAGAACGCTGATTAAAGTCGTCTGATCGGGTTTGCATTTTCCATCAATTAACATGTGATGGAACACCGAAAGAGCTTCATCGAACATGTGGCTATTAACACAGCCAGCAATCATGGCATTCCACGAGACCACAGTTTTTACGGGCATGTGATTAAATATTCTCCGAGCTGATTCGATATCACCTGCCATTGCATAACCTGAAACCATGGTGGTCCAAGAAACCACACTTCTCTCGGGCATTTCGTCGAACACATTCTTCGCACTTCTCAAGTCTCCTTTCTTAATGTAACCCGAGATCATTGCATTCCAAGAAACACTATTTCTGTTCGGCATACTTTCAAACACCTTGTTAGCCAATTCCATCTTCCCGCCTTTCACAAGCCCTGAAACGACAGTATTCCAAGTCACCAAGTTCCTTTCCGGCATCGATTCGAACAGCCTGATTGCGGAATCTATCTCCCCGTAATTCATATATGTTCTTATCATCGTGTTAAACGAAACAACATCTCTCTCAAGCATTTCGTCGAACATCTTCCTGACAAACCCCAAACTTCCGCCACACTTGGCGTAAAAATCCAAAAGGGTGTTCACAACAAACAGACTAGACAGGAAACCCATCTTCAAAACATGACCGTGCACCATTTCACCATACTGAAACTTACGAAATGACTCGAAACAGCCGAGCAAAAACGTGAAAGTGAAACTGTTCGGCAAAACATCCAGCCTGCGCATTGTATTGTAAACAGAGGCTGCAATCGTATCGGACTTTCCGATCGAGCATCTTATCAAAGTATTGTAAGAGATGAGATTCGGCTCCGGTAAACATTGGAAAAGTTTGTTTGCGTATTCAAGAGAGATGAAATCCGAGCAGAGTGGCATTAGCTTGGTTGCTAAAAAGTTGCTATCTTTGAAGCCATTGACGAGTATTTGAAGATGGGTCTGTTTCAAATGTCTGATTGTTTTGCACTTCTGCAAGGTAAGGGCCAGCTTTTGCTCCATTGATTTTCATGGCGGCTAAAGAGAATAATATTGTTGGAGTATAAACGTGTTCTCGGGTCAAACTGCCACGTGGCACAGTCAACGGGCTGATTTTGGATCGGGTCGGGTCGAACATTTCTAAGGCAAATTGAAATGATTGGACAAACACTGAACTAATCATCACTGTAAACAGTCGAAGCAAATGATTGGAAACCAGAACTACAGAGCTCAAAGAAGCACCGGAAACCCGCTGTCAAGCTGGTGTAACTCCATAAGAAGCTTAATATCTCAGAAACAACCGAAAGAAGCGATTCTGATATACACTAGCAACCGCCGCAACGGTGGCACTGTTATCGGCGCCATCCCACTAGTTCTGAAAGCATGCGCTTCGCTCTCCATGGTTGGTTTCGGGAAGGCACTGCATTCGGAGATTCTGAAGTCGGGAGTGGGATGTGACGTGATGGTGGGGACTTCGTTAGTTGACATGTACGGTAAATGTCGGGATATAGTAAGCTCCCGCAAGGTGTTCGATCGTATGCCTGAGAGAAACGTGGTTTCTTGGAATGCCATGATAGGGGGTTACATGAGGATTGGCAACACACGGCTTGCCTCGATTTTGTTCGAGAGTATGCCGGTGAAGTCGTCGATCACTTGGAATGAGATGATTGATGGGTACGCTAGAAACGGGGATATGACAATGGCGAGGCGGATTTTTGATAGCGTTCCGGTGGGTTTGAAGAATGTGGTGGCGTGGACTGTGTTGGTTGACGGGTATGTGAGCAGTGGGGATATGGATGCTGCAGGGGAGGTGTTCGAGAGAATGACAGAGAGAAATTTGTACGTGTGGTCTGTGATGATTACTGGATATTTCAAGAAAGGTGATACAGTGAAGGCGAGGGGGGTTTTTGATGGGATGGGTTCGAGGAATTTGGTGATTTGGAATTCGTTGATATCTGGCTATGCACAAAATGGGATGTGCGAGGAAGTTTTAGATGCTTTTAGCAGAATGCGAGGCGAAGGGTTCGAGCCGGATGAGGTTACGTACACAAGTGTTTTATCAGCTTGTGCTCAATCGGGGATGTTAGACATTGGTAAAGAAATTCACCAGATTATTCTCGAGAAGAGAATCGAAATGAATGAGTTTGTTCTAAATGGATTAGTCGACATGTACGCAAAATGTGGGGATTTACGGAATGCAAGATTGATATTCGAAGGGATTTCGTTACAGAATTCTGCAACGTGGAATTGTTTAATTACAGGATTTGCCATTCACGGCCAATGTAAGGAGGCCATTGAATTCTTCAGAAGAATGGAGGTGTCGGCTGTAAAACCCGACAGTATAACTTTTCTGTCTGTTCTATCTGCTTGTGCGCATGGAGGTTTTGTGGAAGAGGGTTTGAAAACATTCTCGAAGATGGAGAAATACGGACTGAAACCAAACGTAAAGCACTACGGTTGTCTTGTTGATCTGTTGGGGCGAAAAGGTAAACTGCAAGATGCTTACAACCTAGTGAAGGGGATGCCTATGATGCCGAACGATGTAGTCCTCGGCGCTTTGCTTGGGGCATGTCGAATACACTCTGACGCGATTATGACAGATCGCGTGTTGGAACTTGTCAGAAAGATGAATTCTTATTACAGCTCCCGTGACGATGATGATGACGGGCATTATGTGCTCTTATCGAACATATACGCAGCTTCCGAAAAATGGGAGATGGCTCGAGGAGCACGAGTTAAGTTTTCGGCTAACGGGTCCAAGAAACCACCTGGATGCAGTCTACTCGTGCTTTAACGCATTTAAAGAAACATCGAAGCGAACAATCTATTGAAGAGAAAAGTGTTCGTAAATATTCGATTGTGAGGTACAAAACTAGAGGAGGGTCTCAATTGTACTATACAACATTACCGAGTTTCGGTGGAAATATATATATATATATTGAATTACGAGCTCGAATCAATTCTTGTATGACGTGTAATTGCTGTATTAGACAACCCTGAAAGAGTCGGATATCCTCTTCAAATCCTTGTAATGCTTCTTCCACTGGAGACCTGGAAAAAAGAAAAACCCGAATGTGTAAGTTTTTCTCCGAAGAAAAAAAAAAGAAGGGAAATTCGTTATTCTCAGGAATCGAACGTTTTACCATTTCCAGTGACGCTGAATAAATAGAGGCGATTGCCAGCAGCTGTTGCTGTAATGAGAACGTGCGGCGGTTCTAACTCAAACTGATAGTATTTCCTTCCGGAATGTTCCGCTACATTGGAACTTAAAACCTTTCCTTCTACATTCTGCCCGATCACCTCCGGCCCGAATGCACTTATCACTTTCTCTGGTGTCCCGATTTGTTCTATTGTGGTGTTATCACCAAGATCTGCAGATTACAGTGCAACGAGGTAATTAGCACACTGCGTTTTTTTATTTTTAGTTTTTATTCAGTGAGAAAAAAGATAACTCTCTTTGTCTGAAAAACTAACTGTCTGAAAATCTTAAAACAGGAGCAACTATCACGGAAACTCGTCCTTGCTTGGGGTTTGCGAATCTCAAATCAATCTCCGTGCCTCCTAAATCAGCAATCGAGACCGGAACCTATTTCGCACCAGATAAAACGAATCAACTGTTTTTCAACAAGGCAAGGAAAAAATAGCAGCACATTACAACATTACAACATTACAACATAGGAAACGGTGACACACCTCTTCCCAGTTCTGAGGAACGGAAAAAGCGTACGGTATGATCGGACTCCAGCCAACACCGTGACCACCCGATTTATCGTCTGGTCTTTGGTAAGTTCTCCAACCTGTCTGATTATATTAATCTTCTAGTAAAGACAACATTTTTTTTTATCACACAAATCGAAATTTCAAAAGGACAGAGCAATTTGGTTGAGTAGTGACTAACCTTGTTCGTCGGGTTCGGAGAGTCCCGGGATTCTGCCTGCAAGAAGGCCTTGTTTGATGACAGCCAATCCATTTCCCGGAAATCCAAAACCTGCTGCAGATGAAAGTAATGCAACCCCGGATGCAATAACCGCCCTCCGATTCATCTCGTCGTCTTTTGCAATTGCAGCTGCTCTTATTATTCTTGATTGGACTTTATCTGATGCAGGTTGTGAAACAAGAACATGGGATTGAAAATGGGGATGGTTGTTCTTCCAAGAAAGGCGGGAGATGCATTGCACAGCTGTACCCATTTGATTGATTGATTGATCTCTCCACAGTCCACACACAAACAAGATTTTGGTAGAGAGAATTAATGGAAAGATTCGAAATTCTTTAATTCAGTGAGAAAAAAACTATGTGAGGAAGAATGGATGGATGGATGGAGGTAACTGGAATTTTCTTTTTATCTTTTTATGCACCACAAATAAATATATCCAACTAGAAATTAGAATACAGCAGAAATTTCTGGTGTTTGCAATTTAATTCCCGATTAAATTAAATTGATTTTGTGCAATTTGTCCCACATCGAGGAAAGATGAGATTTGAGGGAACTAAGGAGTGTATAAAAAAGGGGCACTCTCAACTGAGTTGAGTTACCCGTCCTGTCGGGGGTGCTGAGGCGACTCGCTAATGATCGTATAGAGAAGGCGGGTCGTGCCGACACCCACGCAACGAACACACTTTATTTAAGGCGAGTGAGCTCAGCCCTACTTAGGTTGGGCTTGCCCGTCAATTTTTGGATGCCCCAATTTTCTTTGGGGCTAACTAATTATATTATTCACCAAAAATATTATTTTAAGGCCTATTAAGATTGGAACCATTCATTATCTGTTTGACTAGTAAATCGAGTAATTAAAGCTATCAAATAGGGTAAATTACGGTTATTCATGGGAAAGTTCAAGTATGAAAAAGCCGTTCATGTTTGGGTAATTATAACTATCCATCAATTATGAATATTCGTACACAAGTCGATAGACACGTTTTATATTTATCTTGTTTTAAAATGTGGAGCTCGAATTGGGTAACACGGTTTACAAAAAGTGGAATACTCCACATATGTGGAGCTTGAATTGGGTAACACGGATACAAAAAGGAAAATACTCCATATAATCTAGAAGATTCCACTAAATTTGATACCTCAGTGGTGGACGTATATGAATCCCAAACATGAAGGGTTTTTTCGTAATTTTACCTTACCTTAGGGGTTGGGTGTAATTTACCCTTAATTAATTATAGACCTGTCATAATAAAGTTAACAAACAAAACACACATTCTTTTATTAAACTTGGGATGTCAAACTGTAATACAAGCTGAAAAACAAATGCAGAAACACATGTCTAGGTGAAAAACAAATGCAGAAAACATATCGAAAAAAACACACACACAATAAGAACACATTTCTTAAAACAATAACGTGGGTAGATATGTGTCTATCATCCTTGAGATCTTTTTTTTACTCCATCCTGATAATGCAACGAAGGCCTTCGCCTTTCAGCATCAGCTCGAAAGCCTTGTTTATCTCCGCAAACGGCACCTCGTGCGTTATAAACTTGCCCACTTCCAACTCCTAAATAAACACGAAAAAGAAAAGCATTCCGCTACGTCAATCACAAAATTCGACAAGTTCTCGACATATCCGAGTCGAAAAAAGCACTAACTACTAACCTTGTTCATATACATTTCCACAACTGCTGGAAGATCCGAACGGGGCTTATAGTTACCGAAGAAAGTGCCCTTTAGAGTCCTCTCGTTCAGCACGTTCATCGGATGAGTCTTGAATACCGCGTCTTTATGTGGGACCCCCACAAGAACAGCCACACCCCACCCCTGCAAGATTTTCAATTTTAATCGAGATTATTCGATTTTTTACGCAAATTAATTGTGCTCAATTTGGTTATAGTAAAAGTTTGAAGGATCGGATCTTACATCATGAACACATTCAAATGCAGAGATCATAGCACCGATGTTTCCAGTACATTCCACGCTTCGATCCACTCCTCCGTCAGTCATCTTAGCTATCACCTACACAATGTCACAAACAATTCGGTATACAAAATTGTCACACACAAGAAGATTATTATAGGATAAAAATATATCGAAAGATGAATTAAAAACCAACATTTTGAACAGGTTCGTCGTGGTCTTTTGGGTTCACAAATTCAGTCACTCCGAATTTTTTAGCTGCATAAACAAGAAAGAGGAAGTTGATCGTAAAAAAAGTATTATATGGATTTAATAATGTACTCAAATAAACAAGTAGATCGGATTAAAATCTATCTAGAAATACTACCTTCTTCAAATCTGCCGGAGTTCAAATCCACACCGATGATTCTTGAAGCACCAGCCAATCTTGCTCCTTCTGCAGCCTGAAAATGGCCAACGAAACATTTAATTTGATTAATCCCAATTTTTATGTTAATTAAAAAAAAAAAGAAAAAACATCCGCCAAGATTTTGGAAACATACAGCAAGCCCAACAGCTCCAAGTCCGAAAATCGCAACAGAAGATCCCTTTTTCGGTTTTGCAACATTCAATGTGGCACCAAGCCCTACAAACAAAACAACAACAAAACAAAAATCGTTCACCACAAAAAAAAAAGACGAAAATTTTATCAGTATATTTAATTTCAAGAATCGAAGAATCGATCCCTTTATACCTGTGGAGATTCCACAGCTGAGAACACAAACTTTGTCAAGGGGGGCAAGGGGGTTGATTTTGGCTACACAGCCAACATGAGCCACAGTGTATTCGCTAAAAGTTGAAGTGCCAACAAAGTGATAAATCGGCTTCCCGTTAATCGAAAACCTCGATTTCCCATCATTAATCATCACTCCCCTTTCGACATTGATCCTCAAAAGAGTACACATATTACTCTCTTCTGATTTGCAGTGAGCACAGTCTCCACATTCTCCGGTGAAAACGGGGAGTACGTGATCGCCCGGAACGAGTTCCGTCACACCTTCTCCTACACTCTCCACAATCCTATGTTGTAACAATCAAGATTTAGTAATCAAATTTTGCCACAATTTTTTTTTTAATTAATAGAAAACATAATAGTGAATTAGCATACCCTGCTGCTTCGTGACCGAGAATTCGAGGAAAGACGGAATCTTGGGCCTGAATAAATTAAAAAAAAAATGGTGATTTTTTTTTTATATACAGATTTTCTAATTCAATTTTCTGAAAATAAAAATGAAGAAGAAATATTATAATAATTTACCTTGGCTTCCCAAAAGTAAACATCAGTGTGGCAAAGGGAGGTGAAGAGGATTTTCAGGCGAACCTCCATCTTCTGCGGCGGCGCCACCTCCACCTCCTCTATCACCAGCGGCTTCCCCGCCTCCCATGCTACAGCAGCTGCCACCAACAAAACCCATCATGAAAAACATAAATTATTAGCCATCAAAAAAAAAAAATCTTGAATTCGCATAAACATATACATATATATATTACAAACACACACACACACACACACTATTGCTTCAATACCTTTGCATTTGATGACTTTGCCAGCAGTGCTTGACATCTTGTAGTAGTAGTAGTAGAGATTAAATTAAAAAAGAGTATAAAGATTTGATTTTTATCTAATTGTTTGATGAGATGATTAAACCCTTTTGGGTTATAGTATTTATACTGGAAAATAGAAATCATGTCTGTAATTTGATTGGTTAATTTGTTAATAAGCTTACAAGTTGTAGTTCCCCTGTTTCTTGAACTCAAGCAGATTGGAATACAAGTGGCAATACCAAAAAACCCAGACCCTAGTTTTGGTTGTAGAATCTTGAATTCAATTTCAATTTCTATTTCTATTTCTATTTATTTATTTATTCAAAAGATGAAGAAATATGTTGACGCAAGTCTAAGTGTCTAACTCTATATCATTATCTTATTTTTTTAATTCAAGTTGTTTAACATATCATTTTCTCCAATACCACTTAACAAAATCCGCTCTGGTTTGGCGGTTTTTTATAATGCTTTTAACAACTCATTTGATTGTATTTGCAGAATCTTCTGGGACAAGGTGAATATCCTATCCGAGGATCTTTGCCCACAATTTAAATAACAATTTAATTAATAAGTTGACTTATTATTTATTTCTAGTATGGATTGAAGTTCGAACCAAACCAGCCGGTAATGGAAGCATGTGATTATGAAGTGAGCCATGACGAATCAATGTATAAATATTTCGGGTTTGGTTACCGTTATAAGATTCTACTGACTAAATAGCTGCTGTTAGAAACATATTCGGTAGGCAAGATGTACATTTTTTTTCAAGCTCCTATTATTTCATGAAATTAATCCCCTAAGATTAATTTAATAAGGGATGATTAAACAAGTAAAAGACTATTTTGCCCTTCAAACTAAATGTTAATTTTATTGCAAACAAATCACATATAATACAAAACTTTAACAGATATAATACAAGAAGTAGTCTTACATACCAAATATCATACTAACTAATTAATTAATTAGTCAGTAGGAAATTAATCCAATATCATATGATCTAAACTTATCCGATATAGGTAAGAAATGCTTCGATCGATATATATTGTTTATATAGAAGAAATTACAAATAAAATATATTTCAAAATAATTACAATTAGAGAAATTCTCGAAATTATTGGGCTGCCATTTCCATTGCTTTCATAGACGGGCCACACGTGACAACCGGACTGGGCATTTCTATTTTACCGAAACTAATAAAGCCCATTCACTCGGCCCATTTCATTTTCCATTTTGAATTTTTATGTGGATCTTTTTTTTTTTTTTTTTTTATAGATATTTTTTTAGGATAAACATTAATATCATATGATTATGTTGAACCTTACAAAAAATATCTTGCCTAATCACATGTTTTCTTTTAATTATGAATACACATGATAAGAGCCTAATTCAACTATAAATGGTATGATTTAATCACACTTTTCTCAATAAAGTATATTAAACTTATTTTGATTATCAAGTTTAAACAAAAAATCTACAATTTTGGTATATAATTGACTTATTATCCAAGTCACATTATCAACAAGAAATGCAGGTTTGAATCCCTTTCTCAACGATTGCTAGGTCGAACTTGTTACAAATGATTAACCTAATGTGGTTTACGTCTCTCATATAATTTGCAACTATACAAGAGTGTTGATTTAATTAGTGCACATATATAGTTGACTGAGGATTACTTCATTATTAAAGAAAATTCAGAGCCAATAAAATTAAGGAAATGAAATTCCTTCAAACACTTATTTCTTGATATATGTCATGTGTATATATATAAATTATAAATGAATAAATCACATTAATTGATTACATCAAACTTCCCCTTTACAAACAAGGGGATATAATATAGTAATAAATAGCTAATTATATATTTATATTTATATATAATTAAAAATGAAAAAATTTTTGCAAAAATGTTTATTTATGGTGACGTGTTGATAGAAAGAAGAGGAGACAAATGGGAGGGCTTGTAGAGCAAGAAAGTGACACGTTGGTTGAAGGTAAGAATGAATTTGCCAAATGTGAGTGCTTTTCTCTTCTCTTCTCTTCTCTTCTCTGGCGGTGGATGGATGGATGGATATGTTCCACTTTGCTCTCTATATATACATATATGTGTGTGTATGTATATGTATATGTATCTCAGCTCCACGGTGTTTATCAATTACACACACTGACACACAAATACACACAAAGTGATCGGTGAGAAAATGTCGAGCACTGAAGGTCAAGTTATTCGCTGCAAAGGTGATTTCTTAACCCTAATTCACCCACTCATTTACGATCTCTTTGATTTTCGCTCGCAATTTTCTGCTAATTAATAAATCGTCCGGGGAAATGTTAATTTTTTTAGCGGCGGTGTCATGGGAGGCCGGGAAGCCTCTGGTGATTGAAGAAGTGGAGGTGGCGCCGCCGCAGAAAATGGAAGTTCGTGTGAAGATCCTCTTCACCTCCCTCTGCCACACCGATGTTTACTTCTGGGAAGCTAAGGTACACTTCAAACATTAATCACTCCTCAAATCATTTAAGTATATTCCAAATAGATCACATTTTTCGTTAATTAATTAGGGTTTGTCGTAAATCGTAATCCTCCATTAATGCAGGGACAAACCCCTCTGTTTCCTCGTATATTCGGCCATGAAGCTGGAGGGTATTTATGTCAAATTAAATTATTGTTTCTGAATTTGATTATGTGAAAAATGCAATCACGATTTGCTCTGTTTGAATTTGAATTTTCCTGCAAATAAACAGAATTGTGGAGAGTGTAGGAGAAGGTGTGACGGATCTGAAACCGGGCGACCATGTTCTTCCGGTGTTCACCGGAGAGTGCAAGGAGTGCCGCCACTGTAAATCGTCGGAAAGCAACATGTGCGATCTCTTGAGAATAAACACAGAGAGAGGTGCCATGATTGAAGATGGCAAAACCAGGTTCTCTAAAGATGGCAAACCAATCCACCATTTCTTGGGAACTTCGACTTTCAGCGAATACACAGTCGTCCACGTTGGCTGTCTTGCCAAGATCAATCCATCCGCCCCACTCGACATTGTTTGTGTCCTCAGCTGTGGAATATCAACCGGTAACTAATTTAATAATTTCATCGAAAATTGTGTTTATATATGGACTTGTTATATTATATGATGAAATTAAAAATCGTAAATTTTTGTTTTAATTTTATGTATCTGTTTATTGAAGGACTTGGTGCCACTTTGAATGTTGCGAAACCGACTAAGGGATCGACTGTTGCCATTTTCGGATTGGGAGCTGTTGGGCTTGCTGTGAGTAGATTATTAAGAACATGTTTTTGTATATATTGAGTGTTTTGGTTATTTATTGATTTAATATTTTTTTCCAGGCTGCGGAAGGGGCTCGAATCTCAGGGGCGACGAGGATTATAGGGGTTGATTTAAACCCGAGTCGTTTCAATGAAGGTTTTCCTTTTAATTACTCAATAAATCTTGAATATGCTATTAAGAGTGATGCATATATAATAATAGTGCTACTAATTAATGACTGTCCATTAATTAATTAGTGTCTTCAATTTGTTCTTCTGAAAACAGCAAAGAAATTCGGTGTGACGGAGTTTGTGAATCCAAAGAATTATGACAAGCCTGTTCAAGAGGTTATTTCAATTGTCCAAGATTCTGACATAAACACACACATATACACACATGTTATTTCATTTGAACTGCATCTAAATGATGTATGGAGTATTAATTATCAGGTGATTGCTGAGATGACCGATGGTGGAGTTGACCGTAGCATCGAGTGCACGGGAAATGTTAATGCAATGATATCGGCATTCGAATGTGTTCATGATGTAATTAATTAATAATAAATATATATGCTCAATACTTATATATGTATATATATAGTGATATTTGGACATTTGATATTATTATAGGGTTGGGGAGTGGCGGTGCTTGTGGGAGTGCCGAACAAGGACGATGCATTCAAGACTCATCCGGTAAATTTGCTGAACGAGAGGACTCTCAAAGGAACATTTTTCGGCAATTACAAGCCGAGGAGCGATATCCCAAATGTCGTCGAAAAGTATATGAACAAGGTGAATTTGTGATATTCTTTTTGTAATATGAAAAAATTATTAATGAAATTAATAGATTTTGGGAATTAATAGATTTTGGGAATGGCAGGAGCTGGAGCTGGATCCCATTCTCGGAGATAAACAAAGCTTTTGATTACATGCTCAAAGGGGAGTCTCTTCGTTGCATTATCACCATGGATAATAATAATAATAATAATTAACTCATCAAGGAAGGAACACTTTGTTAATTAATTAATTAATCATGTATGTTAGCCCTAATAGTAATTTGATCTAGTATTTTAATAATAGTTCGAATTTTCATGTTGTTGTTCAATTATAATTACTACTTACCTATTTTGTTATATGATTAATTATTTTTCAAGCAGAGCTGAAGAGTAGGGTACATTGGATTTTTTGTTTATTTTTCTATTCTTAATTATTAATATATGAATCATCCAATATATTATATATGAATCATCATTCGGAATGTTGGCAACGCACAAAGCATGAAATACTAAATTCACCAATATCAATACTTAATAAGTTTGATGAAATACAAAATTATCCATACTAAACTCACCAATACTTAATAAGTTTCAACTTAATAAGAGAAATAAGTTTCAACTTAATATAAAAACGAGAAGAAGAAAAATAGAGAAAGCAAACACATAAAACTAGTCCACAGATGGATAGTAACACCTTCCTTGAGCAGTAGCAGTACAAACACTCTTCCGTATCCAAATCTCCAAACTCTAAGACAAAAGGAAACGAACTAAATCAAATTAGAATGTACTTCAAACATAACTAATAATCCATCAATAAGAGAAAGAAACGAACCACCATGCAAGACGGTCAATTTTCCTGCGTAGATGATTGATGACAGGAGCCACACACCTATCGACTTCCTTCCCTTGTTTCAGGAACACAAACGTGGGCACATCCTCAATTGTGTAGTCACAAGCAAGAGTCTGCACACAATTCAATTCAGCAAATATCAAATTTCCGAAAATGTTGGGACTAGCAAAAAAAGGTTGCAAAGTGTTACATAACTTCAGCTCATTAGCGTCGATCTTCAGGAATATAACATCGGTTCTCTTCTTTGCCATATTGGCTACGTAACATTGTTCTCCGGATGGCTTCATGAAATATGCCACTACCTGATCAAAAGAATTTGGTTACATGTGTCAAAATGAGAAACCGCAAGAAACAATTGTAATTAAATGAACATCATTTTCATAAATTTCTATACAACATTCGTATTGGGTTCAAGCAATTTCAACCAACAAAACCAAGAAAGATGTTAATCAAATCCATAAATAAGAAAAGCAAAACTCAAATCAATAGGTATACAATCTCATATATATAGCCATGATGATAAACAACTTCATCATTCGTAAACTCGAATCAATAAAATAGCCAGGGATACAAGCTATTATTAGAAAGCAAGAACTAGTTACCAGTTTCTTTGACTTGACACAGTTCCGGAAATGCTGCTTCCACTTGCCCATTGAGTGAATTTCGATCACTTTTCCATTTCCTAAACAAAGAAAACCATTTATGAATCTAAATTAATTCTTCCAAACTAACTTTTCAAATTATACTGAACTAGAAAGTATAGCACCAACCAACAACAAGTGAACAAAAATGCAAGAATCACAATAGAAATGGCAAAACGTACCCGTGGTTGGTGGATTAACAGGTCTTTCTTCCACATCTCCATTACGCTGCTGCACATAATTGTTCAGGAACTCATCACGGGTTATATCGGCGAAAATTGTGAGACCCGTTGTGTGAGTGGTTCTGGGATCCGAGTTATGCCGGTTCACACGTTCGCAGGTTTTTTCGAATAACTTATATCTGTACTCTTTTTCTTCATCACAAGAATATTTTTTACCATTTTTTGCACACCAGCTATCAAAAAGAGCGCGACTGCACTCATAAAGAGGGCGAGTGCAAAAAGGAAGACTATTAGTAACCCTGTGATTCAATCCCATCGGCACCACCGCTTTCTTCAACACCAGACGATTACTTAACGCCTTCTCCCCCAAATCAAATTTCAGTTTCGTACCAACAAAATAATTACAACAAAACAATCAGTAATTAATTAATTCCCACGCATTATTACTCACACACACACACACAAACACATATATATATATATATATATATATACACTAAAAACCTTGAAAGAGGAAGCGAAGATGTTAGCCATGGCGTGCGGGAACCGACAGCGTGCCCTAGTTCTGTTCTGGGTATATATTAATAGGACCCCTTCACGATTTTCTTTTACGTATTTTTTATTTTTATTTTTATTTTTCTATTTTCTCAATTCTTCCTTGCTACATTTATTAAATGATCAATTTCATATTTTGGCAATTAAGTTAATATATCTTAGGGCAAATGGGTCCGTATCAATATATACATTTAAGGGTGTATTTTGCATGTATCTAAACTTGTTGAGGGTACGATGATCAATAGTTAGTTACTTTAGGGATTGAATTGGATATAAGAGAATAGTTGAAGGGTCAAGTGCTGAAACGCAAAAGATCCAATTACCTATATATACCCATTACCCAGAACTAGGGCTCCATCAACTTTCTCTAAACATCTCTCTACAGTTGTCGGTTCCCACACCCCATGGCTAACCCCTTCGCTTCCACGTTCAAGGTTTTTAAATTGTTCAGTTATATATATATATATATATATATATATGTGCGTGTGTGTGTGTGTGTGTTAACCCTCGCAATTACTAATTGTTTTTTTTTTCTTTCCGTAATTATTTGGTGGTGGGAGAAGGCGTTGAGTAAGATCGTAGCTTCCAATCGTCCGTCGGTGAACCCGGCTTCCAATCGTCCGTCGGTGAACCCGCCGCCGCCGATGGGGTTCGTTCATAGAGTTCCTTCTTGCACTCGCCCTTTTTACGGTCCATCAGCCACCGCAGGTATCCAATTAGTTCTAGGGTTAATAGTATTTTGCCACCAGTACTTTGCGCATTTTTTGCATTTTGCCACGAACGGGCACATCCAAACCCGTTATTTTGACTTATTTTGACTGACTGACGAATATGTGAATCTTGAGAAATATTATTAGTTTCCTAATTAGCCGATTCTTGTAATTTTGTTCACTTGTTGGTGCTATACTGTCTAGTTACCAAATTGAAAAGTTATTTTGGAGGAATTAAATTAGATTATTTAGTCGTTTTCTTTTTTTTTAGGAGATGGGCGAGTGATTGAAATAAACTCCATTGGCAAGTGGAGGGAGTATTTCAAGAAGGGTGTGAAGTCAAACAAACTGGTAAGTACTAGAAATTGCTTTCTTATCATTATCATGGCATGTATCCCTGCTATATTCATGATTTGAGTTTTGCTTTGATTATTTGATTAACATCTTTCTTTGTAAGATGTTTTACGATTGACGATTCTACGGTACGAGTGTTTGATCAGGTAGTGGTAGAGTTCATGAAGCCATGGTGCAAAGTATGTTTATCGATTGCTCCCGAACTAGCCAAGATTGCAAAGAAGAGAAACGATGTTATATTCCTCCAGATCTATGCTCATGACCTTAAGTTATGTGACCCTTGCTTCAACATTTTCGATCAAAATTTGTAGATTGTTAATTTTGATTTGCTGAATTCAATATTACTGTGTGCAGACTCTTGCTCGTGAATACTTCGTTGAGGATGTGCCCACGTTTTTTTTCCTGAAACAAGGGAAGGTAGTGGGTAGGTATGTTGGTAATTTGATCGATGATGTGGAGACGAGAATCAACCAAGATGGTGACGGTACCGGGCGAGGCTGTTGGATGTAGTTATATCTTTTGCTGGTGCGCGCTTCTCAGATCTTGATTGACGTGGCGCTCCGCTCGTGTTTAATAATTCTTTAACGATATATTACAAATGGAAAGTGACTGAGGGACTCTACTAAATAAGCTAGCTAACTAATCTAGTACTCCCAAGTAATTTACTTTCTATTTTATTCTTTTTTTCACACCAAGAAAATACATGAGTTTTTAAGATTACAATTTAGGGTGAAACAAATGAGAATGTATTTAAATAATTTTCTAGTATAGTACCCAAAAAGACCAAATCAAACCCAAACATTACTCATCTGGAATTCGTCCAAACACAACATCAAAAGCTCAATCAACATAAAATAAGCCAACAGTTGTATCTATATATATATATATATACTGCACAACAATACATACAATAGGTCTAAGTAACATTATAAACATCACACCTTACATATTATTATCCATACTAAATTCACCATCTGAATACTACTTAATAAGTTTTGACTTAGCAAGCGCCAAACGCTTCAGTCCAAGAAATGAGGCAGCACAAACTCTTCCACATCAAGATCCCCAAACTCCGAGGTAAAAGGAATATCAAACGAACCATAAGAAGCAGCAGCCACACCACCACTCTCTTGCACCATCCTTTCAGTACGAGGATGATAATAACAATACGCTGACATCATCTCAGCTGATGAACACACGGGCTCCTGAATTATCGGCTGGCTACCATACGGGCCCACGAACATGCTCCACGCTGGCAAACCTGGGTCCGCCTCTGCTGACATCATCATAGCCTGGCTGCTAGCAAACTGAGGGCCAGACGTTACACCGCCGAAAGGAGCAATACTTGTTGAAGCTCCTTTCGGATACACAGGCAGTGCTGGCTCCTCGACAGCTGGCGGGGTGGTCTCAGGGTGGACAGTTCTAATATCGTTGATGCTTGGCCTTTTGCCCTTCTTACTGCCTAACTTCAGACGTTTGAAGTATTTCTGAGCATGGCTTGCCACCTGGCTGTTTGTTTTGCCCGCCACACAGTTTCTTGCAATGCTCTTCCAATCACCTTTCCCGTACTTCTCCAACCCCTCGAGAAATTGCCTAAAAACCAGATGCATGAAACAAATATGAAACTAGGCAGTTTATTCGGAACAATTGCAATCTGAGAAACAGATGGGAAAGTTCTATGTGCGCTCAAATTGAAGGATATATTATCTAATGAAACAGAGTATTGCATGCAACACATTGTCATTTGTACCATCGAGTACCACACATAATTGAACAATAGGGAATCAGTTGGAGAAAACCTGACAAAACCTGACAGGATATGGTTTTAAGCTGAATGATCAGAGCTGTATGAAGACGTTTTTTTTCCCCTTACACTTACTAGAATGCAAAATGGTCGTCTCAAATAGGGAATCCTATTTATTTAACACGAAAATGTGCAACGAACCTTTCAGAATTTTAGCCATCACACCATACCATAGAGAGAACACACATAATATCATCATAACAAGTACTTCAACGATATCAAACCAAATAAACAACAAGTACTACTAGAATGGCAATAGATAAAGAAAAAGTTGAACAGTTATTTTACCTATGTTGCTTTACCGACCAAGGAATACCCCGTTTCACACCTCTTCTCGGTGGTTTCTTACTCATTTGGGGAACACTGACGTTATTTGGGTACTTAGGCAGAGGTACATCGCCAGACTCAATTGCCACCACATCAGCACGTAAGTCTTCATAGTGAAGTTTTAAGTCTTCGATTGTTTTCCCGGGAACTGCCTCTGCAATCTTTTCCCACTGATTGGGGTCATCATGGTAAAGTGCAAGAGCATTCTCGAATGCCTTATCCTCCTCCCTAGTCCAGTACGAATTCCTAAATATTTTGTCCTCCTCCCAATACCAGGAGCTGCTGCTGACTGTCCAATCTGTATCCATTCTCGAGGCAACTGGGAAAGCTTCTGTGAATAGTGAAAACAGAGAATGATGACCTTTCTAAATATGAAATATCATGTTATAGGATGGAATCTCGGAACACGTCCTGTCTTATTAAAGAAAGTAGCAGCAAAATCTATTTTGTTGGGAATTTAATAACCGCTGAACCATGCAAATGTGAAAAGGGAATCTACAGTAATGCTTGCGAGAAACAGAATAAAACAAGAATGAATTACATATAGGGAGTTTCTTAGCTGGCTAGGTACAAAAGGAATTCACATAGTTCAAAACAAGTAAAAGGCCCTACAGGGTTAGATTTTTGCACAGTCATTATTAAGTTTATGAAAACAAACAAACAGAAACTTAATTGTTTAAAGTTAAAGAATCCGTTAAAGTAATAAAACAGCGTCCATACGGTAGTCCTGATTCAATCATATCCATAGGATGACGGAAGTGTTGCTAAATTAAACCCCTAAACAGTATTGCAACAATTTTTACACCTGAAAATGCCAAAAGATATAATTATTTCTAAGAAAAGCGCAGTCTTACCCATACTGCACACACGATTACTTCTATGCATGACCACTAACCACAGTTGGTAAACATAACTTCATATGCATAATTCAGGATGAAATAGTGTGCTTGATCATAAAAATATGCACCTGCTTGTTATGTAATTATGATAACAACTTTCATGATGCACTACCTCAATCATGCAATTAATGGCCATCCAACAGTAGCTAAAGTATTGAATAAGAAAATAAGTGATAAAAAACCTCATATTGATGGAGAAATTTCTTCGTCTCAGTTATAATTTGGCCAATTGAGTTATTAATTTAGATCAAATAAAAAATCAGGTATATTATAGGGGGGCTCTACACAGTGGGATGGCTAATACTGTCTTCGCCGCGACAAATATACACTAAACATTCTTTAGGAGGGGGCCCACGATACGATAATACTCGGAAATTAACAAATTTCTACATAAAAAAGTTGGAATTACGGCATCAAGCTACATCAATCACGCAGTTCTTTGGGGCTATTTCCCCTTTCGTTCTTACCTTCTTTGCCCTTGTATCGATTTCACCTTCACAAATCCACAATAATATGACATTCATTATCAATTACTAGATCTTCGTTCTCTTCTATGGAATCCCATATACAGCCATATAGATCCTAAGACAATACAATTGTTTTATTACTAAAATAAGATCAATTTATGTAAATAATAGATTTACCTTGTAGTAACAATTAATTGCCGAAACTCTTCTTCTTGGCAAACGCAGCTAATAAAGGCACTTACCTCCAAATCCCTACCGAATACACTTCTTCTCTTAATATTTTTTTCTCTCAAGACGATTATCTACCCTGAAGAACCATACTATTTGTATAAACTTTATTTCTTGATAATTTTTTCCCCTAAGACGCTTTTTTTACTCTGAAGAACCATGCTATGTGTGTGTGTGTGTGTGTGTGTGTGTGTGTGTGTGTGTGTGTGTGTGTGTGTGTGTGTGTGTCCTGTGATTGTAATATAGGTGGTGTGGTGTGCATGCAAGCTTGCGCGTGTGCTTTACGAAATGGAGTGATCAAAGCACTCACTTTTCTGTGTGCATACATCATGGAGAAAATCACTTTTCCCCTGAATAGGCGGCCATGTGGTATCGTTTAACAGCCACCTGGCAATCTTAATCTATTTTTTATTCTTAGAATTCTTTAATGCGATAATTAAATTAGCAAAATCATACACAAATATGTATTTGTGTGAGTTGATTATGTGTGAGAGAGTGAATATATGAGTGTATGTGTGTGTGAGCACCATAAAGGCTTTGTGCGCGTGCAAGTGAAGATGGCGTGCATGCAAGGTTTTCCGCGAGCGTTACAATTTGCTGTAATTAATTTTTCCATCGCACTAGTCTTTGCCGTGTGCATAAATCACGGAGAAATTTACTTTTTTCTACTAAGTTGCCGTGCATTATTGCTCAGCGGCTACCTGGTGATTCACATAATCTGATATTTTTTTCCTTTAGTTCTTTATTAAAATGTTGATTGATTTACTTTAGCACGTGTATGATTACGTGGTGTTGATTCAATAAATTTAGGCAAACATTACATATATAAAACAGATTACAGAGGATTCTAAAATGAAATCATATTTTCGCATGTAATGACACAACTCACACAATCATGAAGATGTCTAGAGATGCAGATTCTTTATTAAAATGTTGATTGATTTACTTTAGCACGTGCATGATTGCGTATGTTGATTCAATAAATTTAGGCAAACAGTACATATATAAAACAGGTTACTTGAAGTTCTTTACCAAATAAGAGGAGGATTCTAAAATGAAATCATGTTTTCACATGTAATGACACAACTCACACAATCTTGACAATGTCTAGAGATGCAGACCTTTGTCATTTTAGATAATAAGCATCAATCAATCATAATCTTATGGCGGTAGTTACTTAAATTTTACATATATATATATATATGGAAGAAAAAATATTACGAGCATTGTTGCCTAAAAATTTATAATTTAGAATAGTTGAAAGAACTGAAGGAGTTATACTTTCAGAAGGCAAAATAAAATACCCTGATCACATGCTTACTGGCATTACATACACTGTAGAAACAGAGGGGGGCCTAAACTATGCCTGCAAATAATTTAGATATGAATTTATGAAGATTTTACTGTTATATGTCACTAGATGCTTTATTTACATGCATTGGATATTTATTCAATTTGTGTAATCATGTGCATACGTAGATAATTTGGATATAACTCCTCCCCAGTGTCCTTGTCTACTTGTTTATTCTAATGGTTAATTGGTTATGCATTCTAATCTTTGATCACTATATCACTACTAATTCTTCTACTACTTGCACCACTACTTTCTTAAAAGGCCCCCTTTCTCTCTACTGAAGTTCCATTTCAATTGGAAGGGCATGATTCTCACTCTCGACAGGTTGAAATCTCGACATCCTAAATTCTTGAACAGCATTATAAATCACATAGGTCTGAAATGGACAAACAACTACGAGAGCACAGCAAATTCGTATTGCTTCTATTCTCTCAATATCATTAATACAGTCAAGTATAAGGGGCAAGATGAACAGTGAACGCCCAACTTGATAAATCTCAATAGAGAATGTATTCACAAAGAAAGGAATCACCAATCCATATAAGAACTTTATTCGGGCATTTTGTCGAACAGATAGAATGCAAGGTAACACATACTCAAAAACCTAGAATTAACGATTTCATACAAAAGTAGATGATACCTTATGAGGAAAGACGCAGCCATCCCGTCGCCGCAGACACACCGGCTGCTTCCTCTGCCGCAACCGTGACGGTGGCCGGAGTTTGGACATGGTGCCGATTGTTTGACGGAAAATGTGGAGTGCGCAGATAAGCATGTGGATTTCCAGATATTGCGATTTGGGTATTTGATTTAGTTTGTAGTCTGCCATGCGAATCACTCACGAAGTTCTCCCTCCCCATGCCATATTTCTCGTTCTCAATTGCTGATAATTTTTTATTTTTTTTTTTGAAATTATATATTTATGTTGGAGATTTTTTATTTTGTATATTTGGGGTGAATTGCATTTTGCACCCCATAATTAACGCTAATTGGCGCTTTGCACCCTAATATTTTAAATTGGCAAAATCCACCCTCAAATTATATTTCTCATGGCACAATGCACCCCACATCAATTCCTTATAAAATTTTAACCCAAAAATCAAAGTCGCTAACCGAAATCAAAATCGAAAGTCGTGCTTTATTAAAAAATAAGGAAATCGTTAACAACTTTTATTACAAACAAAAACGCTATGACAGAAATACAGAGTCACTGTTGCTAAATTAACTAATCAGATTCATCTGATTTTTTAGCTGCAGCGGCAACAGCAGTTTCCTTTCCCTGCAATTTAAATTCACAAGCTTAGTAATGAAATTTAGCTATCATAAATTATAACTAAATTATTACTTATAACTCTATAGTTTATGATTTTTCGATTTTTCATTTTTCGACAATATGCGTATGATTTTTCGACTGTCGCTATATGATATTTAATGACTACTATTTGGATGGGAAAATCATTGATTAAATAATTTTATCAATACGCGACGAAAATATTAATATGTAACGAATATTCATCAACGAATGCGACAAATTAAAATCGATCGGAATTAATGTTATCGCGTTGAAATTATTCAAACGAGTACGTACTTACCGCGCGCACGCGTCGAATTATTTTGAAAATGGTTTTTTCGCGCGTATAAAATATTTTATATATTCAACATAAATATTATAAAACAAGATTTGGGATTATATATTTTCCAATTTTATTTAGAATCATTGAAATTAATGATACATTTTTATATATCGATTGACAATCGACAGTTTTTGTAGGAAAATAATGAAAATCGAAAGGTGATGAAGATCGATCTGCGAATCTTTTTATCAAGATCTGCACACAGACTGATACACACACACACATTAATATATATATATGTAGATCGTTGGCGTATGGCCTAATGGTGTGCGAAAACGCATCGGAGCGTGTGTCGGAGGGGCGTGAAGGCACGTTGGCGCGTAGCGCAACCAAGTTGTCGCGATGTAAGTTACTTGAGTCGTCGGTGTTGTCCCTTTACGATGTGATAGCTCGGATCAAGTTATCTCCTCGTGGGAGTTGTCTCGTCGCGGGGTAATAGAGTTGATCGAATTATCTCCTCGTGGGAGTTGTCTCGCGATAATGTAGTAGCACAAAGCGAGTATTCTCCTCGTGGGAGTTGTTATTTATTGACATTGTCAATGTTGTGACGCGTTGCTTGTATGTGTTTACATATAGCCTTGTGCGTGATGTACTTGAGGAGGGGATCAGGCTCTCAAGATTTTTATATGGGGATCGTGCCCTTTGTTAGACCTCGTGGGTCGTAAGTATGTTTGGACCGTGGCCACGTTTTAATGAAGGACCCATCGAAAACAAGTAGATAAATTTGAGTAATCAAGCTGGCCAGACTATATAGATTCCCATAATATTTCTAAGTGTTTCTAGGGTTGTAATCGTGCTAACTTGAGCTTGCGATTATATAGTGAGTTTCGGGCGAGTTGTCTCCTCATGGGAGTTGTCTCGCAGCGAAGTTGTAGAATCATTGGATCACGAGCGACTGACGAGTGTGCGGATTGATGTCGCTCTGAGCGATTTCTCTCCTCGTGGGAGTTGTCTCGCAGCGAGTCTTATTATCGAGCGAGGTGGCTGCACGTGGGAGTTGCCTTGCAACGGATTTATAGTGTCGAGCGAGTTGGCTCCTCGTGGGAGTTATCTCGCTGAGGGTTCGTAGTACCGAGCGAGTTGGCTCCTCGTGGGAGTTATCTCGCTGAGGGTTCGTAGTACCGAGCGAGTTGGCTCCTCGTGGGAGTTGACTCACTGCGGGTTCGTAGTACCGAGCGAGTTGGCTCCTCGTGGGAGTTGTCTCGCTGCGGGTTCGTAGTACCGAGCGAGTTGGCTCCTCATGGGAGTTGTCTCACTGCGGGATGTAGGACAGAGCGAGTTCTCTCCGCGTAGGAGTTATCTCGCTGTGGTTTCGTAGATCTGAGGGAGTTGGCTCCTCGTGGGAGTTATCTCGCAACGGGTTATAGGACGGAGCGAGTGGTCTCCTCGTGGGAGTTATCTCGCTATGGTTTCGTAGAACCGAGGGAGTTGGCTCCTCGTGGGAGTTGTCTCGCTGCGGGTTGTAGGACCGAGCGAGTTTGCTCCTCATGGGAGTTATCTCGCTATGGTTTCGTAGACCCGAGGGAGTTGGCTCCTCGTGGGAGTTGTCTCGCTGCCGGTTGTAGGATTGAGCGAGTGGTCTCCTCGTGGGAGTTGTCCCGCTGTGGGTATGAGACCCGAGGGAGTTGGCTCCTCGTGGGAGTTGTCTCGCTGCGGGTGGTAGTATTGAGCGAGTTGGCTCCTCGTGGGAGTTGTCTCGCAAGCCCCCCACTCTCGAGACGATGTGGGAGCCAAGTAGAAAGGGGTACCGGATCGTATTGAGAGTAGATCTGTGTTGTAGTCTTGCGTTAATCGTTGGCATAGCGTGGAGAAATAATTTTTTTTATTTGAAGAAGGCACACGATTTGGTAGAGCGCGTTGAAATTCACACGCAATTTGGAGAAGCGCGTCAAAATATACGCGCGATTTGGTGAGTAGAGTGGAGGCGCGCGCTAATGTGTTATCGGAAGGCGCGCGCGATTTGATTATGTATAGGGGGCGCGCGCGGGGTGTGATGGGAGCTGCGTCATAAAGGACATAAAGAATGGTAATGATGTGATAGGTGGCGCAGCATAGGCAGGTACGTGCCTGCTATGCTGCCCTCTTTACCCTCTTTATTTTATTATTTATTTTTTTTCTTTTTGTTTTTTGTTTTTTGTTTTTTGTTTTTTTTTTTTTATGTGTTTCTCTCGCGCGAATCGAGGCCTGTCTTTTGCAGATCTGCGCCGCCCCCAAGTGCGCGTGCTGTGCACGCGCTGCACCCCTTTTACATTTTTTTTTTCTTGCTTTTGCTGACGCGCGCGCGCGTGCGGTCATCTCCTCCTTTTTTTTTTTTTTTTTTTTTTCTTCTTTCTTCTTTCTTTCTTCTTCTTCTAATTCTTTTTCTTTTTTCTTCTTCTTTCTTCTTCTTTTTTCTTCTATTTTTTCATCTTCTTATTTTTTTTTTTCTTTTTGAGTTGATATTCACCCCATTGGAGATGTTCTATTTTTTGAGTAGGGAGATTATCCTCGTTCCTTGAGATGGGATGTGCGCCCCCTTGGGGATGTTCTATTTTTCGAGTAGGGAGATTATCCTCGTTCCTTGAGATGGGATGTGCACCCCCTTGGGGATGTTCTATTTTTTGAGTAGGGAGATTATATTCGTCTCTTGAGATGTGATGTGAACCCACTTGGGGTTGAAAGGTAAGGGTGATGCCCAACCTTAGGATGGGGATAACTCCCCACTGTAGGATGAGGCGCTCGAGACCTATGGTCTGAGGTAGATGTGCACGGTTGTGCCATTGGTTCGCGCATGCGCGTCAGACGTTTTTTTTTTTTTTTTTTTTTTTTTTTTTTTTTTTTTTTGAAGTAGGGACGTGAAACACTTGATGGGATGTGAAACCCCTTGGGGTTGAAAGGTAAGTGGATGTACCACTCTTGAGATGAGATGCCCAACCTTGGCGATATATGGTGCCACTGATTCAGTGGCAGCACGAGTTGAATCTTCCGTGATCATATGTTGAATGTCTTCTTCGGTAATCTGAACCGTTCGAGAAGTAAGTAGAAGTTAATCTTGTTGAAGGTTCGGCGATCATATGCTGAAGGTCCTCTTCGGTTATCTGAACCGTTCGAGGGGGGGCGGAAGTAGACCCCTAGAGAGTCGATGACCCATGGCGAATGAAAATTTTTGGGGGGACTGTGAACCCCCAGGGAGTCGATAACCTTTGGCGAACGAAATATTTTGGGGGCAGATGTAAGCCCCCAGGGAGTCGATAACCCTTGGCGAACGAAATATTTTGGGGGCGATGTAAGCCCCTAGGGAGTCGATAACCCTTGGCGAACGAAATATTTTGGGGGCAGATGTAAGCCCCAGGGAGTCGATAACCCTTGGCGAGCGAAATGTTTTGGGGGCAGATGTAAGCCCCCAAGGAGTTGATGGCGGTGGTGCCATAGGTGGCCCCACATGTGGAGCATGTGCTGGTATCGCGTTGGGAGCATTTGCTCCCATCGTGGCGATATATTGGGTCACGGCCTCTGTGGCAGCGCGAGTTAAAGCTTCTGCTATCATGCGTTGAAGCGCATCCTCGGTTATTTGAACCATTCGAGGAGCAGGGAGTGGTGGATCGGCGAGTGGTGGGTCCCGAGGGGGGATCACCTGAACCTCGCGAGACGGATCCATGGGACGTGGAGGAGGTGGCAAGCCAGAGCCTCCACGAGGTGGGAGGTCGTTAGCTGTGTCATTTTCTCTCCGAGCAGACGCCTCAGGAGGATCTTGTTGGCTACGTGATCTGGTTTGCATCGTTCCCACAGACGGCGCCAAAATGATGATGCTAAAATGTAGATCACCTGGGGTAGTGTAGAAAATGAACTGGGAGAGCAAAGCAGATCAGTAGCTTGACAACTTGATGATCCTGAGGTACCTGCGATCATAGAACACGTGAACTAGGCCGGGGGTTGATCCGGCGGAAACCCCTCCGACGCTCAAGTCAGACGTGCTGATAGTGGAAATAGTCCAGAGAATACAGTTAATAGTCTTGCTCAGTTAATAGGACGTACCTTAAGGAATGAATTCAAACATTTATTTATAGCTTAGTTGAGATTGTCGGGCTCAAACCTTACTTGAAGGTGATTGGGCCTCGGTGATAGTGGTCTTCGATATTGGGCTCGTGGCCTAGTAGGTAAGTAATTTGTAGGCCCATTGGGTTGGCCCAATTATGCATATCAAACATCTAATTGTTGTTGGACCAATTAATCGAATGTATTCATGTCAATAAATTTTAAGAAATCGATACATCACTAATAATAATCTTAAGTATTTAAATTTATTTTAATTCATTAATTTCTTAAAATATATTTTCATTCATTAGTATACAATATATATTACTTTTAAATATTTATCCAATAATTTAATTTTAGTTACTTTTCAATTTTTATGTTTCAATAATTATTAGATTATTATGTTTCTTATGTCTTAGATTTTAAATAATATAAAATAATTGATGTTGAGCGGGTAAGTGTTACAAATGATATTTTAAGGGGGTAAATATTACATATGCGCTATACTTTAGGGATAAAAGTGTATTTAACCATTATTATATAGATCAATTATTAAAATTAGATAAATATTTTATAACTTAGCAAAATTAGTTTATTATCAATAAAATGTTAGGTAAATATAGAAATTAAACGGATGTTCAACTTTATTTTATTTTATTTTATGGTATATTAATTTATCTTATGCTTATAAAAATAATCTAGTGGCATTTCAGTAGATAAACCCCAACTAAGTGACCAGAAGACGTACACATTAGATAAATATCCAATCTAATTATAATTCAATAATAATTAAACATACATAAAAACATGACCCATACATAGTAGATTACATACATACATAGATACATATATACATATCATACATAGGTCAGAGAAGAATTGACTTAATGAGAGAGGAGAGAATGAAATGAGGAGAAATTTCAATCCGATCTAATGGATTTTTGACGTCCGCAATAAAACCCCTCCAATACTAATCACACATTCTCTCTCTACTCTGTTCATCTTCTCTCTCTAAAAAGTGAGCTCAATAAAACTGTTTTTCTCTCTCTAATTGTTTTTTTTTTTTGAGAAAAGATTTTGAGAAGACTTTTTGACAGCTATCTATACATACACACTTCCAAGTATATATCTATATCTATATATACACTTCCGGCGCTGTTGAATTTGGGGTTTTCGTGAAGGGCAGTGAATTTCATTAATCTGTGCTTAAAAGAGTAAAGCACACTTGAAGAATGTAATAACTTTGAACCAAGAGTACGAAGATTTTAACAGATTGATGAGTTGAAATCTCAGTTTGGTAACTTTCCGCTCTTCACTTCAGGAGGATATTTTGCTTAATTTACATTTTTATCTTGTCAATTTTGATTTTTTACACACACTTGTGTGTGTATTTTTGTCTGTGCGTATTCGTGTTATGTATTCTACTTGTAGAGTGCGTATGTGCTGTTTAGAGTCCGTTGAAGTTTGGAGCCCTAGAGAATATGTTGTCATTCTGGCTTTGGATCGAGTGTTTTTGTCTATTCTCACGAGATTTAGGGTTTGATCGAGTTACTTTGTTTGAGCCTTTTGTTTTGTTGTATTTTTTTCTTTCTCGTTTACTTGCGAAGTTTATTTTCCGAATAAAGTTTGAAATTTGTACTTGTCTTTTGGTTCCTAAAAATTTTGGTTTCTATGAAGCCTTGTGTTACCAGATTTTTGCTTTAGTTACTCATCCTTTTCTTATATTGAAGAAAATTATGACTTGAAATTGCTTGTTTCATGCAGGGATTGACAGAAGAGCTGGTGAACGATAGCAACTTGTATAGACGACACACAAAATATAGGATGGTAGCGCAGAAAGCTATCTTTCTTGATTTCAGAGTTGTCGATTTTAAAGTTCAATTTTGCAACACACACACCCACACTCTCATGCGTGAGGTTTACGATTTTGTTGTTGTTGTCCACAATAAACATTTCAAAAATTCTAAAATTGGTTGTTGGCTTTCCGTGTAACATAACCCAAATTGTATCCATTTTGTTTAGGGTGGTAGCCATCTTCACACTTCAGAGGTGAAGTTTGATGATTTCGTGTTATTTAGATTGTAATTAGTAGTGCATTAGGAGAGTGTTATCAATCAGCTAGGCTCTTTTGATCCAGCAAAAACATGGTGCCACAAGGGCATCCTACTCCACTCGGTGGAGCTCAATCGGTTCCGTCTTCTTTGTTGAGATCAAATTCTGGGTTATTGGGTGGACAAGGTGGTGGGATGCCTTCGCAGAATGCATTTCCATCTTTGGTGTCACAGCGCAATCAGTTTAATAATGGGAATATATTGGGGAATATTCCCAACGTATCGTCTTTGCTTCATCAGTCATATGGAAACGGTGTTCCAACTTCTGATCTCGCTGGTCCAGGGAGCTCCCAGCTGGGGCATGTAGATGGTGGATCGGAGTCTGGTCCTAGAAATGGAATGGGATTCAATGCTCCTTCCTCTTCGTATATGTCCCCGTCTATCACAGCCAATGCAAACGGTCAAGTACAAGGGCAACAGCAATTTTCGAATCCTTCTGGCAGCCAGATGTTGACGGAACAGCAACAAGCTCAACAACTCGATCTGCAGAGTTTTCAACATAATCAGCAGCAGTTGCAGCAGTTTTCTGTTCCCAGCAATTCCCAACAACAACAGCAGCAGTTCCAAGGAATACGGCCTGGTTTAGGAGGGGGTGCTGGACCTGTCAAGATGGAGCCCCAAACGACGAATGAGCAAACGCCACAGCAATTGCAAGCTTTGAGGAATCTTGGTCCCGTGAAAATGGAACCGCAACAACTACAGAGTATGAGAAGTTTAGGTCCCGTAAAAATGGAACCTCAGCACTCGGATGCCTCTTTATTTTTGCATCAGCAGCAGCAACAACAACAACAACAACAGCTCCTCATGTCCAGACAATCCTCACAGGCAGCTGCTGCACAGCAGATTTTGCATCAACAGAGGCTTATGCAAATGCAACATCAGCAACAACAGCAGCAGCAGCTTCTGAAAAGTATGCCTCAGCAAAGATCTCCGTTACAATCACAGTTTCAACCGCAGAATTTGCCTATTAGGTCACCTGTGAAACCAGTCTACGAGCCTGGTATGTGTGCCCGAAGGCTGACACATTACATGTATCAGCAACAACACAGACCTGAAGTAAGACGCTGCTGTCAAATTAGTTGTACAGTTTTTAAAAGAAGGAGAAGCAGTGAAGGCTTCTGTAGAAAGCATAATATGGTTTCTTAATTAATGCAAGCACGTTGTTTTGTTGTAGGATAACAATATTGAGTTCTGGAGGAAATTTGTGGCTGAATATTTTGCACCCAATGCCAAGAAAAAATGGTGCGTCTCAATGTATGGGAGTGGTCGTCAAACTACAGGAGTATTCCCTCAGGTTGGTTCGGTTCGATTACAGACCCAATAATTAATTTTGCAAGGAGTACTTTGGTCCGGTTTATGGCATCATTGGTACTTTTGACTATATGATTAGATTTTATAATTAACAGAAATCTGATAACTCAGAGGTTCAGATTTTATTTTCAAAATAAAGTAAAAAACGTCATTGCAAGTTTTTTGCATCGAGATTATTATGAAATCTATTAATGTCTGAAGTCTGATACATGCAGGATGTTTGGCACTGTGAAATTTGCAATCGCAAGCCTGGTCGTGGATTTGGTGTGTTTCTATTCTTGACTTCACAATATTTTCTGTCAATCTTTTCCTGTTTCATCTGCATGGCGATTTGCTCACTTATTTGTTGCTTTGATGTGATGGTTTCACATGCTCTTGCTCTAGTATCCGTTTTTTAATCTCACTCCAAAATGTTGGTTCCATCTTCCTACCCACACCCCGAAACTCTCACAAGAAAAATGTTAATATTTGGGAAGGATGATATATAAACGGAATATATAGGGGACCTGACACTAGATTTTTGTTTCTGTTAGAGGCAACGGTTGAAGTTCTGCCGAGACTCTTCAAGATAAAATATGAAAGTGGAACTTTGGAAGAATTACTTTATGTTGATATGCCCCGAGAGTATCAGAATTCATCCGGGCAAATTGTTCTGGACTATGCAAAGGCGATACAAGAGAGTGTGTTCGAGCAACTTCGTGTTGTTCGTGATGGTCAGCTTCGAATTGTATTCTCACCTGATCTCAAGGTTACACCATAGGCTAACAATTAAGTTTTTTCTTGTTTTCAACTTCTAGAGCTGCTATGTACTTACTTTTTTTATCCGTTTATGAATTAATTTGCCAGATATGCTCATGGGAGTTTTGCGCTCGACGACATGAAGAACTTATTCCTAGAAGATTACTAATTCCTCAGGTTAATATTTTTTTTCTAAAACCAATTCACACTTTGTACTATGACTCATTTGGTTGGAATAAGCAGGAAGAGTATGTGCTGCCATTAACATGGTCTGGTTCTTTTTTCATTTCTTTGATATGAACTGCAGATTAGCCAACTTGGCACTGCTGCCCAAAAATACCAGGCTGCTACCCAGAATGCATCACCCAGTCTTTCTGTCTCCGAGCTACAAAACAATTGCAATATGTGAGTTAGTGTTACTTTCCTCCTTGATGGATCTTGATTTTCCTTTGTACAATGCTTATCCGTTTAGTGATGTAGTCCATGTTTTGTCAAATTGAATGTTCAGTCTTACTTATAAGGTATTTTGTTGATTATATTGTATTACATCGATGTGAATCATGACAGCTCTAGGTTTTAATTCTTGAAACATCATAATTTTAAAGCTTAATCTGCCCAGCCTTGCTAAATTGTCCCAGAGAAGTGGCTTACATGATTGTTAAGGTTGCTGATTTTTGCTTCGAAAAGTCATTTCATTTAATTCTCTCTCCCGATGAATGAAGTTGTAGAGAGTAATATAGTATGTGGCCGTATATTGGACAGTGATATTGCATTGATCAGTTAGTCATCCAAGAAGAGGAGTGCGTGTGGTTATTAGGCAATTATAAGCTGGTATACTTTGGGAAGAAATCCCTTTTCTTTTGTACTGTGAATTTGAGTTATTATTACTTTTATGCTTGATAGCTTTTAGTAAATGTTAGAGAAGTCCATGTAAGAGAAGACAACTGGAATGTGAACAATAAAATGTCATCAATGGGTTAACGGTCCAACATGCTTTTCTCAGTTCCGGATACAAAATGCTCTTTACATTTATGGAGTAATATTTGACATGCTTGCTACTCTATAATTTTTTTCCCTACTACTCATAATCTCACGCCTTTGGGAGTTCTCTTTGGTGTTTCATCCACTAGGACTAAACCACACATTGTGTTATTCTGAAGTTACTTTTATGGTGTATAGGATTTACTTGTCTTGATCACTTGACTTACTATAATAAGGCTCTTTGGATCACATACCTGCGATTTTACTTTCTCAGGTTTGTTGCCTCTGCTCGTCAGTTGGCCAAAGCCTTGGAAGTTCCACTGGTAAATGATTTGGGATACACAAAGAGATATGTTCGATGCTTGCAGGTAAAATGCATTGTCCTAGACAACTCGTGTTTCAGCAATTGGAAATTATGGTCGAGTTCAGCTATCATGTATCGAAAACAATATGTACAATTGGAGTAACATATCTGTATGCATACTTAGATAATTGATGAATAGCATGAAAGATAATTAGCCACTGTTGACATTGCAGATATCAGAAGTGGTGAATAGCATGAAAGATCTTATTGATTACAGCCGTGAAACTGGTGCAGGTCCTATGGGTAAGAGCTCTCTCTCTCTCTTCCCCCCCTCGTTTCTCTGCATGTATCAAGGGCATCTGCAGTCAGGATAAGATGTGTTGTACATCCTTCCAACTGTCTGCAACTATTGCTTTCTTGATCCATATTTAGTTTCCTGAAATCTACTACTATTGGTCTTTGATTTGTTTCCGTGGCACTATTGCATGTGCAAGATTTTCTCAAATGTAATCAGTGTTATTGTTAATTTGTCTTTCCAGAGAGTCTGGCGAAGTTTCCTCGAAGAACAAACCCTTCACCTTCATTTCAACAAGGTCAACCTCAACAACCCGAGGGTCAACTACAGCAGCAGCAGCGAGCCATGGCTCAAAACCCACACAATGATAATACTGTTCAGGCTGCAGCCATGCAACTTGCTTCTTCGAACGGCACATCGAGTGTTAACAACACTGCAAACTCAGTGCCCACAACTTCATCTAACAGCACTATAGCTGGACTTCTTCATCAAAACTCAATGAGTTCTAGACAGCAAAATCCGTCTTACTTAGGTAATAATAACATTCAGATGCCATCTCCTGGTTCTTCGAGTGCCAACCCCCAGACTCAGCCCCCTCCATCCCCCTTCCAATCCCCAACACCATCCTCATCTAATAACAATCCACAACCAACTTCACACGCCAGTTTACAGCAACAGCCTGCTCTTTCTGGAGATGCAGATGCAAATGATTCACAAAGCTCCGTCCAGAAAATTATACACGACATGATGATGTCATCTCAGCTTGGTGGTGGTGGTGGTGGTATGATGGGCATAATGGGTAGTGATGGGAAAAACGTAAACGGTATCAATGGTGGGAATATTCTCGTTGGAACAGGAGTGGGTAACGGTAACCACCAAGGTATGGGTGTTTCAGGGTTTGGGAGTATGGGCAACGGGCTACCCCAATCAGCTATGGTGAACGGGATTAGATCAGCACTTGGCAATAATTCGATGTCTATGAATGGGAGGGTAGGTATGCAAATGACACGAGAGCAGAGTATGAATATGAATTCGCAACAGCAGGATATTGGTAATCAACTGCTCAACGGTCTTGGTGCAGTTAATGGCTTTAATAACCTTCAGTTCGATTGGAAGGGATCTCCGTAATAGCGTTTTTTTAATTATCATTTGTGGTGTTTGGCCTTTTTAAGTGAAATTAGCTGTTTGTGCAGCGTAGAAAAATCCAGGAATTCCCTGTGTGGCTGGGAAAAAAAGTTGGAAGTGCATATAACGAAAAGAAGAAGAACAACAAATAAATCGTTTGCCAGCTCGAAGCCCCTTTGTTGTACTATAATGTGAAAAGAAAACATAAAGCAGTGGTTTTCTTGCGAGTGTTCGAAAATAACCTTAACTTGAACATGAACTGGATTGCGAGTCGCGACAGCAAAGCATGTATGGAGTGTGCGTGATGTGGCGCTCGGGAATATCTGACGTGTCTCTATACTCTTCGGGTTTCTCCTCCATGTGGCTCCCCCCTGCTTCAGCTTTTCCCCCCCAATATGTGAGTGTATATAGTTTGGATTTGCCTTTTTTTTTTTTAAGCTAAGTTTATTGTAGAATTTCTAACAGCTTCTCAGGACTTCTATTCAACAATCGTTTGATATCTATAATCTTTTATTAGTTGCAGGAATTCACTTTCTAAATTTTTTTAGTCAGTTTCCCCCCCTTCCCCTCCTGGAAAAGTTAAGAAAAAAAAAAGAATGAAATACTCAATACTGTGGAGTGTGAAGTGTGAACTGATGTTGCTTCTTCTAAATTGAAAATAAAAAAATAAGAAAAGATGCCAAAAATTGAAAAAGTACAATTAGGTGGATTTCTTGTTAATTTAGTGATAGATATGGAATACAAGGAATAACAAAGTCTTCAAGTAATCTCCATTACTAAATTTTACACACACAAATATATTAAAGACTTCTGATTTTGCCTTCGTACTTAGAGTAATGTGATTCATTTGATTGTGATGGCAAGAAACTGACAAAATAAAAAAGAAAAATTGTTCACATATGTCACATTCATTACAACCTAATATCAATAATAAAATATGAATTATAACAAAAAAATAATATAGAAAGTGACGAAAAAGACCCTTAATATGGAATAAAGTACAAACAATTACATGTTTTAAGGTTTCAATATTATGTCAACTATTTTATAAAGAGGGGGCAAAAAGTATAAAATAAATATTAGAGCGGATCAAATCTTGAATTTATTATTTTCATGTATACAGATTTGTTTTAGTGATTTTTCAACCACCGCCTATTAAATTTATTCCACTTTTTTTTCTTACTATTTCCCATATCTCGAAAATAATACTACACTTAACAAAAGTTAATAATTCTCAGAAAAGTACAATAAATTGATGGGCCCTACATGCTTCTCTTTTCTTACACCAAGAACCCCAAAACGTGCAAAACAGCCAAACAATTACAACTGCACAAATTAAAACCCACCAAAATTAAATAAATTAAATAAATAATAATATCTGACATCATCTTCTTCTTCTTCTTTTTCTTCAGATTAACTTCCCATTACTTCATTACTCGAGTTCTAGAGAGAGAGATAGAGAGAGAAAACAGGAGCATACATTATCCGCCATGGATATGGATCAAGACAACATGAGATTTCTCGGGCTCATCGGAGTCTACAAAGAATCATGCAAGCTGATTTTCCGGTGGAGAAAACTCTTCTCTCTGATAACCCTAACCCTAATCCTGCCACTCCTAATCGTCTTCTTGGCCGAAGAACCCGTGTCCGAGATTCTCTACGACAAGATCAGGTTCAACGAGTTCATGCTCATGGACTCCGCCGCCGGAACGCCGTCGTACCACAAACTCTCCGACCTCGTCTCCGCCGAATGGACCGAGTTCATACTCCTCAAGGCCTTCTACTTCGCCTTCGTCCTCGTCTTCTCCCTCCTCGCCACCTCCGCCGTCGTCTACACGGTGGCGTCCGCCTACACCGCGAAGGAGGTGACCTTCAGGAAAGTCATCGGAGTCGTGCCCAGGGTTTGGAGGAGGCTGGCGCTCACCTTCCTCTGCATCTTCTTCGCCTTCTTCGCGTACAACGCGGTTTTCGGGGCGGCGGTCTACTGGTGGACCCACACGAGCATGTCGGATTCCACGGCGGCGACGGTGGTTTTCTTCGTTGTCGTGATAGCCGCTTACGTGGTGGGGTTCGTGTACATGACGATCGTGTGGCAGCTGGCGAGCGTGGTGTCGGTGCTGGAGGACACGTGTGGGGTGAAGGCGATGGTGAAGAGCGCCGACTTGATCAAAGGGAAGCTGGTGGTGGCGGTGGTTGTTTTCGTGAAGCTGCTCGCGGCGGTGGTGGGTCTGTACATTGTGTTTGTAGTGGTGTGTTTGAATATGCCGGTGGTCGCGAAGAAAATTGGGTTCGGGGGACTCTGTTTGGTGGCTTTGGTGGCGGTGGTTCTGTTTGGGCTGGTGGTGCAGACTGTGATTTACTTCGTATGTAAGTCGTACCACCGTCAGAATATCGATAAGTCGGCTCTTTCCGATCACTTGGAGGCATATTCCGGTGGTTATGTTCGGCTGAAGGCGTCCCCGGCGGAGAAGGATGTTCAGCTCGAGGAGTATCGTGTCTGAATATATATTAAATACTTAATTAAGAAACTAATAAGATTTGTAAGCGCGTGGGTTTGGTTTGATAATCAAGAACATGAATATAATTAATTATCGTCGTTAATTAAATTTCGTATTAAATGTGAGTTAATTTTACAGCACAATATATCACTTTTGTTGCAAGCCCAATAATATAAGAGAAGCCCAATCTTGAATAATTAATGGGCCCATCTTATTGGGCTTTTCTGTTAAATAATCATAATTTATTTTTTACTAATAATAATAGGGCAAATTACGACAGTCCCTGAGGTTAGGTCAAATTACGAAAAATCCCTCATGTTTGCATAATTACAAGCACCCCTCAACTAATTATCTTACGAAAAAATCTCTCATGTTGATAAATTTAGGGGCATTTATTCGGTAAAATTGTACAAAAATTACGGGATATGATCATACCGTTTGTTTTTGTTTCCATAAATAACCGCATTACCAATTTTTTATTAAAAATATTTAAATATTTGATTTTTTTTTAAAAATTAATTTTAGTGTAAAAACTAATACTAAATTTATAAATAAATATATAAATAAAAATAAAACAACATCGAATTAACGGTTTGGTAATAGGCATGTACGAAGTTTCATTTCGTTTGATTCGATCGGTTTACTAGCCGAATGAACACCCCTGGATAAATTTGACATTGTAAAGATGAACGTGTAAAATAATATATAGTTGAGTGGTAGTCGTAATTATGCAAACACGAGAGTTTTTTTCGTAATTATAACTTACCTCATGGAGTGGCCGTAATTTAGCCATAATAATATTAAAAAGAATAAAAATAATTATAAATGCATATCTAGAACATCAACGCCACCTCCAATTTCAGCTGGAAACGTACACACTTCGTTGCACAGAGTACAACGTTTTCATATTTAGTATTGTTAAAATCTTTTTCCACCGTTTCACGGAGCAAAAGAGCTATTTTCAATCGGCTGATTTTCCATTTCCCTTTTACCCTGTTTCGTTGTTCTTCTGAATTACGATTGCTTTCGTCATACTTCAATTGCTTTATCCTAAAAAAGTATAATAATTATTAAATATACGTACTTGCGAATAAATTATCACGCATACGTGTATCTCAGATCTGCTCCGCATTTTTTTTCTTCGATCACAGCAATTAAATTTTCAGGTCATCTCTCAATCTAGGTTTTGTTCTCCGTCTTCCTTCTGTAATGGGTTTCCGTTTTTATGGAAAGTAATTAATTTATGATTTTTTGTGCGTAACAGGTTTTCGGGAAAGAAAATTGGAAGTCTGTCTGTCTGAAAACAATATGGAATCATCATCGGGAGCGGTGCCGGAATTCGATTACTTGTTCAAGCTGTTAATGATAGGAGATTCCGGTGTTGGGAAAAGTACCCTTTTGCTCAGTTTCACTTCTGATACTTTTGAAGATCTCTCTCCTACAATCGGTAACTCTATAATCCTCTTTTTATAATTTAAATTGTCAAATTATTTGGTATGAATATGCATATTAGCTTGAATTTAAATGATGTAATCTGTGAATTTAGGGTGGAATCTGAATATGTTTTGGGGAGGGTCTGAATAAAAACTAGAGAATATATATTGCACATAATCTAGAAGGTTCCGCTAAATTTGACACCGTAAGAGTTGACGTGTAAGAAGATTCATGGTTGAGGGGTTGTTTTCGTAATTTGACCTTACCTCATAGGGTGGCTTTTACCCTTAATAAGTATCTTCGTTCTATCGTACGTTTGTAGGGACAAACTGTAAAAGTATAATGGATAATGCAAAACCAATTCGGCAACACTTGTGTATAAGTCAAGTAAAAAAAAAAAAAGGTTAACATTCTATTGTATACCAGCAAAAGGATTAATGGTATTACACGGTAGTAGTATAAACTTTATGAAACAGTTTTTGGATGATTGGAAGCAAGAATATCATTTTCTGGCACCGAATATTTATGAATTCAACCTTCAACGTATGATGGGAAATTGGTCACGATTATTATGGGTTGCATTCCGTTCTTGAACCGAAGCAAATAAATTAGGAAATTGGTCACGATTATTATGAGTTGCATTTCGTTCTTGAACCGAAGCAAGTAAATTATACTTTGTCTAATCAGCCCTACTTCAGTTATGCGATACCCGTATGCGCTTCATTGGTTCTTTGATGTCTTTTCTTTTTTACGTCTATCATTATGTATGCGTGTGGATGTGTTGTATATCTTTCCATGTGATACAACTGTCGATCTCTCCAGCCTTACTCGCCACCTAACGTTTGCTCTATGAATAGAATAATAAACGTTGGGTCACATTGAATAATAATTTTTTTTATGAGTTGTATTTAAAAGCAGCGTACGTTGCGTTCTACGTTTCTTTGTAAAAATTGTTATACTTTCGTGTAGTCTAAAAAACCATCTCGTGTTCGGCCTCTAATATGCCGTTTCTTCTGTCTACAGGAGTGGACTTCAAAGTAAAGCATGTCACTGTTGGAGGGAAGAAACTTAAGCTTGCAATCTGGGACACTGGTAAGAATGCTGCCATGGCTTTGCATTTCGTTAAGTGGTATACGAAATATTTCATAAGGTCTATTTTGTAATAATGCAACCAAATCTTTTCTTTTCTTGTTGGTTCACTGCCTGTACTCTCTTTAGGAACACCACCACACCCCCCCCCCCCCCCCCCCACCCCCGTGTTTGCAAGAACAATATATTTCAGATGGTTAGCAAATCCTAACTTCACCTTTTGCAGCTGGACAGGAAAGATTCAGGACTTTGACAAGTTCGTATTACAGAGGAGCTCAAGGAATCATCATGGGTATGCTTAAGATTCGTTTTCACGTACCATCTTTAGGTTACTTAGATGCCCCTTATTAGGGAACACATGAATTCCGACTGCCTGATAATCTGCTCAATAGTTTCTGTTATTGGAGTATGCATGGCTTTCTTCTCTCATACATCTTTTTGTACAGTGTACGACGTGACACGGCGAGAAACCTTCACAAATCTGTCTGATATTTGGGGTAAAGAAATCGACCTCTACTCAACAAATCAAGATTGCATCAAGATGCTTGTAGGCAACAAAGTTGACAAGGTATACATATATATCCCTTTACAGCAGTATAAGCAGTTGAATCACACACACACACACACACACACACACACACACACACACACACTCACACACACATATATATATATATATATATACACACACACACACACACACACACATATATATATATATATATATATTCGATTATATTTATTTCCTTGAAAATGCTTGTGCAATGTGTGTGAAAGAAACTTTGGTGTTGTAGGAAAGTGAAAGGGTTGTGAGCAAAAAAGAAGGAATTGACTTTGCGAGAGAATATGGTTGTCTCTTCATCGAATGTAGTGCCAAAACTCGAGTCAACGTGGAGCAGTGTTTTGAGGAACTTGTCTTGAAGGTTTGTTAGTGTAATTTTTTGGTCGTATTAATTTGTAGCAAAAATCATTAAACATACGATTGTTTTGTTAAAGTCATTTGTTCAGCATACATATTTTACGTGCATAACCATTAAACATACGTGCTCTCGATTTTGTGTAATATGGACAGATATTGGAGACGCCAAGTCTGTTGGCCGAGGGGTCAGCTGGTGTGAAAAAGAACATCTTCAGACAGAAACCACCCGAGTCTGATGCATCCACTAGCGGTTGCTGCTGAACGAGAGAATATCTTCATCACCTTGTAATTTTAGATCGACTTTTGCTTCTGTTTTAATCCAATCCAAGAAATGTCTGTATTTGATCTCTGTCGTAAACTCAGCTTGTTGGATCTTTTCATCATAGTTCGTCTTTCTTTTCACGTTTCTAATCGTTGTAGTTTCGAGCTGGACCGGCACAGGCAGCTTACGAGTTTGGAACAATGCAAATTCCTATTTCAAATATTATATATCAAAAATTGGCTAACATTTTACAATTTTCAGATGAGTTGATAATACATATATTTGGACTTGTCGAGATTATCTTACACATTGTTACATTAACAAAAAAAATCATTAAATATAATAAGATCATCTTTATATTTATGGTCAAAATTGCAAAAAATCAAAATAAAATAATAAAAAACAAAAAAATTTAGTCCACTCTGAAATGTGGCCCAATAGAACATCATATTAAACCTTGAGGCCCAATCAAATATGGCCTAACTGAATATCATATGCTGTGGGGGTATATGGTTTTAAACCCTAAACCCCAAAATCTCGCAATTCTTACTTCACCGTCGCCGATCATCGAATTGCCACCGTTCGCGATGGCGGGAGACGGTAAGATAATAGCGGTGTCGAAAACGGATATGAAGCGGAAGCAGGAGCAAGCTAAAAAATCGAAATCCGGTGGGTTCGAGTCGTTCCGATTCATACCCGATGTCTACAATGCTATCAAGAAGAAGGGATACAAAGTGCCGACGCCGATACAGCGGAAAACCATGCCCTTAATTCTCGCTGGATACGACGTCGTTGCCATGGCCCGTACCGGCTCTGGCAAAACGGCGGCTTTCCTCATCCCCATGCTCCAGAAGCTTCAGCATCACGTGCCGCAGGCCGGAGTTAGGGCTCTTATTCTCTCTCCGACGCGTGACTTGGCTCTTCAAACTTACAAGTTTACCAAAGAACTCGGCCGCTATACAGGTACCTAGTTTTTCTAACCAAGCGTTTATTAACTACACAACTGATAAATGCATGTTTTCTGTTCGAGTTGCTTATTTGGGTTTGCTGAATCAGGATGTAAAACTAGGGCAAATTTGGGATTCATTAGTGTAAGTTTATTTCGAGCTTGGTTAGCTACATGGTTTGTCAGGGCATTTTTTTTCTTCATTTCATGAGTCCATCTTTTGATTTTTTTGTGAGCTATTTTGTTTTTCATTTTTTGGTTGTGATTCTACTGAATGTTTCAACTGAAAATCCTCCCTCCCTCAGAATTGCTGTACCCTACTAACTGCAACTGTATTATTTACTATACTATTGATTTGTTCTTTGTAGATCTTCGTACAAGTTTACTGGTTGGTGGTGACAGCATGCAAGTCCAATTCGAGGAATTGGCACAGAATCCTGACTGCATAATTGCTACTCCTGGTAGGCTCATGCATCATTTGGACGAGATTGATGACATGTCTTTGCGCACTGTGGAATATGTTGTTTTTGACGAAGCTGACTGCCTTTTTAGTATGGGATTTGCTGAACAGTTGCACAGAATCCTTGGTCAGCTGGGTGAGAATCGTCAAACCTTGCTTTTCAGCGCAACTTTACCGAGTGCACTCGCTGAGTTTGCCAAGGCTGGTCTTCGGGACCCTCAACTTGTGAGACTTGATTTGGAGACAAAAATTAGCCCCGACTTGAAGCTTGCCTTTTTCACTATAAGGCAGGAGGAAAAACATGCTGCGTTGCTGTATTTGATAAGGGAAAAAATACATTTTGGCGAGCAAACTCTAATCTTTGTTTCCACTAAATATCATGTTGAATTTGTTCACTCCTTGTTCAGAGAAGATGGTATTGATGCTTCTATTTGCTATGGGGATATGGATCAAGATGCCCGTAAGATCCATGTGGCAAAGTTTAGGGCTAGAAAGACTATGTTGCTTATTGTGACTGATGTGGCGGCCAGGGGAATTGACATTCCTTTACTAGATAATGTTATCAATTTTGACTTCCCTCCTAGACCTAAACTTTTTGTCCATCGTGTTGGGAGAGCTGCAAGGGCTGGTCGTACAGGTACATCGTATTCTTTTGTTACACCGGAAGACATGCCACACGTCTTAGATCTTCATCTCTTTCTCTCGAAACCAATTAGGCCTGCTCCAACTGAGGAAGAGGTCATAAGAGATGTGGACGGTGTTACTAGTAAAATAGACCAAGCAATTGCAAATGGATCAACTGTTTATGGACGTTTTCCCCAAAGAGTTATAGATCTGCATTCAGACAGAGTTCGACAAATCGTTGAAGCATCCACAGAACTGACTGCTTTGGTGAAACCGGCTGCAAATGCATTTGGCCTGTACAAAAAGACAAAAGCAAAAGCATCTAAGGAGTCTATTAAGAGAGTAAAAGCCTTGCCCCGAGAAGGATTACACCCAATGTTCAAAAATGACCTAGGGGGTGATGAACTAACAGCTTTAGCCTTTTCCGAGCGCCTGAAAGCATTTAGGTGAGTCCTAGATCAACTTTTCAATCTCGCTTTTTAAACGGAAAGAAGGTTATTTATGATTTACATAATGACTCCTTTACGTGAATTACTTTAATAGACCCAAGCAAACCATTTTGGAAGCTGAAGGCGAGGCTGCAAAATCAAAAAAGAAAAAGGTAATATCATATCTATACAATCTTCAAGTCACTGATATTGTGTCGCTATTAATTTCAGATTCTCTGTTCTTATTAATTATTATTTTAGTCAAATTTGATGATAATGAGAAAAATAACAGGGACCTTCTAGTAAATGGGTTGATGTGATGAAGGTGAAAAGAGCTATGCATGATGAGGTTATCAATAAAGTTCAACAGCAGCTTACGATAGATCATGCCGAGAAGGTAAATTTTTTTATGGGGTAGGATGATAGCTGTGGGTCAGGAGTGTCTGGAAATCAAATAAAATACATTCATGTAGCACAAAAAACTATTTGTTACTTAGGGTTCATTACATTAAACACTTTCCATATGTTCATATGAGGTAATGGGGTTTTTATAAGGTAAGGATGGCAAATAACTTAATTTACCTATTAGCCGACCAGGTGCATATGAGATAGCAGAAGAGTGTTTCTTTAGAACATAGGAGTTAAATGTCCAAAGATCAATTTTATTGTCCCAAATATCAAGTTGATCCTCGGCTATCCTTATTATGTTTATTGCTTTATGGCTAATTTCCTGGATATCTTTCCTCAGGTTATTTGATAAATCTCTTTGTCCTTGTAGGAGGAAGATATTGAATCAGATCACAGTCCTAAGAACAAGCGGAAACGAGGTGATTATCATGACACACACACACATATATATTTGTTCCGGAAGACTCGGAACAGTCGGTCGTTTTTAACTTTTGCTTCAAACGTGACAGATTGTGTCTATTTTTTTTTTCCTAGTCATTATGGCCTATAGACAATGATATAACCATTGTTTTGACTACTTAGGCCGATAACATTTTAGATGATCATTTTATTATTTCTCTTTATACTATTCAATTGGTCCTGGCAGTATCCGGCACCAAAAGGAAGGCACATAGCTTCAAAGATGAGGAGAATTTCATAAGTTCAGTGCCCATAAATCAGGTGAATTACCTAATCTCTTGTTTGCTAGATCATTCCAAAGTCCAAGAAATTGTTATGTTTTGTGAATTTGACCTCAGTCTGCAGTAGTTAGAATTTATTCCTTCCAGTAATTTGCAGTCTTTGGCTTAGTTAATAATACTAAGCTCTTATGAAACAGTCTTATCCATCAATTGAGTTGGTGTTGCATACATTCTGAAATAACCTTCCCGTAACTGTTTCAATTTCAGCATTTTGAAGCAGGGCTTTCTGTGAGAGGTAACCAAGGCTTTGAATCAAACAGGTAAGAATATGATTGGCTGTAAAATATTTCTTATCTCATAGTATGAAATGTGCTAACTTCCATGTTTTTCAAAATTAGATAATATTTAGTTTGTGGGTCTTAAATTAGGTATTTGTGTCTATTTTAGATTAGGTGTGTAATAGCTGGTTCGATATACCAAGAATAAATATGATTTATGGTCTCGATCTTGTGTAATAACAGCTGCTGATGTTTCAGACCTTGTAGTAGTGTAATCTGTCATGTATCATGTGTATTATGCTGCCCGAATTTATCAATTTAACTTCCCTATTGGAAAGTGAATTGACGTGTTGAAATGAACAGACTGGATGCCGCTGTTCTTGATCTAAATGCTGATGATGGTGGAGGATTGCAGAAGCAGAAATCTTCTTATCACTGGGATAAGGTACTAATAAGCTATTAGTTTAAACACCTATAGCCAATCCTAAGAAATGAAAAAAATAAAAAGGTGAAAAATTAGAGTACTCAGTTTTCAACTCTTGATGTGGTTTAATTTTGTTGACTTTGTAACAGAGGAGCAAAAAGTATATCAAGCTAAACAACGGAGACCGCGTGACAGCTAGTGGGAAGGTATTTTTTTTTTTTTTTGGCAAATGCAAATTTGTTGCCTTATTTAAATTAATTTCAATTTATTTGTAAAGAATATCATCATATGCCTTTGCTCCGAACTGCTGTATTATTGTTCGATACATACCCAGAAGACATGGTTGTAATCCGGATGATGAGTCTAGACTGTAAACCTTTAAATCCTTAGAAATTGTGAACCCGGGATAAGGTAGAACTCACAATTCAACCTTATTAGATCTCTAGTCGAAAAATAAAATTGGGATCACTAAATTTAGCTGTATATAGATTTTCTACACCAAATTGAACTACAAACAAGATTTTAATTAACTAGTTTTTGGTGTGAAATTGTGCTTTGCAGATAAAAACAGAAAGCGGTGCCAAAGCGACGGCCAAAAAGACTGGGATATACAAAAAGTGGAAAGAGCGTTCACACATGACGGTATCACTTAAAGGAACAAACAATGAGAGTACTACAGGAGCTTCCAGTTCAACAGGTAACCTTTTGATATGAGATAGTATGTCATATTTTTTTTTTCTATACCTCAGAACAATAATGCAAATGCTATAATAATATCTTAATTTATTTCAATTAATCTTCTTCAAAATGTGCTCCAAACAGTTGCGAACAACCCCACACATAAAAATCACCCTTTGGTATCTTTTGTGTCCATTTCGCTCCAATTGCTGCGTTATCTTACCTATGCATTCTTCTCCATTTAACACATGTTGAACTTATTCTTTAAAAAGGTACTCCTGGTTCTGGTTTTAGAGGGGATAACCGAAGGTTCGATGGTGGAAAAGGTAGTCCTGGTTCTAGAGGGGATAACCGAAGGTTTGATGGCGGAAAAGGTAGTCCTGGTTTCAGAGGGGATAACCAAAGATTCAATGGTGGAAGAGGTAATAATAGATCGGTACCAAATGCCCATCTACGTTCAGAATTAAAAAATCCAGAACAAGTTTGGAAGGAAAGGCAAAAGAAAGCAGACAGAGTTTCGTATCTCAAGAACAAACCTAATAATAAGAGGGGAAAGAAGAAGTCCGGGCAAAGTAGCAGAAGAGGAAAAGAGTCGGGGAAAAATGGCGGTGGCAAAAGAGGAAAGGGGAAGTAGGGAGTTCTGAAAACTTGTATGCCGTTCAAGTGGGAGTGCCTCAATGAATACATGGCTTTCGAGTTTGTTCTTGCGCATCGGATCAAAGGGATGAAGTAACTAACATTTGGCTTTCGAGTTTGTTCTTTGTTTGGAAGTATACTTTTAATTCGGCCCTCATGCTTTCTTCGTTTATGATTTTTGTCAATTGATTGATACTGATGTAATAAACTCAGGCCAAGTAAGTAGCATGGGAAATTTTGGAACTCAGCTTTGATTTTGTTGTGGATGTTTAAATATAGATGTGTATCTGTCTATTTAAAGAAAATTGTTTTTTTTTTTCTGAATAATATTTAAAGAAATTTGTTTTGGATATTTTGTAATGGGTATTTTTTTCTCTTGCACTAAGATTAAACGATCCATTTCTCAAAGAAATGTTTTCCTTCATTTTCTTGAAGTAAATGCACCCATTTATAATGTTATATATTATTTTTAATTTAACAAGAGTACCTTTTTTAAATTTAAAAGAACATATACAATTAAAATTGGGTGCATGCACTTAAAAAAAAACAGCACAATATATTATATAAAATATAGGGTCTATTAGATATAACCCCCTTAGAGCAACTCCAATGGTAAAGTATCAAAATCGATCATCAAATATTAATTTGATACTCGTTTTATTATTTTGATACTCATTTACTCCAACCACAAGCATTAAATGAATCATCTAATTTTAAATATAAGCATAAATATATTTAATATTGACACGTGTCAATTTTTAATTGGTTTGTTGGGTAGTTAATGTTTTGATACCTCTTTTTCCAGGATGCATTTTTGCATCTCGGGAAGTTGAATATCAAAATAACTACCAATTTAATTCCCCCACTGGAGATGAAATTTTATGTTTTGGAGCATCAAAATAGAAGTTATTCCATTTAATTACCCATTTAATGCTTCCACTGGAGTTGCTCTTAGACATTCAAATAATAGGGGTAGACCCAAACTTAAATTTGCCATTTTGTTAAAAACCCAAACTTTTCTAAATTACATAAGTACCCTCAATCAAATTCCACAAATCCCGTTACTTTACCTTTTGAAATAATATCAAATCCCACCCTATTTTCCCGTTAAAACACTATCCCCACAAACCCACTACCAAAAAATCTGCAAACCTCTCAAAACCAGAAATTTATACGGATCTCGCGGACGGTGCCGGGGGAATTAGATGAGGAAAGTACTTGCTCCTCGCCGGAGTCCGACGGAGACACCGTCCGCTGTGGTGCAGCGTCGTAGCAATTTTCCGGTGCTGGATTTCGCACAACAGCCTTTTCTCGTCTTTTCGAAAGCATTCATTGGAGAACTCCCACCGATCAGGCATAACCTTCCCAAATTCCTAAAAATTCATCAGATAAGCAACTCAATCAATAACCGAAAAAAAAAAAAAAAAACCAAAATTCCTCGTTACAGATCGAAGGATTCGATTAGCAAAACCTCACGTAAGTATTCAGTTGCCGAACGAAACTGGAGAAATTGTTGTGCTTGAAATACTTGGGCAGCAAATCTCTGGCAAACTCACGTAATTTGGCCCAACGAAACCGACAATATACTAATAAACTATCCCACTGATATAATTTGACTATGGATCTCGTTAATCGACTATGGGCCGCCGCCACTGCTCCAATCTAGGGTTACTCAAATCTAGGATTACTCAAATCTAGGGTTTTGATAATTCTTCGGCCCATAGTTGATTAACGAGATGCATAGTCGAATTACATCTGTGTTAATATACTATCCCATATCATTTAATAGACTATCCCACTGGTATAATTTTACTATGGATCTCGTTAATCGACTATGGGCCGAAGAATCATCAAAACCATAGAATAATAATAATAATATATATGAAAACTGAATAATATGTTTGTTTGAAATACTAATCAATTAGGGTAATTTTCCTTATTATATGAAAACGATTAGGGTAAATAATAATAATATATATGAAAAAATAATAATATAAATGGAAACTGGATATTATGTTTGTTTGAAATATTAATCAATTAGGGTAATTTTCCTTATATCATGTAATAGACTATCTCATTGATCTAATTCGACTATGGATCTCGTTAATCGACTATGGATCCCGTATTATTCAACCACATAGTATATTAATAATTTCAATATAGTACATTAATCTGCTATGATAGTATATTACGGTTATAGTAGTGATATAAAATTGTGTTACAAACAATACACCACTGAAATGACAAGAACATTGAGAACAAAACCAACATAAAGTATTCCAACATAACCAATAAAATAGTACATTAATAATCTCATAATTTCAATCTAGGGTTTTGATAAAATACTTAAAACACATCATAACACAATCAAACCAATATGTCGAGTTAAAAAACTCTAGTACATTAATAATCTCATAATAGTATAATAAAATGATAATGGTAGTATCATATGGTATTCATAATAGTATACTACTGTATTACAACGGTTTAGCACTTAACCGACGTTACCGAGCCATTACATCGTAAACACCTCTTTATAGCAACCAACCCACCAAACCTCGAAATTATGTCCTCATCGTCAGCCAAGATACATTCACCAACGCCTTCCAGCCTATATGTCATGCTTATATCCCACCCATCGAGTTGTGGCCACTTTGAAATAACAAATGCAACCAATGAACCGCGAGTAAACCCATTCGAACACTTCTTTATAGCAACCAACCCACCAAACCTCAACAAAATCCGTACAAAATTCGCCATCGATAAAAACCTTGAATCATGATACGACATTAAAAATACAAAATACTAAAAAATATATTAATATGATCAAAAATAAACTTAAAATGCAAAATTCATACGATAACTTAAAAAAGACTACAAAGTATATTTTAATGTACTACCCAGCGTCCTAAAATCCGCTGTTATAAACAAATAAATCAACTATCGACCGGGATCAGACACATGAACTCCACGACCGCGAACAGTTATTTCAATTACTACGTAAACCAACTACGATGTTCATATAAAATAACTCTGGTCCAATCTGCGTGAACAATCCTTATCTAACTCTGTCAATCCTCTTCCAAACAAACATCATCCGCCAAAATTAACGATGTATATATGACGGAATAATTTTGTTAAAAAACGTTCTACATAATATAATCAAGTATCAACACAACTCTTAAAATTTCTAACCACCGTACACGACGATCCTAGCCATTGAACGAAAAATAAATCGAAAAACGCATTCATACCCGGTTAACAACGTCCAACAGATGAGCGCTCAATTCGATCCTATTTCCACGACGGTGCAGAAATCTTCAAAGATAAAAAAAACCCCTGGAACGCTGAAAGAGAACATCCGAAAATATTATACACGATTTGGTATAACGGCCAATGATCTCACGTAATATTATTCCGTGATTTTAGGCAACGTATCAGCAAATCTAAAATCACGTATTAAAGGAATTAAATGCCGTTTAAAAATAAACAGGGGTATTAAAGGAAAATTATATAATATATTTTGCCAAGTTGGCAAAATTGGGTCTATCTCAAAAAGTGAAAAAAAAATTGGATCTACCTCATTAGAAAATATGAACAAGGGGGTTATCCCTAATAAACCCTAAAATATAATATTGGAGGTCTCTTTCCTCTATTGGGCTGAAAGAAATAAACTTTAAATGGGCCATGAAACTATTTTGAGTGGGCTATCACGAAAAAGCACTAGTTCATGGGCCCACTTTATGTTTCCATTCACTGTCCAAAAAAAAAAAAAAGAAAAAAAAAAAAAAAGAAAAAGAAAATGAAAAAAAGTTGGGTTAAAGAGACAACGCATAGAAATGATGAGCGCCACAAAGTAGAGAGTTAAAATAGTGTTTTCTCCCGCGGAAAAGTTTTACTTTATTCAATGCTCATAACTGGAAAGCCAATCTCATAACTCACTCTCATACATTCATTCTTCCTTTATATTTAATTAATTAATTAATTAATCTGCTCTCCTCTTAATCTCCAAGATCATAATAGTTTCTTGGAATACAGCAGAAATAAATAAATAAGATGGTTAAAGAAACTGAATATTATGATATTCTTGGTGTTAGTCCTTGTGCATCCGACGACGATATTCGCAAAGCTTATTATCTTAAGGTATTTTCGATTGTTTGTACTTATGTGTCTTTGCAAATCGATTGATTAATGATTGTCGTATTTAGTTTCAATTATGTCTGGTAATAATATATGTAGCCTGATGTTTAGAGTTTAATCTTTAATGTTTGATGTCGTGATTTCCCTCGTAATTTCTTTCTCGACGTTAAATAAACAACTTTTTCGGTTATAATTATTCGATGGTAACATTTTTTGCAACAAATAATATATATTTTGCTGTTTTTGTTTCACTGTGCAGGCAAGGCAAGTTCACCCTGATAAAAATCCAAACGACCCTCTCGCCGCTGAAAGATTTCAGGCAAATATTTCCGATTAAAACTCTCTTTTTTTTTCATCGTCCTACATTTTGTAGTAGCTATTCTGCAATGAAATAAAGCTGTATATAATGCTTGGCAAAAAAAAAATGTTATATAAATTTCATTCAACAGGTATTAGGTGAAGCATACCAAATTCTGAGTGATCCAGCACAAAGAGATTCGTACGACCGTAATGGAAAAAACTGCATATCCAAGTCCGTCGTTTTTTCTAAATCCGATCTTTATTAATTAATTTAATGCCAATTAAATGTACGATTTTTTTCAATCTCGTTTTGTTTTCTTGTAGGGAAACAATGCTCGATCCTACTGCTGTTTTTGCTCTTCTTTTCGGAAGTGAACTTTTCGAAGACTACATCGGGCATTTAGCTGTTGCATCAATGGCTTCTACTGAATTATCGTGCGAAAGTGACAACCCCGATAGAGTCCATGACAGACTCAAGGTAATTAATTTATTACGTATGTCTTTTGTTACCGGTTGTCTTTTTTGTTGTTTTATATATGATCGAATAATCGTAATAAAAAAATAAAAATAAAAAAGGGGGTCCAAAAAGAAAGGGAGGAAAAGCTTGCTAGAAAACTAAGGGATTTTCTTCAGCAATATGTTCGTGGTGACAAAGACGGCTTCTTAAGACAAGCTAAATCCGAAGCAGAGAGGCTTTCACATTCAGGTTATTTTTGTCATTTAACCAAACTTTCGCCACATTTCTCGTAATTTCTTAATTCGTATAGCGAAATTTCACAGATTTTGGAGCTGAAATTCTGCATACAATTGGATATGTATATACAAGACAGGCAGCACTGCAGTTAGGGAAGAAGGCTATTTATCTAGGGGTGCCGTTTGTGGCCGAGTGGGTTCGGAATAAAGGGCATTTTTGGAAGTCACAATTTACTGCAGCGAAAGGTTTTTTCTTTTTCTTTTTTTTTTCTCGACTTCGAATTTTTTGCTGTTGTTTTTACCAAAAATTTATTGAATTTTCAGGTGCATTTCAGTTGCTGCAACTTCAGGAAGACATCAGACGACAATTCAAGATGGACGGGAGTGCCCCTGAAAACGACGTGGAATCGCATTTACGATTAAATAAAGACACACTTACGAGTTCCCTGTGGAAATTGAATGTGGTCGACATCGAAATAACTCTGCTACACGTCTGTCAAATGGTACTCTAAATATTTTCACAATCACTTCTTTTTCCCCCGATTCATTCTACGTAGTTCAATTGACTTAATTTATTTTTTTACAAAATTTGTAGGTGCTGCAAGAAAGCAACGTACGGAAAGAAGAACTGAAAACACGAGCGGTGGCTTTGAAAATCCTGGGGAAGTTTTTTCAGGTAGGTCTCATTAGTACAATTAACCGATAAGCATGTCATTAGTATACGATTAGTGTAAGCATTAATTAATTAACTGTTAAAAGCTAACAAAAGGGAGTCTGTGTATTATCAGAGCCCCAAGTATAATAATGGTGAAGCATCAAACAAGAAAAATATCGCTTCAGAGGACACCAGTTCCGATAGCGATAGTGATGAAGATGATGACGCTACGAGATCACTCAATTACAGAACCCCTTTTCTTACACAGGTTAATAATAATCTCTTAAACTAATTACACACACACACATATATATATATATATATATATATATATATATATATATATATATATATATATATATATATATATATATATATATATATATATATATATATATATTATTGTAAGTGTGATTCATCTTCTGTTGTGACAGGGTATAGGCAGACTGTTCAGGTGCCTTTGTAACCCAGCTTTCGACGTAGACGATGAAGAAATTGTTTACAGAGGAAGATGATTATATACTGAATGATTCATTTGTTTTCGACACGTTCGATATGTTATTTAAAAAGATTACATTATATTTATCAGACCGGGTTTCGTCTGAATTTGTTTGTACAAGAAACTAAGGAATGTTGTTTTAAAAAAAAAAGTCTCGTGTTTGTTTTCTCTAGATCAAAACTTGTTCACAGTTTACGACAAGATTATTATTTTTTATTTCACATTCGAACAAAAGTATTTACATAGAGACGAAAAGAAGGGTTTACTTCTATCAGCCGTAAATTAATGAGCAAGATTAATGCGGTGTGAGTGAACAGCACATGCACAGTGCACCGATGTTAAATTCAGACAACCACTGATCACCAAAGAATGCCTACCGGGACACGTGTGCAGAGCTGGAAACGAGTCGCACAGCGCCTGGACAGCTGGCGGAGTTAGGGCGGTGCATTGGCTGATGTTAAGATTCGTAAGCCCTTCTTCTTTCTCGTACCGCTTTTTCACATACGCCGTTCTTGTTCTTCACTCTACTCTGTGCAAGAGAATGCATAGCTCAGTCAGTAATATTCTGACAGTAGTATAGATCAAGTGACCTCAAGTGAAGGCAGTTATCAGCCAATGCAATCACACTCTCATCTGAGGTTAAAAGAATAATAAATCCCACGTGTTAAGCATGTCTAAAAGTCACAACAAACCATGAGGAAGAAAAAAAGACACATATATATAGGGTAAATTACACCTACGCCCCTGAGGTATGCTAAAATAACTTTAAGGTCCCTGTAGTATCGGTAATTATTTAATATCTCTTTTTTTTTTCTGGACACAATAACAGGCAGCACCAAATGTTACAACTTGCATTTCAATTTAGTTACATAGTTTATGACAACAGGATGCTTATTAGCTTTTTTTTCTTCATGTAATAAAGATCAATCACCTCAACTAAGACTGGCCTTCTGTAGTTAGTATGATGGGGTATAAACTGCTCTTTACGTGGCGAAGATGACCATTTGACCCCTCAAGAAGGCACAAAACCTAGTGCCAAATGAATGTATCATGATTTATTAATATACATGTACGCAATGAACACGATAATAGCATCTATACGAATCGTAAAGAAATTTCTGTAAAAAAAAAACAGGGCATCAAAGATTTACCTCCCCCATTGATGGGCGCATTTCGGGTTTAATTTGAACACACAGATATGCTGCTCTAGCAATATTGTATACCTCGTATGTGCTGTATGATCCCTCAAGACGAGAATCAACTAGTTCGTCAAACGAAAGTGTCTGAATCAATGGCAATGCCTGAAAAAAACCATCTCAAATATGTGACTGGCTCAACCATAATATATATATATATATATATATATATATATATATATATATATATATATATATATATATATATATATATATATATAAGACTCACCCACAATCTGATTGACTGTTGGTGATTTTCTCTCGTTTTGCGTCCAGATATCAGCTCTAACAGAACAATTCCAAATGCATATACATCTGTTTTCACGGAATAAATGCCGTTTTCTGCACATTCTGGTGCTAGATATCTGCAAACGGCAAAATAAATAAAGCTCAAGCTTATATAATCAGAACATCCATAGTTTAACGGCAAAAAAACCGATACGAACCCAAGATTGCCTGGAATTCTTCTCGGTTCATCAGATTTATTTGTCTTCCACTTAGCAAGGCCATAGTCTCCCAGCTGCCCATTAATGAAATTAACAGGATAAACGAACATTTTCGAATGAAATTAGATGTGTATGGGTCGAGAGTTTGTAGTAAAAACCAAGAAATAGTTCAGAAGGCAGAAACAGAGAAGACATAATAATGAACACGGTTTTTTTAGATTTACCAAAGGAACAAATTCGCCTGTGAGCAAAATATTGCTAAGCCTGATATCCTGATGAACGATAGGACTTCCCCGACACTCTTCGTGTAGAAACCGCAACCCTTTTGCAGTACCAATCGCAACGGCATTTCTCTGGTTCCAGTCAAGAACTTTTTCGGTATTATCTGTTATTAACATAAAGCCTCGTTATTTAACAATTAGGATAGGCAAAACTTTTTTTTTTCCGGTAGCAAAATACATTGTAATACTTCATTTGCTCACCAAATAAATGCCATTCCAATGACTTGTTACATACGTATTCATAAATCAAGATCTTCAGGTTTTCCTTGCAGCAATAACCAAGAAGTGTCACGATGTTCGTGTGACGCGCAAAGCTGCGCCGATATACTTCAGAATGCAATTCTGCAACTCCTTGTGTATTTGCTTCCTTGTGTAACTTTACAGCTATGAGCTGCCCATCCTTTAGCTTACCTTTATATACGACTCCATATCCACCTTCTCCAAGTAAATTATCCGATGAAAAATTATCTGTTGCAATCAGTATATCGGAATAGCTACAACCCGACGAATCCAGACCCAGTTTTATCACATCAGCGAGAACAAGAACAGGTGTGTCAGAATCTATCTGCCGAAATTTCTCAACCTCAGCACAGATACCTGTTCAAATGAATAGAAATCCGGAATACTTTACAAGCCCAATCAAAATCTTGAATCGGAATTACAAATGCAGATATTTTTTGCAAACTATAACAAATCTTCCTAACCTGATAATTCTTGCCGAGGGTTTGAGCAAAATTCATCTTGCGATGCGGACGATGATATGAAGTTGCTACTGGATATACACGGGCTTATCAGAGTACTAAGAGATAGGGAAATGAGAGACTGGTTATCACTCTCGTCATCTTGAGCAGATGGCACTAAAACGGGCTTCGATAGCGAGTAAAACACCTTGTGCTTTGCAGTGCCGGTGATTTTTTCTATACGAAAAGATCTCAGAACCTCCAAAGATAAGTTATCACGGATAATTGCAACTTTGCAAGGTATGTGCTTAAGGTAAAACCTCGACTCCTTACTTAGCTTCCTGTCATAGTAAATTATCAGCTAGCCCACTGAACGAAATTTTCAAGCATGCGTTTAAGGTTACCTACCAAACTAAATATCGAAGAAGCTTGTTCAACCAGTGTCATAATAGATTAATACCGAATTTAGTGATACCTGTCGAGTATAGCCCATGCTGTGTTAGATTCCATAATTTCTTGTAAGACAATGTTCTTCATTGGAGCTCCAACCACAATCTTGACTTTGATATCAATCTATAAACGGGATTTGTTTTTATAAACAATTTTCCATTAAGTAGATTCTGGTATTCAATCAATAGAACTACAAGAGCATATATTACCCCACTGCCTTCACACTCTTCGGCATTATGCTTGAGCATGTCCACATTGGCATCAACTTTTCTTGATACTTCTTCCTTGAATGCACGTTCATGCGCTCGAATAAAAGACCCATGGCCTATTTCAATCCGGAAACCCACTGCAAGTATACTTGTTAATAATGAACAACAAAAAAGAATTAGGGAAAGAACAACAAAGTACACAAACTTACAGGGGTGGAGTACTTTGTCTAACACTCCAAAGACGGTAACTGTTTCTGTTTCCTTAACCATATCTTCTCTTGTTAGAACATCAGCAATAATGTCCTTAAACTCTTGCATGTTGTGTTTTCTCGTTGCATCGTAAGCGATCACAATCCTGCCTGGCGTAGGAGGAGAGGTAATCCTGCTACTGCTGCTCCTCTCAATAGATAATGCCATATAAATTGAGACCAAGAAACTACTCAAGAATTTTCTTGAATATATATGAACTTATGTATACATCAAAGTCAGAAATAAAATCATGTTTATACAAGAATGGGCAAAATTGCAATTTGTTTTTCAAGAATTCTTGAACGTAAGAGATCTTTCCATTTGGCTGCTCATCTTTTGCCATGCTTTATGTCACAAAAAAACAAAAGCTTTGTCTCTATCTGTGTGTATCTTTGTGCCAGAAAGAGAGAATATGATTGTGAATATGCTGTTGTTTACATCCCAGATGTGTCTGCGAGACCGACAACATAGATAATTGCAAAGCAGTTGAAAGATAACTTCGAAGAACAAGTACCTAGGTTTCTCCAAACACGTGCTTCTCATGCTTTTAAGATTTTACTATCAAGATTCTCTCACTTAATATTGAGGTGAGGTAATCTACATGTAGGCAGACTAGAGAGATTAGGCTATAATTACGTGGATTATTTATAAACAAAATAATTAAAATTTTGAAATAATAAAATAGAGAATAGACAGATTTCGAAAAATGACCTTAATTAGAAAAGTGATACAGAAGAACTACTATAATTAATCACTTGCATCAATAATCCCAAATCTCTTGCATCAATAATCCCAAAACAGAGTGCACATTTTCCCCACCATAATGATTCATTTGGTTTGCTTCAAAAGAAAAGGTACGACCTTTTATACCGATCCAACTGCAATCAACGACCTCCTTTGTTTTCATCACCCTTCTCATCTTCTTCATCACTCGAACGAGGCTTTCCCATCGACCACTCTGTTCGTAGATATTAGTCAAAATCGAGTATGCAAGAGACGAGTTTGGTTCGAGCTCCATCAATCTGTCAGCAATTCCTTCAATAAGATTCGGATTCCCACAATCCCCACACGCACGGAGTATGGATTCCCATATAAGAGCATGAGGTTCGTATGGCATCGTGTGCAATAAACCAATTGCTTCATCAATTCTACCAGCTCGAATCAGCATGTCCACAACAGGGGCGTAATGGTCATTCATTGGGTTGATTCCGTGCTGGTTCTCCATGGAAGAAAAAATGGCTATGCCTTCATCAAGAAACCCACCGTAACTGCAAGCTGAAAGAACACCAGCAAATGTTATCCGGTCAGGACGTAAATTACTTCGAAGTAGCTCTTTGAAAAGGCGAATAGCTTCAACTGGTTTGCCATGGTGAGTCAACGCATGTATCATAGTATTATAGGCTATCAAATCTCGAAAAACCATATCAGAAAAGATCTTTGAGGCAAAGGCAATTAAGCCATAATTACTGTACATTTGTACAAGCGAACTGGCTACTATTGCGTCCAATTCGAACCCCGTTTTGACCAGCAAAGAATGAAGTTGACTGCCCTGGTCCATTGGAACAAAGACACCAGCAGAGTAAAGAACAGAGCTGAGTGTGAAATTTGTCGGTCTGATATTATCCCTGAATGAACAAATAAAAAGCTCCATGGCCTTCTCCTCTAAGTTGTGGTTTGCATAGCATGCAATCATTGAATTGCAGATAGTTGAATCAAATACGAACGATTCCTCAAAAACACATACCGCACTCTCTATTCTGTTGCATTTGGAGAAAAGATCAATAGCGGCACTAGAAACCACTGTATTACAAAGAAACCCAAGCTTTATACAAAGGCAGAAAATTTGCTTACCCTTTTCTAAATTTCGCAAATTAGAACAAGCAGTAAGCAATGCCGACACTGTATACTCATCCACTTTGAAACCACTACTGCCCATCAATCCATATATTTGTAAAGCCAATCGTTCGTAACCAGATTTACAGCAACCAGAAATCATAGAATTCCAAGAAACTACATCCACTTTTTCCATACTCGAAAACACAGCAAGAGAATAATCTACAAGGCCAAGCTTCCCATACACATCGATCAGGGCATTCCCCAAAACCAAATTGGAATAAGATCCACCATTTCTCATAATACAACCGTGCATTTCCTTAGCATAATTACCACAACTTACACAACACAACATCATCGAAAAAGTAAACTCACTCGGCCTAACGCAATGATTTTGCATATCTAAAAACATTTCCCATGCACTATCAGGAAACCCACTTGAAATATACCCCGACATGATCGTGTTCCAACTCACAGCATCTCTCTCGAGCATTTCATCGAAAACCTGACGTGCTGTCTGGATATCCAATTTTTTAACATAAACTTTCAGGTACAAGTTCCAAGAGACAATGTTTTTACTGGGAATGTCACGGAAGAACTTCAATGCATCGTTCGAAGATCCGGACTTCAGGTAAAGATCGATACAACGGTTACCCAAAAATGTATTGGAAATGAAACCGAGTTTTATCAACTGGGCGTGAATCAATCTCAAAGAATTTGAAGAATTCGTTAAGGTAAAACACTGGTCAATGAGACCCGAGAAAAATGAAATAGTGTGAAGGAATCTGTTCGCCCGTCGAAGAATACGGAACATGCAACTGTGAAGACGATGATCATACAGTAAAATTCAGCAAAGTTATTACAGAAGTATAAAATTTAAAATTTATGGTATTAATAAAATATTTAATGGGCCTAAGCTTAACTAAGCCCATTCAATAACCAAAAATAAAAAAAAATTAAGCCCATTTCTCGTATAAAAAAAAAACTAATTCCAATTCCGTTAAAAAAAATCCGAAATTTTGAAAAATAGATATAGAATTTCCAAAATAGAATTGGATCGAAATCGTAAAATATTATAAATTTGGAAGTTAACATTCGAATTAGAAATCGGAATGTCATCTATTCCAAAAAAATTGGAAATTTGAATTATTAGAATGAAAGTAAACTACAGTAAACTAAATCATGTGTGACAAGTTCGATCTAACGATCGTTGACATAATAATTCGAAATTGGATCAATTGAATATAAGTTTACTTGATCCAACCGCTAGATCAGCCCTTACGAGAATTATTTGTTCCATATTTCATTCCTTAGCCTAGTTGTTATAGTACCTAGTTTCATTTAAAAAAAATTATTATGGAGGTACAGTATAATAAATTTGAACCTAACTCTTCCAAATGTTATCTCAAACTCCATCACTTTTTACATATATTTAAAAACTAAATTTTTTTATATTATGAAACTAAAAGAAAAATTAATATAAACATTTCTAGTACTTATTTCTAAAACAAAATGATTACATACATAGTTCATACTTGTCTGAGTTCAAGAAAAAGTTGCAGATAACTTTGGAAACACTTCTAATTCACTTATAGTGTGAATTTACTTAAATAGCTTCTAGAAGAATTCTTTATTGTGAAAGAAACTAATGTATTATTTTTCTTATTTAATTATTATTTTCTTAATATTGTTATAGTATGATTCTAGGCAATAGCTTCTCAAGGAAGAAATATTAAACCCTACACGTGTGTGTAGAGACGGCTGGCAAAAGTCAATGAATTTGATTTTCTGGTGATTTGAGGAAAATTCATTTATGGTATGGAAATTTTAATATTTTGGGGAAATTTTTGAGATTTTTTTAAATAAATAAATTAAAATGAATAGAACAACTTTCACAGCCACAAACAGCTAAAATAGATTTTTTTTTTTTTAAATAAAGCTGAGCATGAAAGCCGTAGCCAAATCCAGTTTCATCATCATTCAAATCAGATTTTAATTTAAAAAATAATTAATAATAATTATAATTATTATTATTTTTTTTTTTATTATTTCCTCCAAGATTTTATGGAATCCGTTTAGATTTATGTAGACTGTGGTTTAATGAGATTTCTATTTGAAATAATTTGATCTCTTCTTAATTACCTTAATTATAATTCACTCCATAGAAATTTTGATCAAAGCAATAATTCAACCTCATTATAAAAAGTTTATTTCTACATAAAATATTGAAAAAAAGAAAAGGTTTAACATAAAACATTTCCTCTCTTATTTTATCATTACATGATACTTTATATAAACTAATCACATAATTAATATATTAAATAAGAAAATTAAAATATAAAATAACCCAAATTACTAAAAAAATCAATCATTACACTTGGGAAAACCAATAATTTTCCACCACAAAATTAATTATTTAATTAATTAATTAATTAATTAATTAATGCTCACAAGAGACAACCCCCCAGAAAAAATGGGAGGAAAAATACCCCCTAGTCTCTATCCATATGCCCCACCCATCTAGAATTACTTGACTTTTATTTCCAATCCAAATATATAAAATAAAATAAAAAAATAAAAAATAAAAAAATAAGAAAAAAAAATAAAAGATGAGCCACACCAATTTGTACAGTTTGTTGTTATTAAAAGGAAAATGACAAAGTAGCTACACTAAACAACATATTGAAGTTCATCCCACCACAACCACTTCTTTCCCCTAACCACTATTTCCCTTCTTAAAAACAAAATGTTTGATCCAAGAACTCAATTCTCAGATAAATACAATAATCATAGGCATGACAACAACATAGTACTAAACAATTCTTCTTACAAGAACAACAACAATTGGTGTAGTAGTGATCAAGAAGTAGTACAGTTTAGACCAAACCTTAATCTTCAACAAGCTATGGGAAGTGATGATGATGACTCATCTGGTGTTTGTTCGCCGCCGCTGTGGAAGAACATCCCCAGCCCGAGCCCGAGCCCGTCGGCAAGCCCGTCTCAGCCGCTCCTCAGCCGCCATGTCTATACCTCTTTATCACCAAATTCTAGAGTGCAAGCAATTGCTAGAGGGCAGAGGGAGCTTATGGAAATGGTGAAAAATATGCCCGAATCTTCGTACGAACTCTCGTTGAAAGATATTGTTGAGAATCGCCACAAGATGGAGAATCAAGAAGATCCTCCACGGGTGGAGAGAGTGTCGAAGAATAATTCGGAGAATCCGAGGATATTGCAAGGAAAGAAAAGTAATGATAAGAATATGATGAGAAATGGGAGTTTTAAGAACAAGGGGTTGTTTATAAAGATGGTGATGCCTACGTTTTCGTTTCAGTCGAAGAAAAAGAGTAACTTTGGTGGTAATACGAATGGGAAAGTTTCTCCGAAGCCTGATGTGGCAAAGGGCGGCGGTGGTGGTGGTGGTGGTGGTGGTGGTGGCGGTGAAAGGGATTGGTGGAAGAAGAAATTTACTGGTTCTAGTGATAGTGATAGTAGCAGAACGAGTATTAACAGCGGCAGCACCGCTAGCAGCGGCGGCAGCACTAGTAGCCGCAGCTATGGCGGTAGCGGCAGGTATGTCGAATATTGTTATTATTATTGTTACAATTATTAATTTCAATTTTATGGATTAATTCTGGTAATTGTTGTTGGTCAGATCTTGAATCTTGAATAGTCTATACAAATTATACAATTCATAAAAATTAGGTAAAAATTATGAGAAAATTGAAGAAAAAAAATTATTAGGAGATGGAGCAATTAATAGATTAGTTGATTCTGAGATTTTCTATAAATGTAGCAAAAATAAAATGTGTTGTAATAAAATCAAGAAACAGATCTCATGTCTTAAAGATGAGAATCGAATCAGCACTAACCAGAAAACTGTTATCTGATATTAATGCAGGAAGAAAAAGAACGGAATCCTAACCGGTTGTTGGCCGATTTTCCAATCAAGAAGAAGCAAATCTGCTGCAGAGTAGGCAACAACCTGTAATTGTGGAAAAAAAAAGAAAAAAACCCTTCAGACAGAGGCTTTAGATATATATACTGTTATACAACATCACTGAGAAATATCAAACATCATACTGAGAGCATTTGTATATTCGTTGATTGTTATTACGGCAAATTCTTTTCGTTTTCTTTACCGCAACTGGGATTTGGATTTTCCGTTTTGTATTTGTGCAGCAAGAACAGTGTCTTGCTAAGAATACTAGGAACGAGTTTTTTGCTCATGTTGTCTGAATGTAGCAATTTATTACCATAACTTTGCTCTGTAGCAATTGAAATTTGATCAATAATCTTCTCGTCTTACAAAGCCAAAAAAAAAAAAAAAAAATCTGAAATATGTCGATTTATAATACTAATACAAAGCAAAATTGCTCAAAAAAAAACCCGAATAAATTTTTTTTTTTTTTGCTCTACGCTACTTACAAGGAACAAGGCCGCTCTAATCTCTCAGCGGTTCTTCTTGGCTTTAGCAAGTTTCTTCTTTTTCTTCTTGACGGTTTTCGGGATTTTACTCTTTCGAGCCTCTCTCTTTTCTTCTTTAACTTTCTTTTTGTTCTCTTTCCTCGCCGTTTTCCGCTCTTCTGGGGTCTGTTTCTCACTAGAATCGCTGTCATCATCACTGTCATCATCGTCTTCATCATCGTCATCACTTTCGTCTTCTTCCTCCTCTATTACAGGCTCACCGTTGCTTTGGATCTGTTGATCCTTTTCTGCTTGGGACACAGAAAGAACATTCTTGAGACCTGTAATAGTTTGATAGTACATGTCTCCAGTGTCCTTCCCGCTTATGATTCGTTGCACGTCCTCCTCAGCATTCTTTACGTTATCCAAAGTCTTCGGAATGAATGACTAAACAAAACGTAAAAGAATAGAAAAATACTTAGATAAGCTGCTAACATCATAGACTTTTAAGAGTGTGTCTGAAACAAACAGTAATGCTTACAAACCTGCACAAATACGGAATCCGCAATCTCTTCCTCTGCGGAGATCATGTCACCTCTAGCCAAAATCTTTTGTTGGACCTGTGAAAGAAATTCACTGCAATGAGAACGAAGAATCTTTTTCAGATATTTACGAGTTAGGATGGATATTCTCATACCTCTTCTAGATAACTGTCCACCGAATCATCACAAATTGTAGGATCCACTATGAAATCGAATAATTCACGTATTGTCATTGCAGCTACTCCGTTTTTTCTAAAAAAATCCTGCATAAAAGTGACGAGAGAATCATAAGTAGCTTTCCTCATCAGACAGTAACTCAATCGTAACCATGTAAGAGGAAAAAAAGTAATGAAAGAAAAACTTACAGAAACATGAAGACAATCCTCTCTAAGGAAATCAAGGGCATGAGGATGGTCAAGGTCAACTGTTTGCGAAACATCAATTATGTACAAGTGACCCTGCGTAACATTAGATATCGTTATTCTTTGTTCAGAATGCAATGATTCAAAACTAAAGTAAAAAAAAATCACCTCATAATATAGTATGTTATACTCGCTGAGATCTCCATGCACTAGCTTGCACTTCTGATATAATGTCCGCATAACCATGATAATCTGGCACATAAAACATGAGATAACACGAGACTGTAAGGCTCTTTCGTCATTGTTTAATCCTTGTGTAAGAGCATGATCATCCATCTCGTGTAAAAAGCATCAAGCATTGGATCTACTAGTCAATTACCCGTGTAGCATATTATATAAATAAATCGATATTCAATTGAGATTTTGGAAAATATGCCCTTTTTATTCCGACAAGAAACTAGCTTGTCAGTTAAAAACTACCAATCAAGAATATAAAACTGAAAAATCATAATTCACCTCGACATAGCTTTCACGTAATTTATCATGAGATAAATCGGCATCTTTAAGCCTAGGAGCAGCCCAACCTTCCTTTCCTGTGTAGAAAGAATTGAAAATCAACTTCATACGGAAGTAAAAGCTATATCATATTATCCTTAACTCTGTCATGACTAAATGCAAACGAACCTATAAATTCCATGACCAGAACATGAAGCCTCAACATTAGTGGAGCTGGACACCTGATTCCTGCTGCCTTTAGCCTGCGGGTTTGAATAAAATGAAATACGTAAGTGGACAAAAAGAAGCTGCGATACTTCCGTTCTATCTTTTTTCAAGTTATATTGATTCAAAACGAGAGCATCAATGAAAGAACAGAAGCATGTTCAATAAAAACTAACATGAGTCAGATTTAAATCTACTATGCACAAAGCTCTCCCCTTCGGTCTATTAATAAATACTTCTCTTTATTTTTCTCATTTTAAATCACAGGGCGCGGTTATAGATCAATAAGACAATTTACCTCATTAGATTCCTCATTTCTTTCTCGGCCCATGTCTTCACCATTTTTCGAGGATTGTGCTTGCAATACCCATATCTAAACCTGTAGTCACCTTGTACATAGCGATCTCTATCCCTGTTGGTTTGGAGTGGAGACAAACAAATATGGATCATTGAGTATTAATTCCGCTGTCACCTCCAAACAACAATCAAAATAAAGCAAACGAAACCTTAGGGAAATATCAATCATACATAAACAAAAGTTGGTTACGCATACTTGAATACAAGAACCGAGGTTTTGTAAATCTTGATCGCCAGTTCTTGACCATCAGTTTTAGTAGCATGATATACATTCGCCTGTTGTATGACAAAAAAGTACCTCGAATTAAAGAGCTTCAGTTGCACTTTGACGAAAAAATAAGACAGTGGAAAAGCTCGAGCACAGTGGGAACTTCCCCGACAACATACAAAAATGCAAAAACATTTATAACAAGAACGAAATATCAAAAGGATAAACATAGGAGTGCAGTACGTACTTCTTTTCCAGTTGAAATGCATCCGTTGATGTCATTAAATACACCCCGATTCAGCATTTTGAATAAAACCATACGGGTTCTAGGGTCAATTGCCTGAAAGCAAAGAATATATCAGCAAGAAAACGGAAACACTAATCATAATACTAAGAACGAAATTGCTTGTTAAGGAACACGAGTGCAGATGTATATATAGAAGTGAGTGAAGAAAGAAACAAAAACCAACACCTTCTACGAACATTCCATCTTATACAATTTTACCTGCTCAACAGTGGCACGGTCGGCTTTCTCAGTTGTCCTAGTCTTACCAATAGACATACCACGAACACTCTCACGAATTGCAGTTGTCACAGAGTTCGACATTCCAGTACTGAACCTCCCTTCCCACTCCTGTACACATCAATTGGTTAATTATAACCAAAACGTACACAAATAAACTAAAAAATAGACAAAAATTGCAAAAAAAAAGAAAAAAAATAAGGCCAAAGATTTGATCTTTTCATTTCCATTCTAAAATGCAGAACCTATATTACTTACCCACATAACTACAAAGCCCAAACCACTCATTGCAGAAACAAACTAAGATATCAAACACCAATACTAAAACAAATTGCATTCTTAATTCCATTATGCATCAATTAATTGACAGATAGATACCTCCAATGGAGCAGCCCGGATGTGACTGGACAACTTCTGCGATTTATTGGAAATGGGCTGAAGGGAAGAAGTATTCGGTCGGGAGTGGAGCCCACCATGGGCATTTGGCCGCCTTGTGTGAAGTAGTGTGAAGGAGCTATCGAATATTCGGCCTTCTGCATCTTCCCTCGAGTCCAAGTAATCCAATGACTCACCTGTTTCTGAGTCTGATGAAAAGTACAAATCTTCTTCTTCTTCCTCCTCTATTTCTTTCTCCTCTTCTACCTTTAATGGCGGCAGTGGCGATTCCTCTATTTCTTTGCGCTCTTTTTCTGTCATCTTCGATTGGCAGCCAATCGGAACGAATTAGGAATTGTTGTTGTTAAATTCGATCGGAACAATTATTAGGGTTTTAGTTTTTTTCTTTTTTCTTTTTTTTTAACAGAATTAGGGTTTTAGTTATTTGTCCGAAGAAAATGTTATCAGTTTATTGGTCCCGAAAACTATCTTAAAGCCCAAACTCTTCGATCAGAAAAACAAGCCCACGTATCAACAACGTTTTTTTTTTTTGGGTAAATTACAAATCGCCCCTTGAGGTAAGCTTTATTTAAAAAAAAGACCTTAATTGTTTCATTATTACAAATACACCCCTGTAATTTGTACATTTGTTACATTGACACCCTTTTGTATGGGTGGATGTAAGAAATTTACAAACTTCATACGGCTGGATGTAATTTTTCAAAAATATAAGGAGTTTCTTCAATTACACATTTGTCCTCCATCTTTTCTTACCAAGTCAAAACGATTTATTTGTCATAATTAATCATTCATCCCTACCAACTTGTTGCCACCAAATACGACCACTGATTTTTCTCTTGATTATTATTCTTATCTTTATATATGACCAGTGTTTTTTTTTTCTCTTGATTAATATACTAGGATCTTTCTTATCTTCTTATATCCGATCTGGGGTTGTTCTGTAATATTGAAAAAAAAAACATGATATTTGAGGTTTTCTTGGCTGGTTTTATTTCAATTATGGCTTGGTTGCTTGGTGGCGATTTCTCGGGCCCACTTCTTCTTGGATGTTGTTTTGAATTCTTGAATTATTAGACTTTCTGGTTAGTGATATGATATACATTTACTTGATTTTAATTCTAATTCATTTTTCATTTTTTTTTTCAAAGATGAATATTATATGATCTTCTATGCAAATTAAAGTATTGCAGGAGGTAAAACTGCAGATTGCTCAATGGAAAATAAATAACTATGATTATTATAATTATTTTAGTGACTTCGAAACCTCGGGTATTTCTGTATGTAAAAACGCCGAAAACTGAATTATCTTGTTTGAATAACAAGACTTGTTGATCGAGGATTAATTTCATTTTTGTTTTGATCCAAGGATAAATTTCATTTCCAATCATATGTTAGATACATCAAAGTTCAGAACGAGCTCGATTTTCACAAAATATATATATGTAGGGAATCAAGCTACTCGTATTCGCGCTCGCCTGGACTCGATTTACATTCACACTCGTGCATTCAAGAAACATAACTAAATGTTGAAGAAAACAAAAGGGAATTCCATTAGACATGTATCTGGGGATTATTATTCGACACTAGATAATAATAAATAAAGACAATAAATCATGCTGAATTGCGAGAGCACGAAAAAAAGGAAAAAAATAAAAAAATAAAATTATTTCTCTTAGTTTCTAATTATCTTGGAAATGGGTGGGTTTGTGTTGAATAATGACTTGCGCGGTCTTGGAAACAGCTTGTCCTTGTAATTTACTGCGAATCATTCCCTCCGTCTCTTCGCTCCACGGATCGCTACGCGCCACGTGCCACGAGCAGTTACATCCGTTGTAAAATATTTGGTAATGCCTATAACTCTTGGTTATGTGCATTTTCTCTAAGTTGATTGCACTTTTAAGTATGTACAATGCTAACTCCATCTCGTATTCCGTCCCCTCAAATGCACCTATTTCGACTTTCTTCAGCTCCGAATGGCATACTACTTCGCATACTTCTTGCTTCATTCCCGCTTGCCGTCCACTACCATTAAATTTTACCTGCATTCAAGTAAAATTTAGAGTTTCTTCCATCAAAATAAAAAAAAAATAAAAAAAAATTAAACGCCGTCGTCGTCGTCTTATCTGACGACAATACCTACATTCAAGTGAAACTCCTGTAAAATGGGACAATGTTGCAAAATTGAAGTCAGCAAACGGAGATCGATTTTCGATAGGCCTTGCATGTTGATATACAATCGCCTAACGTTGCTGTGCATGTTAATCTTCATATCCTGCGTATAAAATTTAAAAAAAAAATCGTACAGTTAAGAAAACAACGAATGACAATCAATTGGGAAAAGCAACACACACACACATACATACTGTAATATTACAACGCCATATTTCTGATGTCGAAAAATTCAATGATTTCAGGTGTGGCAGGTCTAAAGCAAGTCTTCCAAAAACATAAGGAACAATATTTTTAGAGTATGCAGAAAGATATACACTCTGCAGCTGCGGGACATGATCGAATATAAGGTTAATCATTCTATCACCGCAAAACTCAAATACGAGGAGATTACTCGCATGCAACTCTATCTCCTCCGCACCCGCACAGCTACTGATATAGAGATACTTCAATTCTAGATGGGGACCACAGAATCGTAACTTAAGAGGACCTACACATACAGCAATTGTCAACGAGTGGAGCCTCAAACACTCGGACAAAATGCACTCTACAGCACCTGGATAAACTGTAACATTCATAAGGACAATAGTTTGGAGGGAGTTGTTGTTATTAAATTGGCTTCCCGAGCATGGCTGCAAACAACACCTGCTCAATTCGAAACATTTCAACGATGGCATTTTAGAAAATAGGTGACACGAAAAGGAAAGGTCACTAATAGTATACACGGTTCTTGGAGAACAACGAAAATCAAGAAAGAGTTTTTCCAAGTCCAATCTTCCTAGAGAAGAAATACACCGCTCGAATCGACTAGTGACTGATTTGTCTAAACAACAAACTAAACGAAAAGAATGGATCTTATAACTGGAATTGGAATGAAGAAGCCTCAAGAAGCTATCCAGTGAATAAATGTTGTATGCAGAATTGTGAGGGTTCTGTTCGAAAAGGCGGCCAATGCGCCGCTTACTAATACTAGCGGGCCGAGTATTTACAAGCGCGTGCTTTAAAAGGTACGAACAGCCTAATTCGATGGTATATAGAGGTGAAAATCTGTGAAGATTCCTCCATCTTTTTGACAAGAGGCTTGTTTGAACTGCATTCTTTGTAGGCAAATGTGAAATAATTGAAATCAGAATATCATCAGGCAGTTGACTTATCAGGTCATCATTATCAACATTGCTGTTTTCCAGACCTAGCACAATTAAAATAAAATAAATTTTAAAACTTTATAATAATTCGAGAAAGTCTGGGAAAAGAAGAATTATAAGCTTATCATACATACATTGCAACAAAGATGAATTCTTTTCCGATGAGATCATTGCTGATTGAAGAAAGAAACGCACAAACACAAGCAACCAATCCTGCGCAAATTAGGACCGGAAAACTAATGATCCGCAGATAAAAATTGAAGTAAATGTAACGGGAATTTATCAACACCGATCGAGTAGAAGGAGATTGAAATAATTTGACAGCAGCTAAACCCTAATTCCTAATTCTATTTTCACCCCCAAACGCTTATTAGAGAATTATATAGCAAAGGAGGATTTATTTTTTAATTTTTTTTCTGCGATTATTGTAAAGATTTATTAGAGAATATTCTATATAAGCTAGAAAATTCCACTAAATTTGACAACGTAATTACCAAAATATAAGGGGTTTTTCATAATTAGATCTACCTGAGCCGGGGGTGCCGTGTGGTGTTGTTTCGTGATATATATATATATTTTCAATTTTCATATTTGCGAGTGCAAAGGCACGAGGACACCATATACAAGGATCACAAAGAGATAGACAAAGCCCAAAAGATTTCTTTTTATATATATATATATATATATATATATATATATATATATATATATATATATATATATATATATATATATATATATATATATATTGTGTTGATTATAAATCTTTATTTCATTGTGGACGTTGTTTGTATGAAACACTAGTTCTAAAACTAGAACAATTCTCACAACCCCAACCACCACACAAATCTCACAACTTAGATACATTAAACATTCCTCCATTAATTTGTGTTCTCCATACAATAGATACAATAATATATATACTATGCCTCATCCAATAAGCAGAGATGATCTCCACAGGATTTTCAAGAATCTCGACAAGAACAACAGCGGCCGCGTAACCGTCCACGACCTCCACCACCTTCTCCGCAGTTCCGGAATCTGCAACACAACCACCGTCGAAGATCTCGAAGAACTAGTGGGCCCCACCACAAGTCTCGATTACGCGGGCTTCTTGTTCTTCTACGATGCAATGGTCAAGCCCGCAGTCTCCGGACAAGCAGATGATGATGATGATGATGATGATGAAGAACAACTTCTCCTCAAGGCCTTCAAAGTTTTCGATTTGAACAACGATGGTTTCATATCCAGCGACGAGCTCCAGACGGTGCTTTCGAGAATCGGATTATTGGACGAGCATGATTGTAAGGAAATGATTCTTGCGTACGATCGGAACCGTGACGGGGTGTTGGATTTTGGTGAGTTTAAGGATATGATGTCTGTTCGTGATCTTTCTGGTGATGGTTTGGAGAAATAGATTATAATTTAATTAGTGATTTTTTTATTTTTTATTTTTTATTAGTATATTATGGTTCAAATGTCATTCATGAATTGGATTGGATTGTAGGTCAGAGACAATGATACAATTCTTGTTGTCCAGTTTTCTGACAGAGTGGAACAAAAAGATAGTGTTGAGTTAGTGGCAATTTTAATTTATAAAGTGCTGAGCTGGAATGATGTAATAATTCCTATTTGCCAAGACAAATTAAATGCACAGTGGGGCATAATCAGTGCTCTTAACATGTGCTGCAGCCTCATTTCTTTGTTAATTTTATATATATGCTCATCATTATACATATTTGTATCTATCTATCCATCCAAGAACCATGCTTCTTGATACTGAAACAAAGTGAAATTTCATTTGCAGCAACGAATATATGTGTGTGTGCGCTCGTATATTTCACCAAGTGTAGCATCTATTAATCGAAGTTTATTTGAATACATGCTGCAAAGAGACTAACCATTGATCGATGACCTTAGACACGACTACAAATCGTAACACATTTTCACAAACCGAAAATCGACACCTAACCAAGTTGTCTTTACCCATACAAACGTTATTATTCTCAGCCACAAAAGCATAAAGACATAACCTTTACGAATCCAGGCAAAGATACTGTTCGAAACTGACATGAAAACCCCTCCATTGAGTAACCTAGGCTTTTGCACTTGGATCTTTACTTGCAGCAGCAGTGTTGACTTGTTTGGACAAATAAGCTTCGTAAATCTCCACCACTACACGAGGGTCCTTCTCCACGAGTTCCATATACTCTTCTTGCTTACTCAGCTTGTCCATATTGTCCATTATCAAAGACAAAGCTGCCTCAAGCAAGCTCTTTGCACCGTGCTGGTGGGCAAAAGCGTAATACGGGAGCGAATTCTCCCAGTTCAGTTTCGACATGAGGTACTTTTCACAGTAGGTTTTGAGATGCTTCACTTGGTATCTTTCAGCCAACACTAAGAGATCACATGCCATGTGTTCGTCTAGGCAAGCTTCCGCTGTGTACATATAGTTAACAAATGCGCGAAGTGCGTCGTAGGAAACATCACCGATTTTGATGGTCCCACTTAGGGTTTCTTCCATTTCGGTTTCGAGCATGGCCCTGAAAACTGGCGATCGGCTCGTCTGTTCGGTGATCAAGACGATAAATTCAGTTGATGTTAAAGGAAATGCAGAAATAAGAAGCTACTTTTCTTCTTTTGTGGTGATTATACAAAATACAACAGTATTAAAATTACCAAATCCCAGTAATTAATTAAAACCAACACTAACCCTAAATTAGGGCTAAATTGAGTTGCAGGAAAATTAAATTCAGAAAAAAAAAATAGGATGGAAAGGGTGAAATCAAAGTACCAATACAGCACGGTGGGCCGGAATAGAAGGCGAAATGCACTGAGAGCCATCGGAATCCTTGGAGCCGGAAGCCACCAAAACGACGTCGGAGAAGCAGGGGGTGTTAGGTCTGGTGATGCAATTAGGGCCAACAGGGCCAGGCCCTACGGATAGGAGGCGAAGGAAGTTGACTTTAGACTTGAGATCGTCGATCTCGCGCTTGAGCTCCTCTTCCGTCTCGCCGGCCTCCTCGTAGCACTCGCGGCAGGTGCCGGCGTCGTTATCGCCGTAGTCCTCCTTGCAGGAAAGGCACTTCATCTTTATCCGACGCCGCCGCCGCGCCGCAGAGGATCCTTCCTCCACTTCCTCCTCATCTTCGTCTTCATCGTCGTCGTCATCGTCTCCTCTGAAATCGATATCGGAGTCCGAAGATAACTGCCGCCGCCTCGGATGGTGGTGGCGCCGCATATTTTCAACGGGGTGACCTTTTCTTTTCCGCTAGCTTAAAGCGTAAACACTTTTTACTGAATTATTGGCGCGTGTGTTCGTGCCAAAACAACGACTCTAGTTGAAACTGTAACGGATTGGAGTAATCGAACTGCAGAAGGTGTTTTTAATTTTTGTTGAATAATATTTGGTAAATATTTATTTATTATTAATTTAATGCCTTTAAGCAAGCTAGCCAATCAGCATGCACTAAAGAGACCTAGAAAGTCAAATAGTCAATAAACGGGCTGACCCTCTCTCTCTTTCTCTTCTCTCTCTCTCCTCTCTTTCTCTCACACACACAAACACACGCGCGCACACACACAGATATAAGAAGGGAAAACAGAAGGGCGTTCTTCAACGAAAAGTTACCGTCTTCTTTCGGAGCAACATTGAAGCGCATATAAATATTTTCGGAAGTACGTCTCGTCTGTTTCTTTCGTTGATCTTCCGATTTTTTATACGTTTCTTGGCATTTATAAAGTGTTTATTGTGGGTTTACTCACCAGATCCTAGTTGCATTGTGTGTCTGTGTGTGTGTGTTTTACAAATGGCACATTCGTTCCGTTGAAGAAAGTTTTTTTAGTGGGTGGTATTCTTGTTTTCTGCTCTATGATTCTGATATGTATGTGACTTATTTGTTTTAATTAATTTACTGTATAATGATTTTCTGGGAAAATTAAATGTAATCCGAAAGGGTGATTATTCAATTGCATTATAAACAAGTGTTGAATCAGAGTGTTCAAAATAAATTGTAATGAGATTTTGTTTCTAATTTTTACTTAGTTATACTGAAGAGGGCTTATGATCTTGTGGCAGGCTTGTATAAATAAAGTTGACATTCTCGAAGACGAATCGGAGGTAAATGGTTCGGAAAAAGACCCGACTTGCTGGATCGGATAAGCCAGTTAATTCCGATGTTTACAATGATATTAAATCTCATATGGCAAGAAGCAGAGAGTGCTGTAATGAAATGTTGGAATATAGAAGAAGGGTGGAGGAAGCCGACAATTCGAACGTGGACTACAAAAATTTTCTGTTGCGTATTCTACCCAAGGAAGGACCGATCGAATCACGTAAAAAACGAAGAGAAAAATATGATGATGTATTTCAGGATGATGATATTGATTGTAGCAGTGAGGAGGACATAGATCCTCAGATCAAACTTTTCTTTACGTGTTTGAAGGAACATGAAAAGTCCTATGTACTTGAATGTAATGATGTGGTCATCAAATATGAAGGAGATGACTCAAGTTCGTTTGAAGAATGCGAACCAGATCCAAGGAGGAAGCTAAGGAGTGCTACGAAACAGAAAGTGGGGCCCACCGATGTAGATAACCAACTCAAGGATGATTCAATCAAGAATCTGAATTGTGGAAAGTCGAGGCGTAAGGAGGAGGCCAAGATTGAGACAGTGGAGAATGTAAAATTCTCGACTAAACGGAAAGTGGGGCCCACGGATGTAGATAACCAACTCGTGGATGATTCAATCAAGAATCTAAATTGTGGAAAATTGAGGCGTAAGGAGGCCAAGAGTGAGACAGTGGAGAATGTAAAATTCTCGACTAAACAGAAAGTGGGGCCCACCGATGTAGGTAACCAATTCATGGATGATTCAATCAAGAATCTGAATTGTGGAAAATCGAGGCGGAAGGAGGAGGCCAGGAGTGAGACAGTGGAGAATGTAAAATTCTCGACTAATGGGATAGTGCCCGATCCTCATTATATTGATTTTTTTAATAATCTCAAAGTTGTAAACGATCACTGTGCTTACACGCGTGGGCGTCACACAGTAGTATACGAGTGGAATGATGGAAAGAAGAAGAATAGCTCGAAGAAAGAGGAGCAAGATGAAGAGTGCTCTTCTGATGTTGAAATCATAGATTGTACTTTGTTCGACAAGGAAGTGAGTTTTTTTATGGACCCTTCATTTAGCTTCAATGAATCATTCGTGTAATGCTAAATTTATTACAAGATCTCAAATCATGCAGGTGAATAAGGACAGCAATTTAGGTGATCCTAGTACACGGTGTGAATTTAGGAAGCAGGTTATTGATGTTCTTAGAAAGCCTTATGACAGAGAAGAGTATACGGAGCTTTTGATGGATATTCGACAGCGTAAGCAAGAAGGGAGACATAGGGAATTACGTCATGGGAGAGAGGGACCATGCTCGGTTGACAAAGACGGAAAGTCTTACCTCGATCACCATCCTGGTTAGTTGAATTTTTTTTTGAGTTTCTTGTTTTTTGTATTGGTCGGTTATTTCTCAATGTCTAAAAGTTGCAAATGACAATCCACAGTAAGGCATAACCTATAACGGTTGTTTTTTACATGTTTATGAAATGCAGATCTTAGAGAAGTGTTCTTACGATTCGTAGACGATAAACCAAAATGTTTGAATCTGTTCCGAGGGTTTTTCTTTTGGCTTCAGGTAAGTAACTTGGTCAGTACATTTTTCTTTGGCAGTTTCTGTTATTACAAGATATGCTAGTTTCTGACAGAAGTTGTGTTTTCCATTGAAACCAGAATTTTCTGCAGCATGAAGCATTCAAACCTTGGTTAGACGAAGAATGCCTTGCCATAAGGCCAGGATCTTGTTAAGACTCTTAATATTGTCCTCCTGGCTTTTCTCTGCCTATAATTTAGGGGATGACGTGGAAAATCTTTTTTGGCTGCATTTTTTGAGTCTAGGTTGTAAAAAATTGTGCTTCGTTTTTGCAGAGGAAGTTGCTTTCTTTTTTTCTTTTTTTTTTTGTGAACGCTTTTTGCAACAAAGAATTTGTAAAAGCCGATTTTGCAAGTGAGGGCTTCACTTATTATATGAATTTCTGATTAGCTTTACAGATTAACTTAACTAAACAATAAGCTTCAATGTTAAAGAAAAGAAACATGATGATGCCAAAGTACCAATCCATAACGAAAAATAAACCAAAAACCGAAAACCGAAAAAATAGAAACCCAACTTCCACATGATAATGCCCAGTCCCAACCAGATGTAACAGATACAACAAAAACCGGAACTATCCTCTGTAAATTCCACATCTAAATTATTTTTTTACGAAACCCATGTCTTCGTATCCATTATATTCATCTCTTACACACACACACACAGCAGCAGCAGCAAGAACCAGAAGGCAGGGTAAGTTCATTCTATCTTAAATAATTAGGGACCAAGTGAAGAAGAGGCTTACCTCATTCGAGTTAAGTGAACGCGGGGCATATTATTTGCAGAACAGGGGGCGCATTCTAGCCTAGAGACGAAGATATAAAAGAATATTTAAACTATTAGTATAACTGTGCGATAATGAATTTAAGGGTACATCAAAAAGGAGCATTGAACGATTTTGAAAGCTCCTTGAAAAATCTCCTATAAAAACGATGCTGATTTTTCTTTTTCTTTTTTTAATAACAAATGCTGATGAACTGCAATGTCTAGAAATCTCCTCTCCAGTTAGAATCATCACAACTCCTAAATTGATTTGTTCCATTTCCAAAAGCCACACCTGCCGTATCATTTCTTGTGTTCCCTGCATGGCCCCCCCAACCATTTCTCATTCGAACCCAAGGTGGTACCTGTTTTGAATGATTCCACTTCTGCTGCCTAAAGAATTTCCTTCCCAAGCTATAAGAACCGCCGCCGCCTCCTTCCCGCTGAAAATCTGGCCGATCGTTTTCCGCTGAATTATTCATTTCTGGTGGATCCATGCTCCATGACAATGGACGTTTTTCACCAGAGTGATGAGTAACACAAGCAGCATTATTATTATTATCTTGTTCTGATTTTTCTGCAACTTCACTGAATGACGCACATTCGGCCACCGATGTTGGTCGGTGGTCTCCCTTGTTATGGGCATGTGGAGGCAATGGAGGAAAAGGATGGAACGGCAAGCCTGGAGCTGCATTCCCACACTGCTGCATGAGAGAAAACGGAATTCCATAGGAGAGAGGAATACTTGAAATATATCTCTGCTGTAAATCTCCCAACACTGTATCAAATGGAAGCTTTATGCATGTATCTCTCCCTTGGCGGTTAAAAGCAGTTGAAGAAGTATCAGCTGGAACCACAGAGTCAATACAGGGAGATGAAAATCCAGGAGGGGCATCGTCATCACTGTCTGTCTTTCCGTCACCTGACATGTTTGTTCTAATTCTGGAATGCAGGTTTTCGTCCGGTGGGGTATCCCATCGACTCTTGCGCTTGCGTGTTCTTGTTCCATTGGCTCCAGCACTACAACCAGAAGCAGAGTGGTTCTGTGTAGAAGTCTCAACACTAAGCGATGCAGTTACTATTTCTGTGTCACGACATTCTGCCACTTCTGCAGGTTTCCCACTTTGATCATTCCAATGATCGTTCGATAACCTACCATAGCCACGCTGATGAAATTCCATCTTACGGTCATCCATTTCCATGAAGCAGTTTTTTCTGTGGGATCTCGGAATCCAACGGTCCCGGAAGTTCCGTGCAATTTGATGCACCTGAGAGCAGGAATATCACAACAGATATTCAGCCAACAGCCTATCGATAATGCAAACCTCACACATTCATCGTCTAAGTATTATCTATAGACACAAAACTCAAGAATATATCCATATCCAGCACTTCAAGAATTCAATTACTTAATAGATGCTTTATAGATGTAAGCCTATTATGGTGAACAAAATATCGGAGGAAGGCAGAGAAGCTAGAGACACTACCAAAAGATGTAAGGGAGAAAAAAAAATGCAAACAAGAGATTAAGAAATAGCTAATCACTTGATATGATATATTTATACGCTGTCACATCATATGCAGAAGTTGACCACCATATCATATGATGTATTCATCAAACCAAAATACTTCACGATCCAATTGGGAAAGAAAAAAAAATTGATTTACTTGCTTCCATAATTACCAAATTTAACCCTGCTTTTTCTCACATCAATAGTGCAATTAAAAAATTGATAAAATCAGCCTTTCAATATCTTATGTCCATTGACAGCAAGAACATGTATATCAGCCCTAGGGAAAAATATGATACCAAGCATCCATCTATGAGTGCCTGAATTGGCAGTGAGATTGAAAACAAGTATGTTCATTACCTGCTTGTCAGCATGTTCAGTCAGCGTCAGTATTGAATCTTTAAAGCTGTAGATTAAGATTCAATTTAGACAAACATAATCATGAAAGCAAAACATGAAACAACAAGGAACATATCAGCAAGATAGGATAAATATATGAGAGACAAAGAGAATGAGAAAATTTTATCTGTGCCTATGTAAGAGAAGAGATTAGTTAATAGGAAGATTTATCTAGTGTATATCTAAGAGAAGAGATGAGTGAACATGAAGAATCAAGCCAGATCTTGAGTTATTGTAATAATCAAGTGTTAATTATGAAAGGAAACTCTCTCTATTTAGTAGTAAATTAATTTGGATAATCAAGTCTCCTAAATGCCACCTGTCTTAGCATCATTTTCCACAGCAATATCTACTTCATTGATCTCTGATCAACCATTTCAGTTTTTCTATAACTACTGCAAAGAGCTCCACCAATTTATTGCATAAAGTTACTAAAAAGTTTATTGAATATAATGATAGTATCAGAACACAAGGAGCTATATCAGTTCATTCTGTTCAGGTCCATAGCCAGAGTCAGAGTTTTACCAGACAATGGGGAAACAAGAGAAATAATCAGCCTTTCTACACATAGAAAGGTATAGAAAAGTGGCATAGAACAATTTTAATTTTGATCACTATCAGATATACAGAAAATATAGAATCCTCATCAGTGATAGATTACCAAACTAAATACTCTGCATTAATATCACAAATGGAAGGACATTTTCCACATACAATCAAAATGAGTTAATACAGGATTTTTTCTCACCTCTCCACTCCTGGACGTGAACCTCCAGTTATGTGCTCCAAAGTAAGAATCTCTCTAATTGCAAGATACTCGAGAACCTATGCAAAAGAATAGTGAGCAATAACTGCCAACAACTCTAAACTGTATTTTATCCAAATACAATTTCAAATAGCGTAACAAAGAGGGATATTCAAAGGTTCGGAACTGGTTATGGTGGTCTTGGGGGGAAACATCAAAGATATGTTCAGTCATTATATCATATAAACCAATTTTTAAGGTAGTTCAAAAACTAGGAGATCCCTTAATTATCTAGAAATGAGAAGTTCCCAAGGTTCCTCTTAGCATATTCTTGATAAGAATAAAACAGTTTTTCAGCTTGCTTGTTCAGCAACTGGGAGATTGTAAGTTCATTACCTTAAGAAGCTTGCGCAGAATTGGAGTTTTAATGAACTCCTTTCTGTACCGCTTCATTATGTTGTGTAACATCTGCAGACCTACAAACCAAAAAAACAAAATCGCCCATCAGCAACAATCTTTTAGAAGCTATGAATAGGCATTAAAATAAGTGATAGACATATTCCACATATTACGGCAACAAGACACTGATATAATTACCATTCTTGTTGATTACATCAACCAAAACAGTCCGAGATTTTGTCTTCAAGAGTGCATCCAAGATCATTGAAAGATCTCGATTGCTGAAAAGGGAGAAACCCACATTAAATGTCACCCAAGACAACATAGTCACTTTTACTAACATAAACTATTAAGGTGGGATGTTGCGGGTTTTATATGCACGTATCTGAAATTACCTCTGTATAGCTTCCCGGTTGCCACTAGTCCCAGATGCAGCAGTTAGAAATAGAAGCTTCAAGTAACCTCTTGATGCATCCTATTGAATCACATGAGAGCTTAAGAAATGAAAAACAACTCTCTACAGGCATAATAAGAGGATCAAGTGCATAAAAGTAAAAGCAAAACCAGAACTTTTGCTTGTTACTATAATTATAAACTAGAAAACAGAGGTATCCTATGCTTCAAAAACATGCTTGGATAAACAAGAGAGTAACAAAATAAGGAAAACTTTGTGAAGAGAAGTGGAAAACTTACTTTTCGCTTGCTAATTCCCCTACCAGTATCAAGCAACTCGTTCAGTTTCTCCTCAACTGTAATCAACGGGCAAGTTATTACAGTTAAAGTCAGGCATAATGCTGCAAAAGGAAGTGTAAAAGAGATGACTGTGTACCTGTTTCAACATGACTGTTTAAGGAAAGCTCTGGTAACTTTTTAGATTTGTGGGCTGCTGCATTTGGCCTCTCCACATCAGAAGTTCCTTTTTCATTCACAATATTAGGTTTAAGTTTTCCTTTTTTAATTGATGATGATGAACGGCGAGTCTTAGCAACAGAAGCAGACTTTGCTAATTCCTCCTTCCCGCCAAGAGTACCATATTTCAACTTTCTCTTAGATTCGATTGTATCTGGCTGTGTCTTGCCAGGTAACGTGGTAGTAGTCACTTCCGATTCATAAGCAGAACGCAGAGTTGAAGACGTTGCTTTTTTCATAACTTTACCCTCTGATTGAAAGGAAACATCAAGGAGTTGAACAGGTGAATGCTTTTGGGACAGAAGGCCCTCAGATTCAACCTCAAAACCAACTGACTCGGAAGTATTCAAGGACTCTTCAGTGTCTTTGCTGGTATCCAACAGCCCAACAGCCGCAGTAGAGACAAATTCGTTAACAGAAGTTTTAGTTTGAACCATCATCCCCACAGCCTCTGTCGCGATTGAAGTCTTACAGCGTTGATCCGTAGAAGCAGAACCAACACTCACTTTTTTAATTGAAGGGTCTGAACCCATGCTTGCACTTCCATTTTCTCTTACATGCAAGGAATTTGCTATTATGTCATTCCAATCGTCATTCATCTCTTTATCTTCACATGTCATAACAGGTTCTGCATGTTCATCATCTGAGTCACCCTGAACAATTACTTCAGAATTCGTTAGATCACCGCCTATATAGCCCCGGCAATTAGGTGAACCACATACACATCTTTTTGCAGCAGCGCCAAAAACGCGTACGTAATTATAGTCAAATGTAACCTCTTCACCCTGACATACAAAATGAATAATCTTGTTCGTTAAGATACGACAAGAATAGACAAATACTCCAAGTACCAGAAAATTATGAAAAAATGCATTTTATCTAGCACTTCACATATTACACAAAGCCATCCTACCGCTATAAGTTACCTAACCCCCCTAACTAGCAGAAAATAACAAAAAAAAAAAATGTTAACCAACCTCCCCCCTACACCACCACTATTTTCTAGTAACATAAACATTTGTCACTGCAACTTGACTAGACATGAGGATTTGTGGTTATTAGCAGAGGGAGTTACCTTTTTAATGTTTCTAACAGCAAAGAGTCCAACGCAGACTTCTCCATTCACCATCCACTGTTAAGAATAAAAAAAAATTGAGTTAATATTTTAAAGTCCAGGAGTTACACACTTGTCTCAAAGTAACAGTGCAGGAAATAAACACACAATACGTAATTTTGAAAAAATAAAAAATGATAATACATTTTGAAATGAATAAGTAGAAGTTATGTGGAAAAAGATAATTTCATCATGAACAATCTGCAGAAAAGACTACATTCTAAATCTAATACTATTGGCAGTCAAGACAAATGCCACATAAGCCATATAATATAAGATAACCAGTTCATTATTGAGAAAATAATTTCTTAAAGATACAAAACTTAATTATCAATATCTTTTTGACTTTTGAAGTAACTATTCATTCTATACTGGATCCCCAAGATACATAAAGACTACACAGATCTGAAAGATTAAGTTCCCTGCAATACCTTTTCTGTTCGGCAGTTGGGATCACAACTATGGTTTATATAACGTCCCAAATTTCCTTTGGCACATGCATCAATTACCTGAACCAAAAAGCATTGATTTATAGACACATAAAACTCTAAGAGAAAGCTCAAAACTGAACCAAGGGAACTCTCAGTGAGCTGAAATAAATTTTATAGTTATCCAGGCAAAAGTAGATTTAAACACGGTTTGAATTATTGTTTGTTCATATATATTAACTTCAGGTCATTAAGTCTTTAGAGAAAAAAAATTAGACTACAAAAGTATTATCGTTAGAAATTGAATTTGATCATACAAATGATGTTTCAATTTTACACGTATCGAGAAGAAGGGATGATAGCAAACCTCACTCCCATTCAGCGTCATGAAGTAAAAATGTTTGTGTCCGTGCAATGCATACTCTCTCTGCCTTGCTTCATAAGCATGGATATCAAGTACCTGTAGCATCCATAAATTAAATAATTACATAAAAAATGAGGTTTCCTTCAAGGTTAAATTCAGATACACTACAACAGAAATCAATTTAGAATTAGCATTCTTCAATTGTATTTATCGATTAGATCAATATGGAAATCAATGTCCCACCTAGAGCCACATGGTCTATGGCTCCAAAAAAGAATTGTGACAAACCAACTGTGAAGGCCTAATAACCTCATTTCGCAGGTCATGTGCCATGCAAATAATAGAATGAGACAAATGACCAATGTTTTGCATTGCCAAAAGGGGTAGAGAGTTGAGACGAAGCTTGAGTCATCGTCAAGCGAGAACTTTATGACCGCCAGTCAGGAAAAATAGTAAATGTACATTAGTAGAAGTATATCTTAATTTCTTGCCAAAGCCTTATGAAGTGATTTATTATAAACGATGCAGTATTAACCATTCAATTCTGCATGACGTGATATCATTTCCTAACATGAGCCAAAAAATTCTGAAGTATATAGGACCCCAAATTACCTCTCCAACATATTCGATAAGGAACTGTCCTTCAGATACATTTTCAAGAGATTGAAGACCAAAACCCTTCTTTCCACACCTGAACCACTTCAGTTTAGCATACTTGCGTTTCTGGAACTGCAAGCAAATTAAGAGAAAATACGTCAGTAATAAGAAATAGAATAAACGAGAAAGTGGTCATTAGAAGTTTGCTCACCTGTTGATTTGAACAAAATTCACCACACGGACAGGTTCCTCGAACACACTCAATATTGAGCATTCGGTTCAAACATTCCGATCCACAACCCATTCTGCCATCTGATGGAGGTTTGCAATGACAAACCATCACCTAATATGAACAGTGAAATGGCCAAAATGATTTCAGGTTGATAAAAAACCAGAAGCTTGTAAGAATAGAAATGTACAAAGACAGGCATAGAGACAAAGCTACATATGGAAAAACCACATCAATTTATATTTCATAAAAAGGAAGAGAAGAAGAACCATGTAAAATTGGGGCTATATTACATGGAACCACACACAAAAAAAAACTTTGAATCCAAATTTCAATTTCAAGCCGCACCCATTCTTTCTATGTAGGTTTGACGCGGAAAAGAATTGACCAATGCATCAGCTCTTGCCATTAGAAAAGTAGGTAACGAAAAAATAGAATTGAATACACATAGGTCAACTCAAAGTACAATTTGGAATGCAGATGGACAAAGCTGAGTATTAACCTCATCGATAGTCTGAGTTTTACGGCTTCGATGCAGAAACAAGTTTGACTTAATAAGAGACCAAGATGGATTTTCGGCAGCTGCAGGATATACAAAATCAACTCAAACGTCAAAAGCAAAAGGGACATATATGACCTAGATATGGATCTACAATTTAGGTGTGTGTGTCGGGGGGGGGGGGGGGGGGGCTAGAGATCATGCTGCGACGATATGGTAATCAAATACCTTTCGATCTGTTTAAATTAGACTTCAGCATGGCATCACCACCATTTTCCTCACCAGAAGCATCAGATATTTCTAGCTCTTCATTGATTTCTGAATTTGACTTTTCTTGAGGAATTGAGCAGTCAGCAAAGTCATTATCAGTGTTATTTTTGCAAGTCCTACAAAAAATGAAGATACAGAATCATAAGAATAAATCCCAGTGAACATGTGATATAGGTCATTTTCATGTATTCAAAGTCTAAATGCAGCAACTATGATCATTTACCATCCACAGTTTGTTTCTTCAATTTGATCTGCAAGTGTAGCTGGTATCCTCCGCCATTTTTGACAATCGTCACAAAGCACCCACGCATTCCTAGGTGGAACATATTGATCCCTTAGTTCATCAGATGGTAATTGCAAACTGGTTAGGGGTCCACTGGAACCCTTGCATGGGTCTTCATTTTCTCCAAGATCAGATGATGTTTGATTCCCTTCAAAATTAGTTACACTATAAGAAAATTTATTTAAATGATGCATCAATAAGATATCAGTTAGGCGATTGGGGGCACAGACATAATTGAATTGAATAGTTTCACATGGTTTATCGATTTAGAATTTGGTTTCGGAGGAAAGGGGACGGGGGACTGGAACTTCTCATGTACACATCATCTATACAACTTAAAATGGTACCTGTTGCCAGATGGCTCTCCACTCCACCAATGACGCAATTACCATCACCCTTCTCATAACGTTGATGCTTGCCTACTGAATTACTTCTATCACCCTTCTTTTTGGAGGCTTTATCTTTCTTGCGGGGCAAATCCAAGATTCCAGACCTGCTTTTACGCCCTCCCTTTGCCCCAGAATATTTAGGGAATTTGTGCCCATTGCGACAAGGAACGAATGTGTCACCCACCTGTGAGTTTGAGGGCTCAATTGCAGCAACAAGCCCAGAAGATGGATTCATTTCAGTGCAATTAGATAAATCATTCACTTTCTGCCCCGGTCCAAGTCCAGCAGGTGCATGGGAAATATTTGTGGTTTCTGTACTGGTTAGCTTGTTTTCCACACTACAATCACCAAACTGAATGTGCTTATCTTTCTCCTTTCCTTCCTTAGATTTCACTTGGGGAAATCTCAAACTTGAAACATCACCAAACGAAACATCAGGAACAGAGTTTGCCAAGCATTCGTGGCTTTGTCTTTCCATTGGAATTCTTGGACAACTTTGCATATCTGAGAAACCTTTTTCAAGAAGTAGAGTATCAGGAACAGAGTTTATAACCTCTGAATCAGGAGAAGTTCCCGGATCTGAACATCTATTTTCAGTAGAAGCTCTCATGTGATCACTCTTTTCATGGATAATAATATCTCCAGGCAATTCTTCCCCGAACTTCATTCCCATATTTTCAGATAAACCAGGAATAATTTTCTTTGGTCCAATGGTTTCAGTAACATTACCCATGTCACTGAACGTTTCACAGCTTTGATTGCCAATTCTAATCTTCAAAGAGATGCGACCACTTGGAGTTGAGCTTTTCTGGACTGAAGTTTGACCTGTGTCTCCGATAGCATTCCACTTTCCTTGACCACATTTTACTCTTTTCAATTTTTTTTCATTACCTAAATTTGGATTAAGCCCACTGTGTTCTTCAAAAGCTGGCAAGATATTATCCAGGATACCCCAGCCAGAAGATCGAGCCTGCTTGGAGAATAAACTCCTCCTTCTTCTCAAAATTTTCAAGGGATTTAAATCTAATACAGGATGTGTTTTGGCAATTCTTCTACAACTTCTGGAAGATTTTCGGGGCTCATTGTTATGATTTAATTTCGAATTAGTATTGCGAGTACTCTTCCTTCGAGAAGATGTGTATACAATTAGAGGTTGGTTTAGTTTTTGGCTTTTGTCTAATTCACCCACAGACTCAGATTCACCATGAGTAGACGGTTCAGCACTCCTGGCAAAGTCAGAAGAATCAATTCTACTAGAATTGTTTCCCGCATCAGTTCTTTGTCCAAGCAGATCAGCTTGACAAACAGAATCAACAGCATCAGTTCCACTGGTGTTTATTGAGATATCATTTCTCTGGTCAAGAGGCTCCGCAAAGCTGATGGAGTCGAAAGCTGAAACAAGAACATCAGCAGCTGGAACATCTGATGTGGCCATTGTTGCTGATGATTCAACACCTCTCACACCAGAAGATTCATATGGTACTGGAGAAACAAATAAATTTACAATGCCAAAATCCAGATCAACTACAGATGACTCTTCCTGGATTTCACCATCATTTTGGCCAAAAGATGTCTCAGGAGACATATTATCCAGTTCACTAAGACTCAGTAGATATGAAGACCTCAGTAGCAACAATCATGCACCCATAGACGCACTATTTTCCCTGGGTTTACAGCAGATGTATCTCAGCATAATGGATAAACACTAATCATGGAACATATACAGAATTGCACAATGTTAAAAGCACTATAACCCAGAAAATTATAGAAGCATAATGAATTCATGACTTTAACATATGTAAACCTGTACAACACTGTAATTTTAAATTTACATGTATCGTGAATTATGCACTAACAATATTGGAAAGTCTAACATCCCATTTACGATACCAAAATTTTCCAAGCATAATACTACCAAGTGCGCCAAATAAGCTAGTACTGGAGGGGAACATACAATCACCCACAAATCTATCTAACAACTTTTATTGATAGAAGTTAATAAGCTTGGAATATGTCAAAAAAGGACAGAACATGTGTATATCAATAATATTAGATTACACATCCTTCAGATATCGCCAAATTCAATCTCATATGAATTCATGTCACTTGTCCTAAAAATCCAAAAGGCATTTATCTTTTCACATGTGCTTGTACGAACACAGCGAACTACAAACACACAAACGTAAACATGTAGCAATTGCTCAGTAACTAGAATAAAAAATAAATAAATAACCCTTTGAAACTGTCTCTGCTACGTACTTATACGCACACGGGGAACTACGAACCCAGATGTAAACACATAGAGCATATTCTCAATAACTAGAATAAAACAAAATTAAAAAACCCTTTGGTGCTCGCGGCCACGTACCCATACATTCACGGAGAACTACAAACTCACCAACATAAACACTTAGCATTCATTCAGAACTATAATTAAACAAAATTAACTAACCCTACAACACACCCTCCATCGCGTTCTTTTTTCACACACAAAAACTACAAACATGCGGACATAAATACATAAACAGTTCATTATCACTAATATCTGCAAGGCCCAATTAAATGAAAAACAAAAACAGGAGGAAAACATATTCGGTAGCTAAACACAAATGCAGGTAAAACGCAAACATCGCTAATCCTAAACAATCAAGTCAACAAAAACAGAGCCCAAAACCCTAACCGCGAGCAAATTAAAAACCCTAAATTAATGGCTGAAAACGCCAATGCGGAATCAGGCAGGGCCAAACAATCGAACATCAACGGAAAAAGGTCCGAGGAAAAGAGGGGATCGTACCTGGAGATAATCAATTAACGCGTTGAACATCAAACGGAGGAATTGTTTAATTCAATTAATTAAAACAAACATTCATATATAAATGCATACAACGCCTGTATTTAAATATATTTCTCACTGCGGCGTATGTGTTTTTTGTGAGAGAGAGAGGGAGAGAAAGAGAGAGAGAGGAATTTGCTTGGCGGTGTCAGCAAACGGTTGTTAAAGGGATAAATAGAATAGTGAGAGAGAGAGAGAGAGAGAGAGAGAGAGAGAGAGAGAGAAGGAGAGAGAGAGAGGAGAAGAGTCTCCTACCAAAAAAGAATTGGAGAAAATTTAATCCATCTTGTTGACGCGCATACACAGTACAGGTACAACGTTGGTAGAATAAGGTACAACCCTACCGAAACGCCGTTCCGGGGTTTTGAAACGTGGCTAGTGGAGGGTAATATGGGAATTTCAATGTCAATTTTCCTTTTTTTGTTTTTTTCCTTTTCTCTTGTACTAGTAATTTTCCTTTCCTTTTTTTTTATTGTTGAGTTTTTTTATTTAAAAAAACAATATTGTCGAGCTTTTATTTTGTAGTATTTGGTGTTCCAAGTTATTCTGTTTTGTCTTGATTCTTGAAATCTATTTTTGTCATTCAATAAAATAAAAATAAAAAATAAAAAAAATAATCATTGCAAAATTTAAATAGATTCCTTCACAAATTTTGACTTGGTTTTTCGTTGAAATTAATTAGGTCAAACTGGACTTTGACTTGGTTTTTCACAAATTTAGTGTAGTAGACTCTTGAACCCAATAAGCCACAAAAGTTGAATCTCAAGCTCACAATTCGGCTTGTAAGTTTTTTTTTCTTTCTTTTTATTATTTTATTAATATAAGTAATTTTATATATATATATATATATATATATATATATATATATATATATAAGTTAAAACCCAACCTTTTTGCCTATTTTTTATATTTTATGCCGAAAAATTGAGTTCAATCTTGAATAAAAACGAGTCATTGATCCGGGAATATTTCAACATTTCGGCCCGACATAAAAACCAGCCCAAAGTGAGGCAAAGCCCACGAAAGCAAGGGGACTAACAAGCGAGTTGGGCACGTGCAGTTAAGAAATTGACAAAACATAGTAAATTATGCTAGCCTCCCCGCAAAATGGTTAAATTATAGAAAACGCCAATTTCTCATTCAAAATTACCCAAAACCTCCTCTAAAAATATACTCCATTTTCACCATAATGGGGTTTTGCTTTGGAGAAGAATTACAACAAAGGTATAAAATTGAACTCACTTTCTAATTCTAAATACATTAATGAAACATCATCGTCAAGTGACTATATTGTCACACACTCTTCGTTGTAATTATGTTACCAACGCCCCGACTTCCTACCTCGTGAATATCTATCTATCTCTGCTATCTTCTTGTTTGGCCTGAAAATGGCAATTCTATAATATTCGATCAGAAATATGGCAGTTTTATCAATGCATATGATTTTTGCATTTGAAGCTCCAAAAATCTGCTGATTGTTTTTCCAGGAGAAACTGCCGTATTTGGCTAAAACCAATTTGAAACGTTGAAGTCTCGAAGCTTGCTAAGATGTTTCTCCATGTCATCCCTACTTTTACTCCATTCCTCCTTCTCTATTACTGTGGTCGGATCGTCTCTTTCGTCCTGTACGGTAATAAACAGAAGTGAATCAGCTAAAAATGGAAACATAAATTATGCGGAGAAAAATTAGTTATTTTTGTTTAGACTAACCGGGGGAATTATCTTGAAGGAAGTCCCACCATCACGAACAACTAGCAAATCGTTCTTCCTATCTCGGTCTGTTCCTCCAGGAACTGTCACCTGCAGAAAAGTACATGATAACATTTTAAACACATAGAACGGTGACTAAGGTAACATGGCAAACATAGTATATTGTCAAGCTTGAAGCAACATCGAAAGCACGTAAATTCAAAAGGCAAGTGTATTTTGAAGAGAAAGGAATTGAAAAGGTTAAGTTAGCGATACGATTTTTCTAAGCTTGCAGCATGCTTTTATACTTGTGCTATTCAGAGGTTTTTAAGTACTCGTGTTAGTAAATAGTATTGTATTTTAGACAATGCAAGAGAACGTATATAGCTACAAGAAGTGTTCATGCATACCACAACTTTAGCCCTTGTGATAGATTTTGTTTTCGAATCGATTACATAGATCTCCTCGAAATCCAGCGTAAATTCTGGATCACCCAACCGACGGTTCCTGTAGTGTTTTGTCAAGAAAACCTGCGATGAACAGAACATGAGTTGTCTATGTAAAAGAACACAACGTCGAAAGGCAGTAACTTAATCTCCCGACAGAAGGAACCATCCAATCAAGTGCTTCTTGATAAAGTTATCAAAAGCCATCCAAAAATACTGCTTGCTATTAATATGGAAAGGCAGTAACTTAATATTTTTCTTTTTTTCTGGAAATCATTACATTGTACGTTTAATCTATTTATAATGTGATGGTTCACGCCAAACAAGCCACATGCTTTGCCCATACCTTGAGGACTTCCCTCTCAGATTTGTACATAGGGTCTCTTGGAGCACTAATCGGTGGCTCTGTCACGTTGTAGCACCCATAATCACTCTGTGCACACCGAATATACTGCCGTTCCAACAAAGTTCAACAAAAATATGGGAACAAGTAAGTATATTACAGGTGCATACATTTGTGGAATGTTCATCATGATTACATATATGGAGAGTTGGAGTATATGTATAGATAAATGCGAATCGTCACAAGAAACAATAAAAGAATACCTTCTGAGGCATTGGTGCAAGAACCTTCGGAATTGCGTAAATATCTGTGTCTGGAGGTGTGACGTACATCTGCAAACAAAAACCAAAAATAAAATCATTATTCATCAACGTAACGATTGTAAAAAACAATACTACTATCATACTTTCTTTAGTTGAGAAAAATCGAGTAACATAAAAATCGGCTAGGTTGTTCGGCATGTTTTGAACACAATTCGGCACCACGCATCTCAGTTAGCACCGTCTTCAAGAGTAGATAGATAACCATGAATAATTCATGAAAACTGACAAAATTATCTTAACCCTAATTTAACAACTTATAAGATCAAATCAAAATTGTAATTACCAGCTTGAGCATATGAAACTTAAGCACAAATTACACTACACAGCATCAGAATGCATGCAAAACATGAAATACCCAAAACATACAAAACTCTTGGTACAACTATCAAAGCACTAGGTACAACACTGCAAAACCTTACCTCTCTGAAATCATAGACGTCGTTATCCGGATCAGGCGGCTTCCGAATGAAGAAATCACAATCCAGAAGACAAATCTTATGAAACTCGTCTTCGTTTATGCGGTAATCCACAATTTTCTCGGAGTCCCAGCCGTGAATCGACACGAAACTCTTGCTGTGCACCATAGCAATGTCGTCCTGTCCGCCGTGCCCAGCCACGGCAATGGCGAGGGCGGTGTCGTAATCGACATCGAAATCCTTCTTATTGTCGACCTCCTCCGCGTCGTCTTCGTCCATGTCGTAGTCATCCGGTCCTCCTCCGTCTGCATCTCCGTCGTCGGCCCAAGCCCGAAAGTCGGGTCGTGAAGATACGGGCCGGGTCATGTTTAAAGAACGGAAAACGTTGGGCTTCGGAAGCGAAACCGGACGGCATGTGGAGGTCTTTACCGGAAATAGTGGAGCGAAGATTAGAGTGGCGGCGTTCATGGTGGCGCCGGAGTGGAAGTTGGAGGTTTTACTCTGTTGGGAGAGTGAAAGAAATAGGATTAGATATTTGAGCTGTGATTCGCTGCGACTCAACACACCCAACTTAAGGTGCGACTCGTTCGATGACTACTCACTGCGTGCCACGTCAGCCAAACGATTGCTCTGGTGGCAGTTTTAAAATTCATGAAATGCAAACAATACCCTCTTCATAATTATCCATATATTATTTCAATAAATAGATATGCCCGTGTTACCCTTGTAAATAATATTTGGAATTGCAATTTTACCTTGAATTATAATAAAGATAAAATAGTTATTGAGACTCAAATAATATAAATTATATCTTTTTTCAGTTACATAAATTATTTTCGAATTAATTAAATACTTTTCAGTATTAAAAAAAAATTGGACTAGAATTGGGTGGGGTACGCCAGGCCCGTGCAGTAGTGCAACGCATGGACGACGCTCGAAAGCCCAGGAAGCAAGCTTCCTAAACGGGCCTTCCCCCTAAACAAATTAATTTAATATCGTGTGGGCCAATGGCCCACATATCAGATATTAAACTGATAAGAACAGATACTACACTTGATCTTAGCCAAAAGGCCGAGAAAGGTATGAACTTCTCTAAGTTAGGGCTTCACTTTTTATATCCCACTTCTCTCACCCTTCTATTCTTCTGAAACCGATGTGGGACAAACAACACTCCCAAAAAAAAAAAAAAACAAAAAGAATTGCAAAAAGAAAAACCCGTAGAAGTGTAAGTTAATTCTATTGCCAACCTTTAGAGCAACTCCAATTATATTATATTGAGTGTCAAAACCCTTAACTATTATTTTAATAATTTAAAATAGGAATTTTCCACTCTAATGGAATTATCAAATGAGGTTCTATTTTGTTATTTTATTTTTTGGAAGGTAAAAAATAAAAATACATTCGGGAGAAGTAATACCTTTGGAGTTACACAACTTAACCACCTAAATAACCAATTAGAAAATGACATGTGTTAATTAAAATATATAATCACATTATTTATTTTTAATTATCAACTATTTGATATCTATAATTGGAGCAAATAAGTTTATTTAGGTATCAAACTAAAATATGAAATATCAAATAAATATTTAATAACTCATTTTGATATTTTTTAGTTGGAGTTGCTCTTAATAAGGGAATAAATTAATAATCGTGTATAAATAATAAACTAAACATATAGAATATAAACTTTCAAAAAGAAAAGCGGATCATATATTAAATAAATAATGGGCGCAAGGGTGGAACGAGAGCTTCTTGTCACGGCCCGTCAATTTCCCTCGGGTTGGGAGGGTAAGAAGTACAAAACTTAGCTCAAATAGAGTAAGCCCAAGTATATATAGAGATTGGTCCAAAACATAGTCCAAATAGAGTACGCGCAAGTTGGCCCAGATTGGTAGAGATTTTTTGAGGATTTTAGAAAACTTTCGAGAACCATCCATTTGTAAATATTTTGTAGGAATATTTTGGGAGTGTTCTAGTGAAGAACTCCTAGTCGTTAGATCAAATAGAATCTTCCACTGTTCATTAAGTAGGGGCCTAG